AAAAAAAAAAAAAAAAAAGAGATCAGATGAACCATACTGTTAGAAACGACTGATCTGCGCAAGCTTTTACCGTTTACAAGCAAAGCAACATGTATTTAACGTAGTCGTAAAAATGAATTTACCCTTGTAACCGAATGGATGGCTGGCAAGGCTGCTTCCAGCAACTCGTCCAACAGTTCTGGAGAGCTGAAGTAATGTGCAAATCTTGCTGCTAGGAACAAAACATAGGCTGGTACGGGCTTGTGAGATCTAGAACGACTTGGTTCCATGTTTGTGATGATCGTATCAATGATGTGCTTGATGTCTTTGTTCGAAAACACAAACATCTGATCCGGTAGACAGTTTTCCCAGTCAAATTCGCCTTCATCATCCAACTGTGGCTATTGTTGTGATGTGATATGAATGAGGTCAGTCTTTGCAAAAAAAAAAAAAAAAAAAAAAGGAGTGCAGCTTCTACCCATGTGCGCATTATTTTTCATCTAAACATGCAAAATATGCTCATCTGCTTCCTTTCTTTACCCCTCATAGAATTTTGTAACCCTCACTAAGCCCTTTTTTCAAAAATAGCTTTTTTTTTCTCTGCAGAAAAGTTCCCCCTTTTTTGTAACCGCTCTCCTTGACAATCGAAACAGTAAGAACAGTAAGGCCGAACTTCAAAAAGAGAAATGCCGAATTAACCAAATAAACAAAAACATGGAGCACAAGGCATGTCAAAGAAACATGATCCAAACAACCTGACACCGCCCAATGTTGCACAACCGCAGAGTCAAAGAAGGAAAAAAAAAAAAAAAAAAAAAAAAAAATAGACAAGAAACGAACCTGGTCAGCCAAAGATAGATCTGCCATATCAACTTCAAACGCACTAGCGCTTTCCATCGCCATGCGATAACGTCGCTCGTTTTCAGCCATGATCTCTTCAAAACCCTCGATGCCACTCTGGTAGAAGAGATCATCGCCCAAAGACGAAAGGGTGGTTCTGAACATTGATCCATTACTTGAGACACTGTCGCGTCGGCTAGGCTCCTGGAAGATTTGTACAATTTTGGTGTTATCGTTAGGATCGTGGCGCAGGAAATCAACAATTGTATGTCCTTTCGCCGTCTGTGCAGAGGTGGATGCGCCCATCTCTAACAGCAGTCGTATAATGTTCTCGTGCTTATTGTTTGTGGCCCAGACAAGAGCTGTCCATCCAAACTTGTCACGCGCATCGACTTTAGCTCCGGCCTCCAATAGCATAAACGCAATTTCTGTATGGCCAAAGCATGCGGCATAGATCAAGGGGGTAGTGCCATCTTCGTCTTGAGCCTCGATATCAATCCAGTCCCGAAAGTTGTCGAGCATGTCGGCAATCCTGTTCATGTCTCCGTTTGAAGCAGCTCGTGAAAATAATTTGGACATTTTGATTTTTTTGTCCTTGTCTGGGATGGAGCGCTCTACGATCCCTCGCGGATCGTCTAACTGCTCTCTGTCAAAATCTAGTCCAAGGGCGGAGCTAGTTGTGGTTGTAATCTGGATGGACTGGCCTTTGGTCAGCATCTCAAACTCATGGTCCAACCGGGCCAACGTATCAGCTTCGGTTCGATCTCCAACAAAGCCTGCTGCGCCGTCTGGTGATGACAATGATGGGGGATTTGCTGCTGTGGGGTTGATGGCTGATGCCAAGTCAGTGACGCTATCCTCTTTGTCACTATCGGACCGCTTAAAATATATTTTTTTGGTCAAGTCTTCCTGATCATATGAATTAGAAGCCCAAGGGTCGAGTTGCTCATCTTTTGGGATAGCCAACAGAGGGCTATCAGAGCCTACTACTGTTACGGTTGTAGATGCATCTGTCATGGACGTCGTTTCCATTATTGTTGTTGATGATTTATTTAGAGTAGAGAACTTTTCAATGGAATGGGGTTCTGTCGCCTCTGTGACGACAGAGTAGAGTGATTCAGAGCCGGATGTACTACGGCGGTGGTGGTCTTTATGGTGGTACATCTCGTCATCATCATCGCCAAATGCAGTAGTGGCGACAGAGTCAGCAGAGATGTGAGAGAGGTGCCTGTCCTTGATCGAGTCTCTGACCATGGTGTCGCGGTCAAACTCTGAAGAAGAAACGACAGTCTCAGTATCGTCAGATTGCATGCTATAAATGTGATCGTTATAATATGAAGTAGTTTTGTTTAGAGAAAATGAATTGATGTCAATGATATCTCCGTTGTTCACTAGCATACTGAAAAGGGGAAAGAGAGAAAAAAAGCAATGATGAAGAGAGGTTGTGTGTAGAAAAGTTGATTTTTTATGAAAAGAAAGACAATAAGAGAAGCACTGTGTAAACTCTAGTCATTAAGAAACAGAACGGAAAGGGGGAAAGAGAGAGAAAGAGAGAGAGAGAATTGCAGGATAGGAAGATGAAAAGAAAGTGAACGTGAAAGTGAACGTGAAGATGTAGGAGAGAGAGAGGCTATGTGCGTTTTTAGAGAAAAAGGAATGTGGCGAGAGAAATATATTTGTTGCTGCAGATGCTAATGTGGCTATGACGAAGAAATGGTTATCGATGAATGAAATGAATGAATGAATAAATAAATGAACAAAATGGATTGGACTTTTTTTTTACAGTGCAGTTCAGTTCAGTTCAGTGCCTGTGTTCAAAATGACACAGCGCAACAAGACACAAACAACGCACAGTTCACACTTGTTTTGCAGTGCAGAAAGTAATTGTGTATGTATGATTGTGATGATAGTGTGATTATGATTACATGTGCTACTTGTATTATTGAATGCAGGATAAATTGTTTCTGCACTGTCGAGAAACAAAGCCAGGGGAAGGAGCATGCCTCGGAAAGAACAAGATGACCAACCAAAAAAACCAAACATAAAATATACCGATGAACAATGAATAATAAAATAAATTAAAACGGTATGAAGCCATGTACTTGCATGGGATGATTGACAAGAACATAAGGAAGAGAGGAAAAAGAAGGATATCAGATACAGAAAAAAGAGAATGGATTGTTCCCATACCTGGAGGATAAGAAAGGAATGTGGTTGTTTGAACTTTTTGTGTCTCTGCTTGTGAATGTGCTTAATATCTTTAGGGTATCTGAAAGTGTTGCCGAGTGGGTGGAAGGTGTAATGCTAAAGGGTATTGCAAGAATACAATGAGATGAAAAGCAATTGAGATTGTGATGTGTCAAAAAAAAAAAAAAAAAAAAAAAATTGATGAGATGCGTAGATGGAGAGAAGAGGAAAAAAAAAAAAAGAAAAAGAAAATAGAATAGAGCAGAGTAGGGAAAGAGAGAAAGATAAAAAAAAGCATTCACATTGACCAGAAAGACCCATGCGACGCTTTTATGATTGAACTGTTGGAAAGAGAATAGTCAAATTATCACACCCACACCACATGCCACATCCAACATGAAGAAAATGCCCATCCCAAACACATTAACACAGAAACACAAAATAAAGTGCAATTGCATTTATTCCATCATTATCATCAACACTTTAAAATGTGCTTGTGTGATCAATCTTGGAATATCATTTCTATCAATCTATCTCTTCTTCTCTTTCTCTTTCTCTCTTTTCTCGCCTTTCTAACGATTGGAATGCGCTGAATAATGAATGCTCCTCGGTATTTTATGTTATCATATATTGTCATAAACTATGGTCGACAAACCGTTATTGCTTTATTACTTCATGCGATTACGTTTCAATATTGGATGGTAGATGTTGTGTGTGGTGGTAAAGTGTGGATGCATGGATACAATCCAGCAACTAATAAACACTCCAACCATTGCCCTGGGTCTTCTCCTCCCCCAGAAAAGTAACCTTCTCGCTCTCCCTCTCCTCTCCTTTTCGCATACTCACCACATTTATTTTTGCACTCTTGTCTTCATCCAGAATAAGTATGTATTCAACAGCGAACAGAGTCAAGGAGACAATAAGAATAAATTGACCAACTATTTGCTCTATTTTTTTTTTTTTTTTTTTTTTTTTTTTTTTTTGCTGTTCATTACTTCTTCTACCAAATGGATTAGGGCTCACCAACACGATCAGGGTCACTCTCAAAATAAGAAAATCTCTTATGAATGGTGTGCATCAATTATGTATAACGCTGGTAATATATTTTATTAGGTCTTGTTCATAACTTTTATTGTGGAGAAAGGGAGGGAGGTGCTCCAAGGATATGATGGATTGTCCGCTTTTTTTTTTTTTAAAAAAAAAAAAATAAAAGTTATATTTTTATAAATATATACATGTTTGTTCATGAATATTTGTCCTCACGAGTAAAACTGGCATCTTTATATATAAACCATTGCTCAAAAATATACGGAGAAAAAGGAATCTTTGCCTCTCGAGCAGTCTATTCACTCACTTTTTCTTTACCCAGGTGCTCTCCATCTTTTGTTTGAATGTTTTTGATTCAGTGGCCATATGAACGTCTATAAATCTATACAGGCGACATTTGTGCAGATTGCGCACCTTTCTTTTCGTCTTCAGTCTTTCGTTGAGATAGCTTTTTCAGAATTGCATGGCCAAGACAAGGGAAAGAATCCAAGTGCATGTATTTACCGAAAGCAAACACTATTAGGATTATCGGCCAAGATCGGACAATAACAAAAACAAAGAAAAAAGTAAAGATTAAGGGCCGAGTCGAAGCAAAGAGGGCAAAGCGCTGTTTCGGCTTTGAGGTCTGTACGACATGCTTGAGACATGCCAATAATTAGTTTGTTGGGTCGGATAATTGGTCATTAAAACATTCGAAGCTGTGTGCCTGTCCGTGCCCATGTGTTTGACCTTTGAATGTGTATTACATGGCATGTATTGTGGGAGGGAAAGAGTGTCAATCACATAATCAGATGCATTGTTTTTGATATTTACTTATTATCCAAGCAGGTATCTTCTCCTTTTCTTTAGACCCTACTGACAACCAGATCCTCAATTACATAATAGCCATAATAACCTCCACACTGAACACAGGCAGTGATCAATTGTCCATCACTCATCAATTCCATAAAACACCCAACGTGATTGTCACGTGCCATTCGCTTCATGGAGCAGTAGGGACCGATCAAACTTTGTGGAGTGAGTGACACACCCGCTTTTAAACGCATAGTGTTTGTGTATGTGTATGTACATGAAAGAGAACACCCGGCAGCGACAAAGATTCTACTTCAGGCAGAATCTCAAAAGTTCTGTCTCTTAATCGTGCGATTACTGCTCAAAACATTCACCTCAATTCTTTTTTAATCTTGTCATTCCATCTTGTCACTGTTTCTCCCATTTCCTTTTTTCCTATCAAGAAACAGCATTTACACATTTACGCATTTACACATTTACATAAACCCTCAGCACATCATGTCTCGAGAGATCTCTGCGCTCTCCACCATAATTGATTCACTTGGCCCACCAAGAAAGATAAAATCCCGCGCTCCAAAGTATCGTCGTGCTTCTGTCGCAATCATCATTCGCATTCGACCGGATCACAACCGCTATGCACAATACAGTACCTTTCGACAACCGCAGCAGTCAAATGAAGAGCCAAGCAGGCAACAACTTCGACCAATCCAGGCCATTGAAAACCCAGAGTCTGTGGACGAGTTCTTCAGCCAGGATTGGGTCCGGACGGGTATCCCTGAAGTCCTGTTTATTGAGCGTGCCACCCGAAAGACAGATCGGTGGAGTGGTCATGTCGCTCTACCAGGAGGAAAGCGTGAGGAAGGCGACGAAGATGATCAGGAGACAGCAGCAAGAGAAACAATGGAGGAAATTGGTTTGGATCTCTCAGATCTAGCTCAGTTTCGATGTCTAGGGGCTCTTGATGATCGGGAGCTTTGGACATCGTTCGGACGGGTTTTTTTAATGGTGCTCTCTCCTTTTGGTAATATGATCCTGTCCACTGGATTCTTGATCCGTGAACTGAGCTTTTATTTTTTTATTTTTTGGGTGTGCAGCTCTCATTTTAACTCTCCCAACCGAGACGACTCGGAACTAGAAGAGTTTTTTTCTGTTTCTAATCATGATTCCTTATTGATCGGGCTGACACATGAAAAATGATCAGACCATGCACGTCTAACCGAATACTACATCCTCTTTCTCTTTTCATAAACTATTATTCATAGTGTATATTCAACTCTCACCATCAACACCACCATTGAAGCCACAACCAGATGAGGTCGCTTCAGTTCACTGGCAGCCCCTTTCGCTGTTCCTGGACCGTCTGGAAAGACCACTATGGACACCCATGACTATTAATCTTTCTAGCAAACTGACCCCTCGTCTCTCACGGACTTTTCTTCGTGGGTTGTTCGGTACTATGTCTTTACACTCGATTGAGATGCCTTATAAACCCGAGTTTGTGGTCAGGGCATCTTACTATGGGCAGGAGAGGAACAATCAATCTGGAACAATAGAATCTTCAGCCTCGACACCTTCCTCAACGTCCAGTTCCATGGTGATTGACTATGAGCCGGAATGGGATCCAGATCATAGGCCGCTCAAACTTTGGGGATTGACATTACAAATGATGGCTGATTTACTAGAATTGAAGGACGGACCTATTCAACGGGATATTCCTCAAAAGGTTTGGGATTCTAAACGTATGAGACGACGATTGGATGCAGGTTTCCTTCCGAGGTTTTCACAAATAGATATGCATATCTGGGTTAGAGCTTTGCTCAAGTTTCATTCGTGGCAAGGTACAGAAAAGTAAGTAAAGCAAAAGAAAGAATAGATATGATATTGTGTCTGATAAATATATGGCATCTCTCTCATCCTTGTATAATCTTTCGTTCTCATATTCTTGTTCATTGCACGTTTGTAGGAAAAAAGCTACTCAGTCCAACAGAGTGGGATCGTGGGAAAGCTACTATCGGTTGGTCAAGCAAGCGTTCTTGTTTGTGATTTTAGGTCGTGTGGTGGCACTTGCAGTACTAGTGAAGCTTTTAAAGGCTCCGCTTTTGAGAGCTATTCAGGGACCTTCGGCTCCGGCAAGACGTTAACGAACACTTCATTCACTTCCCAGACTATCTTTTCCTCCCCTTCTTTAGCCGTAATAAAGATTATAGAAACACAATATGTATTCAACCTCGCTTGCACTACTCTTTTTCCAAAGTACTATGGCCCTAGATCTGAACATAGTACAGCAATAAAAGCTTTTCTTTCTGCATTCCGTATCCCCTTCGTCATGGCTATATTTTTGAAACCATTTGCAGTATTTTCTTTAGCTTAACATAAGATCCTTAACTTTCTTTCTTCATCTATACCTTTCTTCCATATTTGCACTCGCCACTGATCTCAATATTTACGATAGATCTCCTAACATAAAATGATCGCATCCATGCTTTCTCTTTGGAGGATTCCTATTTGAAATGAATGCTTTTTTTCATTTTCCATAATCCCCAAAAGCGCTTTTAATTCGATGCTATCATGAACCTGAAAAAGAGTACCAAGGCTTTGCTAAGAACCATGGTAGGCCCCTTTAGTGTAGTTTCCCTTACGTCCTCTTATTTGTCCAAAGACCCGCAGTCATCACCTTCAACAACGGGTTAATTATTACAGAAGCCTAACAGCAATAATTATCTTTTATAGTTGAGATAAGGAGTGCTATACACGCAACAAGGGACATATCCTGACCTACCGAAGCTTTACAGCTTTAGGAGTGGCTGGACCGTACTTTCAGGGATAGATGAGATCGCTAGTAAGACCATGAAGGATCCTAGCCCTCAAACGAAGGTCGATACTCCTTTATGGGCTGGTCTATATCTAATGGTGTTTCCTTTCGTTTATACGGGTTACTCTATCATTTCTACTGTTGCTCGTACGAGGTTTGTCGTAATAGTGTAGACTCTTTAGGGATGTAGTAGCCCAATATAGGGAGCTGGAGGAGGATTATTTAATGGAGCAATATCACAAATCGACGCGTTGGATCTCTCACGTGACGTAAATTAACGCGAACTTGAATTGCAACATCTCGGAATCCAAGAGTTTTGATCTTGATCTGACTGGGGACTAGATTCCACTCTCCTGACAAGCTCTCACCCTTCCTCCTTTCTTTGTCTTGCCGCTATGAATTCAATTGCAACTGTGCTGCGTCAACCAGCCCTGTCAAGGACACTTGGACGTCAAGCCCCTGCTGCTGTCAAGACATCCACATCCTTTGTGTGTAGTCCCACCACAGCTGTTCGCCATTACGCCACAGTTCGCAAGGAGCACACAGCAACCTCAAAGACGATCAACTTTATCCTTGGTACTAGTATTATAGCTGTCGGCGTTGTTGGCTTGTCCTATGGACTCGATTCACGGGCATCGATCCACAAATACGTGACCATTCCTCTTCTTCACTGGACTATGGACCCAGAAACGGCTCACAAGTTTGCCATCAAGACTCTCAAGATGGGTCTCTCCCCATGGGATACACAACAAGATGACCCTTCATTGGAAGTCAAGGTGAAGAAAAAGAAACAGAGATAACGATCACACGAATATATGGGCTTTCATTTTGCAATTGAAATGGACAGAAAAAAAAAATGTAGCTAACACGAAATTTTATAACAATTTAGCTCTGGAACAAGACTTTTTCTAACCCTGTTGGAATGGCTGCAGGATTCGATAAGCACGCAGAGGCAATTGATGGGTTGTTTGACCTTGGATTCGGTTATGTTGAGATTGGCAGCGTCACCCCTGAACCCCAAGTATGTTTTATCAGCAGAAAACAATACGAAGGATTGAAAAACAACTTTTTTTTTTTTTTTTTTTTTTTTTTTTTTTGAAAACAAACCAAATTGACAATTCTGCCTTTGTGCATGAAATATTCTTTCAAATATATTATTAGCCTGGAAACCCTCAACCTCGTATGTTCCGTCTACCGGAGGATAAATGTGTGATCAACCGGTATGGATTCAATTCAGAGGGCCATAAAGTTGTGGAGTCTCGTCTTCGTCAGCGCATCAAACGTTTCTTGTACAAGCACGCTCGCGAGAACCAGGAGTTGACACAGGAGAAATTGAAGCATGGACACTCCTCTACCGAGTCATTGGTTGATCATCTTTCCACCAACCGATCACTTCGTGATGACAGGCTCTTGGCAGTCAATTTGGGTAAAAACAAGACTTCGACTCCAGACTCTGTAACTGACTATGTTGTTGGCGTGGAGCGCCTCGGTCCTTATGCAGATGTCCTCGTGGTCAATGTCTCGTCCCCCAATACACCAGGATTAAGATCATTGCAACGTAAAGGTATGCTGGAGGGTCTATTGCGCGAAGTGATCAATGCTCGTGACCGTTTGCAGTCATCTTACAAACCTCCATTGCTGGTCAAGATCGCACCGGATCTATCGGATGAGGAACTGGAGGATGTTTCGGAGGCAGCGTTGGCTACGAATGTAGATGGTATTATTATTTCCAACACCACAATCTCGAGACCCAAGACTCTGATCAGCAAGGAGAATGCTAAGGAAATTGGAGGATTATCAGGACCTGTAGTCAAGCCTTTGGCTTTGAGAGCTTTGCGCCAAGTGTATAAGCATACTGAAGGAAAGATTCCCTTAGTAGGCTGTGGTGGTATTTCGACTGGCGAGGATGCACTCGAATATGCAAGAGCAGGAGCCAGTATGGTGCAATTGTATAGCAGCATGTCTTATGAAGGACCAGGAATAGTTCGTGCAATTAAGGATGACATTGTAAAGAGATTGAACGGACGGAAATGGATGGATATCGTGGGTGAGGATGTTAAGAAGAGTAAATAAGTAGATGGAATGAAAAAAAAAAAAAAAAAAAAAAACGATAAAAGCATGTACCAAAATAAATAACAGCCATTCATAGAAATTAACAGAAAAAGACCAATTCGTTAATTATGCCTATATGCTCAGAAATCAAATCTCAACAATATATGGAGCATGTGGCTCCATGTTTTTGAATTACTAATTCAATTTACTCGTGCGATACGAATTTAATCATACAAGTAAAAGCTAATGTACAAGGAGGAGGAAATTGATGATAAATAAGGTGATATCCAATATGATAAAAACGCTCAACGGTTCGTAGAAAAGCAAAAGGCAAGGGTTATTCAAAATCCAAGGGCAGACATGATACCGTAGCCCATGGTGACGATGACAAGAGTAGCCAAGATAGAGAGAGGTACACCACTCTTCAAAAAGTCCATGGTCTTGAGATAGGGAAGACCCATTTCATCCTCCAAAGCAATAGCGTTCATATTAGGAAAGCCCGAAACAGGCAAGCCCATGGCTGCAGAACAAATCAGACCTGTGCCCATGACCAAGATTCGAGGATGAGGGTCCGCAAAAGACATGCCGACCTGTTGAACAATCGGCAAGATGATGACTGCTGCGACAGTATGAGAGACGAATGTGGCAAAGACCAATGTCAAGGCACCAAAGATCAGCAACACCACCCATTGTGACAGATCCGCGACCGCTTCCTGGATATAATGAGCAATGGTATCCAGCAGTCCCGAAGAATCAACAGCCTTCCCAAGTGCAATTCCACCCATGGCCAACATGATGACCGTCCACAAAAAGTTGTTGAAATCCTCCTTGTTCAGCAAACCAGTGCCAAAAAAGGCGACCAAAGGCAAGATTGCAATCACACCCATGTCACCCAACTGCTCCTGGAATGAATTCTCGATACACCACAGTATTATGGTCCCAATGGTAATAACACAAATGAACACTTGTGAGAATGTGATGCGGTCTTTTGTAGCGCGGACAGTAGGGATCGTAGGTGTGTTACGGTGTGGGCGCCAGAGGATAATTAACCATGCCCAGATGATCAGATCGATAACAAGGCACAGAGGGAGAGCTATGGCGAACCAGTTACCCCAGGAAGGCGAAGGTGTCATGTTTTGGATCGTGATAATGTTCTGAGGTGAAGAAATAGGCGAAGCCATACCACCAACATTCGATGCAAGAGCAATTCCCATGATCAGACAAGGGCCAAAAGCTGACTTGTGAGGGAGAGTACGTAAGATGGACTGGACCAAAGAAAAGCAAAGGACAGGAGCTGCGACATTACTGATAAACATGGAGGAGATTGTGGCGACAAGCATATTCGCAAGTAAGACCCACTTGGGGTCTGTCCCTGCTCTACTCAAAACTGTGCTTGCAATGGCCTTGGCAATTCCGTATTTCGAAAGTGCGGAAGCAATAGTAAAACCTCCGAGTAAGAGCATGATTGTTGGAGAGAACATGTAGCCAAAGACTACCTTTGCGGCAGCCGAGGTCGAGAGGGTAGCTTTGGTATTGGGATCACGCATAACCTGGCAGAGAATTGTCAGCAGAGGAACCAGAAGTGCAGTAGCAAACAAAGGCATGACTTCGGTTGCCCAAAAGAACGCGACTGTGATCAAGATTGCAAAGCAACGGTTCTGCTCTCGTGTATCAAAGACGGAGACTGACATCAGGACGGCAAAAATAACAATACCTATGATGCCAAGGAGGATGTGGCGAGCATCTGCGGCGGTGATGAAGTGGATAGGGTATCCGAATAGCATCCATGGTTCCCGTTCATTTGGATCAACAGCTCTGGCTCCTTCGGCCTTTCGTTCCTGGCTGACCGCCTCACGCCAGATAGTGTTACGTTCCCAGACGATATACTCACGCAAATGAGACCGGAGTTCCTTCGCAGCCTGGGCCATATTTCCGTTGGTGCAAGTAGAGGCATAGATAGCTTGGAGTCGTCTGATCTGACTATCCAGGCTCTGGCGCGACTCGGCTTGAAAGGGGGCCGCCAAATCAACTACAGTTGACATATATCGGGTCAAGGTAGTGCAATGGGCCAGTTTGTCATGCTTCTTGACAATTTTTTGGAAGCCCAGATAATTCAAGGCCACGTAGGATTTTAATTCAGAAAATTGCATGAAGTTGTCGATGACACGTCTGCGGAGAAGAGCCTCCGCAGTCAAGGGAGCGTAGACAGAGGGTCTCTGATTGGGATCCTCATACATTTGGGCACCTGTGACAATATCATGCACGAAGGAGCTTGAACGTCTGCCGCCGTGTAAGGGCCTATGTTGATGCTGCATCGTACTATGATTGTGAGAGGATGACTTGATCTCAGGAGTAAATGGAGTGTCGAGATTCTGATGACTTGAAGCAGGGCAAGATTCTAAAGTATGTGAAGATGATCCTTGACGGATATTATCGTTGCTATTGTTGTTAACGGAGGAAGTTGTTCTTGCTGCCAGGGGATGTAGTCGGTGCTCTCTCTCGCTCTTGGTGTGCTCCTCTTGCTCTTCGATAAGGCACTTACGTCTCCAGACAATGTCAGTCAAGTCGCCGGCGGAAGCTCGGTGGCTATGTGACTCGGGTTTGTACTCACTTCCATCCGCAATCGTGGACTCACCAGCAACCAATGCAGGGTATCCTTTTCCTCTTGGGCTCTCGAAATCAGCGCTTACTCCATGGTCCACCAAACCATCCTCCTCCCAACCCATCATCTCTTTCAGCTGAGACTTTTCTACATCCCCTAGCCGCTTTTCATCATCAACATTGGCCAAGATGCGGCGATTCATCTCTCCAGAGTCTATTTGGGTCCCATCATCTTCCCCTTCGCCTTGAGTAATACGTTCCTGCTTCTGCCTCAGCTCTTCCAACTGCCATTGACGGTCAATAGCGTCAAGCTCAGCAGACAATTCACGTTCTTTACGGATATAGAATGATGTAACTTTGACTAATTCCTTGGCCAATTCACGCTCAAAGACTGCACTATCAGGTGGAAAGATGTTACTGCCATTATGTAATTCTGCTTCCTGCGCAACATTCTCAACAGCAGTCTTCTTTTGATACTGATCGTCCTTCCGTCCTCCCCATAGATGGTGACCAATCTTTTGAGACGAGGATTTAGGATTGACACTACTGCTGATGCCGTGACCTTGTTCGATATCTTCTGATCTTGCATCAATGGTGGCCTGAACATTGTATTGCTCAATGGCATAAAGTATCTTCTTCAAATTCGAGTATGCAATGTATTCGCTAGCCCAGTCGGGGACTGTTAGATAAATCGGAAGTAAAATAAAACAAAATAGAAAATCATTAGCATTGAATGTTATCGATTCGTTGGACTCTTCCCTGAACATACAATACAGCCGGGAATAGGAACCAGAGAAAGGTAGGAGAACTTGGAGCATAAATAAATATAAATTTTACAAGATGGCGAGATATCCCCTCCTTTTCCCCAATATAGGCACGTCTGAGAGAAGGAAACTGACTACAAGTCTCGAAAGCGCCATGTCATATTAATAATTAAAGTGGCAGTAACAAAAGCAATAGTACGAACCAGAGGGTCAAGCTTGTCGCTCTTTTTGGTTAGCCCTTTTCAATTATAAGAGTTTTGTTAAGTAAACCATTTATATTTGAAAAGGGCTAACCAAAAAGAGCGACAAGCTTGACCCTCTGGTACGAACAAATCGGATAAAGAATAGCCAGGAAGACACTCTTCACAGTCTAAGACAAATGACGAAATAATCCTGTATGGCCTCTCATTGTAAAGAACACAGCATTTTTTTAAAAAAAAAAAAAAAAAAAAAAAAAAAAAAGTCGTGTGATGGTTACACCGAAATAAAGTAAAGATACCAAATGGAGGATAAATGAAGAATGTGATCTGGGCTGTTTGGATGATGGAGTGGGGTACATGTGGAATGAGATTCTCTGTGAAGTCAGATAGAACTAAAACAATCATACCAGCGTTAAACTGCAGACTATGGCTGAATTTGACCATGGAATGTGATTAAAAAGGTAAATTAAAATGAATGATGCTTGAAAGAATCAGAGGAAAAGAAAGAAAAAAAAAAAAAAAAAGCGTTGGATTTGTGATAATGGCGAAAAAAGAGCCGGAAGGTCTATTGTGATGTTATGGTATAAAATGGAATAAAATGAATGGTTGTTTAATAATATTATTTTTCGGTAAATAATAACAATAATAATAAAAAAAAAATAAAAAATAATAAAAAAAGGCGTAACAACAAAGGAAGAAAGAACAAGAACAACAGAAAACAGAAAAAAACAAAAGAGAGACAACAAAAACGAAAAAAAGAGTGTCCAAGGAAGAGTCGTTACTTATGGAATCCGAACAGGCAGAATTAGGACGTTATCAAAATCTAAACTGAGGCATGGCTTTGCTGTGAAGAGATGTGTAAAACTTGGCAGAGCGGAAATTCATTTTTGCGTTCATTCAAGCCATCATTCTTTCTTTTAGTGGCAGCACTGCATCTTTTGGGTCTGATTATATCCAAAATCGTTTTTCTGCCCGATCGGTCTTTGAAGATTGGGATCCATTGATCGAGGATTGTGTCTCCGCTCAACATGCTCTTGCCTGATTCAATCCCGTCCTTAGTCAATTTGGTATGGGGGCTACCAAAAAGGGAACCTAATAGGCTGATGGCTCGCGTGAGTAATACCCATTTGGTCAGCTCACCAAAAACCAAATCCATTTTTAGAAGAGTCTTATCCACCTGGTTTGGTCATCAGCAAAGGTCGCAAGACTTCTTTTCTCCTTTCTCTCCTTTTTTTCTTCCCTTGATCTGATGAATTGTTTATTTTTTGTTAGTCAGGAACAAAGAGTTTGCTCAAATTCACAGGTCCACAGGCTGATCTCACTATCCTCCTTAGCATATTTGCTAAAATTTACTCACGAGTCCTTGTCTTTACATGATAATGGTCATTCAATCCCTTAATCATTCACCTCTTACATCAAGATTTTTTTACAGCAATCGTCCTATTGTATTCTTTTTAGGCTCATTCAAGATGACTTGCGGTATTTTTTTTCTTTTTTTCTTTTTTTTTTTTTTTTTTACAATTACCCGGATATTAATGACACCGATGTACACTTTGTTCGGCGGCGAATGTAAATAAAAATAGGCTTTATAGCATTCTTACTGGATACCCAAGACTACTTTCTGACCAAGCGGGCCCACCTGGACTAATAACGTAGCATGATTAACCACTCCATGATTTTTTTTTTTTTTTTTAAAAGATTCTTTTATTTGTCCATGGACGACTCAACACCTAGCAAGACGATAGTAAACCACGAAGAAGAAAAGTCTTCTGCATGTAATAATACGATCTAGAATTGGAGACAATGTACTTTTTTTACAAAGCACCAGATGTATACTCTAGTTCTCTTCTAGATTCAATCCCAACTTGTGATTCTCACTACCAACATGATTAATAAATACAAATTTTGACAGGTGATGATTCCAATTGAAACAAAAGGCCTTCAATTACAAGGAGGCCTTGATGTATGTGTTCGCTAAATAGGTGTCATAAAAGAGTTTGTAAAGCTCCTCCGCTTCCTTTGGTCAGCAATTGATTCATTTTTTAAGTATTTATATATACATGTAACACGTTGAAGGCCGGAGGTCAATTATATACTTTGTCTGTTGGAGGCGGCGACCAAACAAAACGGATACTACATGTATGTAGATATAATTGTTGCAAGATGTTTGCGTTCATCTGCTCTATCTACTAAAGTATTAGCAAACGATAACTACACCGCACTGATTACCAGATATCCTCAGTCAATAGGACACCTTGACTTTCGACATGGCTAATAACTGCCTAATTTGCAGAGCTCTTTAAAAATGGAGAGCTGTTTCTCGAGGATGGTAATGTCCCTACTAGAACATGTCTCTTTGTATAACATTGGGTGAAGAAGTTAATGGCGTAATATGCATGTTGTACCTTTGCATTCCAGCACCTTGCTGAAGTGGAGAGTGCCCAGTCAGGTGGTGAAAGAGAGACACAACAGGAGGAAGGACAGAGTGTTAGCGCATTAATGCATGCAAGCGTGTGCCGTGGACCTTCTGCTTCTGAGAATTGTCTAACGTACAGACGCGTGTGGTGCATCAGACTTTATTTTATACGTATGGATCTAGACTACAGACATATTCTCGTCTGCATGCACTGTGTGAGTAATTGAGTGGACCATATTGTAATAACATACTTCATAAACAATCGTTCATTTCTTTCATTCACAATCACTCCATCTAAATAAATTAAATTGAAGTACTGCAATCATGGCCAGGGGACGTTTTATCCTATTGGAAGGATGCGATCGCGCAGGGAAATCAACCCAATGTGCCATGCTGGTGGCAGCATTGAAAGAGCGTGGCCATTCCGTAGAATTATGCAAGTTTCCAGGTAATGAGCGTGAGAATTATGAGAACCATCACGCGTTTGGTAGTAGATAATCTGACAATTAAATCCATCATGGTTATTCTATTGGTCTTCATTGATAGATAGAACAACTACCATTGGGAAAATGATTCATGCATATCTAACAAATACGGAGGAATTGGATGACAGGGCTATTCACCTCCTCTTTTCTGCAAATCGCTGGGAAGCAATGTATGGTTGCTTAATCAACATCATAAGACACTTTTCAGCCCATGGAATCTAGAAAGCCCACCATGAATGCCCTCTTTTTCTTCTATTGATCAATCAATCTTTACTCTACTATATTTTTAATATCTCTTGACGAAAATAAGGCAAACAATCAAGCGCAAACTTTTGGCTGGCACTCATCTTGTTGTAGATCGATATGCATACTCTGGAGTTGCATTTTCTGCAGCAAAGGTATTATCATTACCATATCTTAATGAACTCATCGATTTCTTATAATGTGTAAATATATTTGCTCGACCTATTAATAAATATATATTTGTATAAAAAGGGCCTTGATTTGACATGGTGCAAGGATCCAGACCGTGGCCTCATTCGCCCTGATATTACATTCTTCCTTGATCTCCCTTCGTCTGACGCTGAGAAACGAGGGGGTTTTGGAGAAGAACGATATGAGAAACGTGAGTTCCAAGAAAGAGTCCGAGACGTTTTCCTACAGCTCCGGAGCAAAGAGTGGGTGATGATCGACGCACGCAAATCGGTCGAGGCAATGCACTATGAGATCCTGCGTGATACTGAGAATAAGGTTCGAGTTGCGGAGGCAGATGCTCAGCTGGAAGAAGAGGATGATGTCCTACCAGAAGACATGTTCCAAGATAGCTAATATCATTTATTCCCTTGAATAACTCTTAAATTAATACAATCAATAAAGCCGTCACCTTCAGGTACAAAACTTAAAAAAAAATACATCACAAAACAAGCCTCTTTTTTTTTTTTTTTTAGAATATTGTACACAACACTAAACAAAGTGAAGCTGCACCTTTCCCTTTTTCTTTAACACTACTTTCCATTCCCTTCCTTCCTCCGCCTTTCTTCCTCCTCCTTCATTAATAGTCATCATATCGCCCTCCTCACTCTATCTCAAGTTATATCCACTATGCCTTCTGTTGATATCAAACCTATCATCGACATCACTGACTTGAAAGTGAAAGAAGTCAAAGACAAGAAAGAGAAGAAAGAAAAAAAGGAGAAGAAGGAAAAGAAGGAGAAGAAAGAAAAGAAAGAAAAGAAAGAAAAGAGATCTCGCAAGACTAGCAGTAGCAATTCGGACTCGGACTCGGATGAAGAGATCAAGCCTGGCTTCAAGAAAATCCGCATTGAAAAGACTACGGACACTGTCACACCCAGCCCTGCAGAGACTCCTCGCGACACAACTCCTGAAGACGTAAATGAAAAGGATGGCGATCAGGGGGAGGAAACTATTCCTGAAAACCTCAGACTATCATCTTACAAGATTTCTCCTGCTACCGTCGCTGCTCTAGCTGCTCGTGGCATCAATGCCCTCTTTCCTATCCAGGCTGAAACCTTTGATTATATCTTCAATGGAAACGATGTCCTTGGGCGGGCCAGAACTGGAACTGGAAAGACCTTAGCCTTCGCATTACCTATGACTGAAGTGCTATTGAAGGATAAGGTCATTGCCGAGCGTGGTCGTTATCCTCGAGTTCTTGTACTTGGTATGTTCTAACTTATTTATTTTTATTTTTAATTTTTGTCTACAATGATATTGTATGTCTATACACACCGTTTAGTTTTTATAGTAGATTTTGAACTAACGCATTTCTCACGATTTCTATCATTGTTACAGCACCTACGCGTGATTTAGCTATCCAGGTCTCGAATGAATTCTCAAGCATTGCACCTTCTCTCAAATGCATCAGTCTTTATGGTGGTACACCCATGCCAGAACAAACTGCTCATCTCCGTAATGGAGTCGATGTCGTCGTCGGTACGCCAGGACGCTGTCTGGACCATATCAACCGCGGTAACTTGAAGCTAGAAAAGTTGCGGTTTGTCTGCTTGGATGAAGCCGATCAAATGTTGGATATTGGATTCGCAGAAGATATGGAGCAGACATTGCAACATGTTCGAACTCAAAAGGAAGCCCGTGGTGCATCTGCTCCCAAACACCAGACATTGTTGTTCTCGGCCACTGCACCCGATTGGATCAAACAGACAGTCGAAAAGTATCTGGACCCCAAATATATCAACGTCGACCTAGTCGGTAACTCTCGAGTTAAAACAAATGAGAACATCCGCCATTACGCCATTCCTTCGACCTGGCAGTCCCGCAAAGATGTCATCGGAGACGTGGTTGCAGTTTATGGGGGTAATCGTGGTTTGACTGTCATTTTTGCCAACACTAAAGCTGAAGCAGATGAATTGGCCTTGACGGACAAGCTTCGAGCGGATGCCAAGGTCCTGCACGGCGATATTCCTCAGGCGCAGCGTGAGTTGACTCTCCAGGGATTCCGTGAGGCCAAGGTCAAGTGTATCATTTGCACAGATGTTCTAGCTCGTGGTATTGATATTCCCATGGTGGATTTGGTCATTAACTGTCAACCACCTAAAGATGTGGAGACTTATGTTCACCGATCCGGTCGTACAGGACGTGCTGGACGTAAGGGCGTCTGCGTGACATTCTTCAAGGCTCAAGAAGAGTACATGATCCAGAACATTCAACGTCGTGCTGGTATGGAGATGGTCAAGGTTGGCCCTCCACAACCTCAGGATATCATTGCCGCTACAGCTCAGGATGCTGCTGATATTGTTGCCAAGGTGGTCAAGAATGTGATCCCTATGTTTAAGCCCATTGCAGAATCCATGATTGCAGACAGCTTTAGCGGTAACACCACAGAGGCTTTGGCAGCCGCTTTGGCATACATCTCTGGATATGGTGCTGGTGTCCGTGCTCGCTCATTAATGTCAGCCGCTGAAGGTTATACCACCATGCTCTTCCGTCTCACACATGAGATCCAGCATGCTGGATATGTCCGCAACATTTTGACTCGCAACTTCCCTAAACTAGGATATGAAGATGTTAAGGGCATGAGGATGACCAAGGATATGAAAGGCGTTGTCTTTGATGTAACCTCTGACAAGTTAGAAGTCGATAACAACATAATATCGCTTGCAGGTAGTCAATGGAGAGATTTGGACAATATCACACTTGAGGTAGCAAAGAGTCTGCCGGAGCTTGAACAGCGCATGGATGATCGCCGTGGTGGCTATGCCAGTGGTGGACGTGGCGGATATGGTAATGGGCGTAATGGTGGAGGATTTGGAGGCCGTGGTGGTTTCCGTGGTGGTCGTGGTGGAAATGGTGGAGGATTCCGTGGTGGGCGTGGTAGTGGACGCCGATAAAAGAAAGAGAGTACAACATTTCATTCTCCTTGATTCATTGTTACTGTTATCTTTTTTTTTTCTGTTTTTTTTGCATTATTCTGTATACTATTCATTCATTTGACCCCATATACACTCACCGTTTTGTATGCATATGTTCATTCATTATTAAAGGCACTTCTGAATAGAAGACGGGAATAATTATTCCTCTAAAAGCGTACTTCCTGACTCTTTATTAATAATATCGGAAGACACAGTATGATCCAAAAAAAAGATTAAATAAACAGAGTGTCTATTATCTATTCGTGGCAGGGCGATTGCTTAAGCAGAGTTGCCATCGTCTATCAGTAATACAATGAAATTAATTTTGTGAGTAATCATTATAAAAAGAAAAAAGAAAAGTTGCCACACGGTTTTTACTTTTTTTTTTTTTTTAACTTACTCTTCTTAAAGAAAGTGAAGTAGGCATAGGTCACATCAGCGCCCACCGCAGCACTGACGCCGCTGGCGATGGCTAATTTTTTGGTCGAATGGCCAATGGTGGCAGTGCCTGCAGCTGAGGAGTATTGCCTGCGCACAAGAGCCTGGAGAGGAGCGCGGACCGATCGCAAGGAAGAAGCAACCATAATGGAAGACATGGTTCGAGAAAATTAAATAAGTTGATTGGCTGATTAGTTTGTTGCAAGAGCAGAGAGGGGAGAGGAGATTTTAGGATGCTTTTTGATTTGTTTGCTTTTTTTTTTTTTTTTTTTTGTGCTGTTAATGATGTTGTTGATGATTGCTTCAAGATCCCTTTTTCTACCTTTATATACCTTTTTTTTTTTTTTTTTTTTTGAACGCATTGACCACCATGTAAAAAAAATGGTCGGATCATTTTCTAAATTTGGTGATTTGACAGTGTTACGTCGAGGGCGGCGTGCTGCGCGCGTCATTGGAATATTTCGGAACTAAATATCGCGCCTTGTCTGCGCAAAATACGCCGCCTTTCGCCAACTGACATTCTCGTTTTACACAACGTATGGGGCAAAAAAGGGAAAAAAACTCGATGTGATGGAAAGGTAACTTCATTACGCTTAAATAACTTTTTGTTTTGTATTAATTTATTACTTTATTTTTCTATGCTTTTCCTTTGATCACTTGAACTGCCAACACACCTCCATGCACTTTATCGATACTCATCTCCTTCCATACATAACCCCAACTCTCGAGCCAATCAATGATAGCCGGCTGAAGCTTGGCCCGTGCATTGGCCGAATGATTGCCCGTGCCTGTGACGACATAGACAGTACCCGTATAAACCTCATTCTCCAGTTTTTCCATAAACTCATCTAAGAACGCCAATGACTCTTCGACATGTAGCCCATGCAGATCAATCCATGTTTCGCCTTTACCCGTACTCTTGACCATGGTTCGGTTTCGAGACTCGAAAATCTGTCGACTAGCAGCACGATGTGTTGCCATCATCAGATCATTGTACTCTCGGCCCTGTGCAGATAACTTTGCAGCAGCTGCACCATCATTATCGAGGTATGCTCGAGTAGCCAACTCAAAGCAGCGGTTTCGAGCCTTGGCGTACTCGATTGCTTGTGCACGAGACCTAAGATACTCGTTATTGAGCGCTGATCCCGTCTCCAACCATGGGATAGATGAAGGAGCCATTTGAAGCTTAAAGGCTCTGCGCTGCGTTTCTACATCTTCTTCACGCTTCAAGGGCGTTAGCGGTTTTGAGGCTGCTGCTGCTGCCGTTGCAGAATATGAAACAGCTGGTTTTGTCAAAGGTGTAGTCACTTTGACTTTCTTTTCAAGCTGAGTTGTGAGCGCATCAATAGAATCGCTGTCCTGTTGTTCACCAACAGCGTTGCTCTCGCCACCGCCCTTGATGTTATTTGCGCGCTGTTGTCCATTAATCTTATTGGCTTCCCATGTACCTTTATTCTTGGTTGATATAGTGGCCGATAATGAAGGGAAATCAGTCGCATCCATACTTGGTAATTCTTGTTTTACTGGAGGCGGCGAAGCTACCTTTGCTACTCGACTTGTGTCAATAAAATGGTTGAACTCGCATGTATCTCCTTTCAAACATTGCCCTTTGAGCCTTTTTTAAATCCGCAAGGTTTGAGGTAAGCGATCAAGGAGTTGGTGAATATAGACTGTAAGCAATAATAATACTTAAAAAAAATCCCGTTTCTTTCTGTATTCGTTGATTCGCAAGATGACCACCTAATCCAAGGGCTTTTTTTTTCCTTACCAAAACTTGCAGACCATCGTATCTAGGTCATGACTGTACCAGCAATCCTTACGGAAACAGTTACCCTGCAAGAAATGTCGACATGTTTGAGTCGACCGAACGACTCCTGGCGGTATTGGCAACACATTCTGTTGATTTGAATGGCTCGAAGCAATTAAAAAGTCTAAAGTCCTTTCAAAATCGTAACCACACTTTTCAAACGCTTTTTCAATTTTGACCGGATCCATATCTCGAAGAATGATGACCAGCATTTCTAGAGGTGTCATGTCCTGATCCATATTGGCTGTCTGTTGGAAAGCATAATTTTCATCCGCTTCAGCGTCCTCGTCTGTTGAGTAAAATATTGGAGGGGGATATTGGATCTGCCCGTCCGTTAAAGAATAATGGCTTCCATAGGACATATTTTGAGAACCGTTGAGGACTGCCAAATCCGAAGCACTAGGTGGCGCAAATGGGTTGAATTCATCATCATCAAATGGATCCAGTGTGTCCCGCGGCAGAGCATTTCCATTGTCATCATACGGGGTAGCGATTGATTGTGCCGTAGTATCGTCATCATCGTCAATTCGAGCCCACGTCTCAGGATCCCTCTGACTATTACTTTCTATATCATCGGCCTCCACGTCATCCTCGACATTTGCCTCACCCAATGACTCCGATCTGTCCTTAGGATTGATTATTGGAATAGCACGGGAAGCAACCGGTTGATACTGATAACCTAATGAAGATGTATGATGGGGATAAATAGGGGCTTCCATCCAAAAGAGTCCTCCCTGCTCATATTGAGCAAACAATTCGGCTACTATGTCCTGGAGATTTACATTTTCCTTTTTTTTTGTATATCATAGAGACAATAAACAAACGTAAGGGGATCTGTATAAAGATGATAGGAAGTAGATGGCAATTCTTGAAGAAAAAAGAAAAAGAAATTCGCAATAACACTTACAAGACTACAGCTTGTCTCGAGACACTCATAAATTATAGCCGATTTTTCTTCCTCTGAAAGAGTTTGGTCATAAAGGATTCCGATGAAATAATGTTCATATTCTGGATCTAGATCCAGCCTGGCGACGTAATTCGAAATCCAAGTCGCCATTCAGAGTTAACGAATGCCGAGTCCAGTTGTATAAATAAAATAAAATAAAATAATAATAATAATAATAATAATAAAAAAGGTATATCCCTGAAGCCCAAAAGGTAAAATTTACTGTAGTGGAACGAGAAAGAGAAATAAGAGCGTTATAGCTGCTGATGTGATGGATGGGTAGAAGGCCTTCAAGCAAGCCCAAATCTCTTAAAAGTCAAAATACCCCAAATACTCCGAGGCAAGGCTGCGACCGTTCACTGTGGCTTTTTTTTTTTTTTTTCTTACATGAGATGATTGTGTGGAGCATCTGTGATAGAAAACCTTGATTTTAAAAAATATGCTCCGCCTACTCTTACACTACCTCAGGGCAATTTGAGATTCGGCATGTGCGGAATCCTCTTCGGCATTCAACGTACAAAGGATGTCTCAAGTTTGGAATACAGTCGCACTTGGTCTACACTACAGGAACTAAATGCTCGACGAGGTAGCAACAGAATTTGTTCGAGCCCCAACCTGAAGAAACTCTGGCGTAGCGTCTAATATGTGCCATTCCAAAAGTACTAGATCTAACGAGGATGGTCTATGCTTTTTAATTAGGACCAAGCGCTCAGGACACACACAGCGTGAAAATTGATCAGGACTATACACAATGTGGCGATGTTGGTTCAGGAAAAGAGATGACATTCTATGGTGCGGTTCTCCACCTCAGAGGTGACAGAGTCACTCGTCAACCTCATGTCTCCAAGACTGGGAATATACTCCTCTGGAATGGCGAGATCTTTGACGGGATTTTTGTAGACCATCATGAGAACGATGGAGAGGTGCTAATGACAAAATTGGAGGCATTCTCTCAAACTGATAATGTCCAGAGCCACACAAATCGTATCTTGCAGGTTATGGCCAGCATCGAAGGGCCATACGCTTTTGTGTATTTCCATGTAAGGCTGATGTATCAGAGGAAATATTAGTCTCACAAATGATGCCTTTAACGTACTTGGTTTACTAACGGGCTTTTTTGTTCTGTGATATAAAGGCTTTAACACGGACGATACACTTTGGTAGAGACTGTTTAGGGAGGCGCTCACTACTGTGGCATAAGAGAAATAACGAAGGAAGCAATATAGATCTGCCGTTTATCTTGACATCCGTAGGATACAGCTCCTTCCGCAAGGACTTAATGCTCATGGAAGAGGTGCCTGCAGATGGGATCTATAGGTTGGCTCTCGAAGCACAGAGTAAAATGTCTCTCACTCGATATCCATGGGCCTCAGCAACCTCTATCCAACCTATTCCCAATGAGGTTTGCAGCAGGATGGTACACCTCAATGTCCATGCTCCAATGTCATATTGAAAGTTTTTTTTTTTTTTTTTTTTTTTTTTTTTTTCACTAGTCTCAACTAATATACATATCCATTTTCTTTCAGCCTCTACCGTTTGGTAAGGTAAACGACCATATCCCTACAGTGAATGAATTAGCAGAGCCATTTCCAAAGGATATCAAATTTGATCAAGCGCATCCTGAAGTTGTACCGTTCGTTACAGAAGACATGAGAAGAGCGATTTCAGACATGATTGAGATTTTGGGGGACTCAGTCCGTAGACGTGTACAAGATATTCCGCGAACTGGGTTAGTATATCAGACATCAAACTACAGAATAACAGGTATAATATCTTCAATTATTGATGTCTCGAAGGGTTTTTTATTGCTATTATTATTTTTAGCCAACTTCATGAGGCTCGGGTTGGCATTCTGTTCTCAGGAGGATTGGACTGTTTATGCCTTGCAGCTCTGGCTGACCGGTTTTTACCTCAGGATGAGGCCATCGATCTACTTAATGTTGGATTTGAAAATCCTCGGACTGTAAGGGCCCAAGCAGCGGAAGAAGCTCTGGCCTTGAAGCGTTTAAAGAAGCTATCAACCTCTGTTAGCAACACAGGCGAATCCAAAACTAATAGTCCGATAACGCAACCCAGATCCAAATACAATGTTCCAGATCGAGTCACCGGGTATGAGAGTCTCGCCGAGCTGAGACGGATAGCCCCCAATAGACATTGGAACTTTGTAGAGGTTAATGTCCCCTTTGACGAAGCAACTGCCCATCGGGGTGAAATCCTGGAGCGGATAGCGCCTCTCGAAACCGTCATGGACCTGGTATGTGATGACCAGGCATTATTTTTTGAATCTCATGTATTAGAAATGGCTTTGTATTCTGGAAGAATGCTGATTATAGATGGTTTTGCCATATGGATAGAGTATTGCAATGGCTTTCTGGTTTGCGTCTAGGGGTATCGGCTTCATCAAGGACGAGGAAGGCGAACTAATGTCATATACAAGTCAGGCCAAAGTTCTTCTTTCTGGTTTAGGAGCGGATGAGCAATTAGGTGGTTACTCACGACACAAAGAGCAATTCAGTCAAAGTGGTTGGGAAGGACTCATTCAAGAACTGCAGTTAGATCTTGACAGGATATCGACCCGTAATCTCGGTATGGTTTTTGAACTATCAGCCAAGTTGTTATAATTTAGCTATCATTAAGCTCTTACTGTTTTTCTCATCTTTTTTTTTTTTTTTTTTTTTTTTTTTTTGCTTCACTCAAATGTCGTAACATTTGTCAGGCCGTGACGATCGTATCATATCTGATCACGGCAAGGAGGCGCGGTACCCATTTTTGTGCACAAACGTTGTTCAGTTTCTTAGTAGCCTTCGTGTGGATCTCAAAGTGGATCTTCGGTATCCACGGGGTGTCGGTGAGAAGATTTTGCTGCGACATGTAGCTCGCGAGCTAGGCTTTAAGCGTGCCAGCTCGCATTGGAAGCGAGCGGTGCAATTCGGGGCACGCACGGCCAAAATGACTGAGAGTGGCCGGGCAGAGATAGGGCAGCAAATTGTAGACCGTGGTAGTGAATAATGATTAGAAATATCACGAAAGCATTAATCATATAAAGCAAAACAAGAAAAAAAAAAATGAACTAGTCATACATCTTCGACAATGTCTCAATTGTTTTTGCTCTTATACTCTTATACTCTTGTTTCATTGATGTTGTGCTGTGAGCAATACTCTGTCAAGGAAGGAGGCACAAATGTACTTACCTTGAAAGGCAACTTTGCAAGCTGTAGAGTTGACTTATTTGACTATTTCGGTAAGGAGCCTGGAAAGAGGCAATGAATTGGTCAGAAAAAGGGCGGCGCATGTTCAGTCGAACCTAATCTAACTGCTGTCTATTATTCAGGATGTTCGAGGGAGCTATAATTAGATGGAGAAAGGTTGCACGAATCCATTTAAGCTACGTACAGATTTTTTTTTTTTTTTGTAATACAAATGATGCAAGGTTATCCAGCTCATGAAGAAAGTTGACATCTAAAGCTCTCTCCTTTTAGAAAATTGTTCGATTTGACTACGAGGAAAAAGAACTTGGGCGTAAGGCAATAAGCAACAGGTCAGACTAATTTTCACGCCGCTTTTTTCCTTTGTTTATTACCGATGAATGCACGAGTTACCATGGCAAATCTCTCCGGTTCTTCAATGAAACCAAACAGGTAATGAAACCAGATAATTTAAATAGCCACGTTTTCCCCACTTCTTTTAACCTCACCCTCCACGCATCCCAACTTCCACTTCTAGTACCATTTGCTGACACCACTTGTTCATTTACTCAACGCTTTTCTGATCCCTCTTTTTCCTTCAAAGAATAATATAAAAATGGTTCGCTCAACAGCATTCCTGATCGGAGCTCTTGCCATGATGCAGGCAGCTATGGCAATGACTGATGGACAATATCGCATTAAACAAGGAACCAATTTCATCACTGCCAACATAAGCACAACTGCATCGAACGCCTATCTGGCTCCGCTTGATGCGTCCAAGGATCAGATCTGGGAACTTAAGAGACAACCAGGAGACGACTTTTACTTCTCAAGCCCCAAAACCGGCCGTCATATTGGCATTGATAAATTTGACGAAAGAGCCCCCATCGTGATTGGATCGCAGCAACAGAGATGGAAGCTTTGGAGCTTTAATGACGAATATCAAATCGTTCATCCCGACAAATACGGCGAAGAAGATCTCACAATCGGCTCTTTGAATTCTGCTGTTGTCCTCCGAGATCTCTATGGTGCTCCTTTGGCCTCAACCGTTTGGTACCTTGTGCGTGTCTGAAGAGCCTCTTCACGTGAGACGACGAAGAAATCCACCGTTCTTTTAATCAAGTTAGACAATAAAACCATATTCTTTTCTCCACTCAAACTAACGCCGGACTGTCGCCTTGTCGTACTGTGAGGACATAGACACAGATGTCGAGCACATGAAGGAGGTGTGTCTTCAGAGCTTGAATCTAACAGGATACAACTATTATTATATATATTTTTTCTTGTTCTTTTTCTTTATTTTCTTGGGAATGAAAAACGAAGGTGCTCTCTCGCGACAAATAATGCGTAGGAAAGTGTGACAGCTAAAATAAGGACATCAGCAGATGCTCTCGTACAAAGCTACAAATTAAAGGTGAAAGGTGAATCTCACATTCTGAGTACTTGCATCAACAAAAGCATCGCTTTTTTTGTGTTTAGTCAATAAGGACTGCATCCATCTCACCAAGTTTGAAAAACTAAAGCGATGATGATGTGTAATGACAATGCACAATTTGATGACATGATTACATCTGTATAAAGGTTTGATTTTTGATAGATCAATATCACAAAAAAAAAAAAAAAGGGCTATTTTTTTTTTCCGTTCTTGAGCGTTGTGTATGGAGCTCCATTCATATTTCGAGTGCTGGAATCCCGACTAGTTATTTAGCTTCCTTCAAAGGTAAACTTCTATCTTTCAACGATGGAGAAGCATCTTTGGGTTAATAAATCTGAAAAAAAAAAAAAAAAAAAAAAAAAAAGGCCACTGGGAAAGTTTAACTTAAAACTCATCCTTTTTTTCTGAACTCAGAAAAAGGGAAGAAAATTTTGGAATATCAAATGGCTTGATCTGTGCAGAAAGTTTTTTGGAGGTCAACGGTGTCAATGAAGATGGTATGGGATATTTGCAATTTATTTTTAAAAAAGAAAATGATAACCTTGTTGATAGACATTGCTGTAGAGTTCGAATCATACCGAGGAAGAATGGTCCTAGGACCCTAGATCCGTAGGATCGTTCACGTCGCGTAAACCTTGCTCTCTTGGTTACTATTTGCTCCCAATCTCTTCTTTCTTTATTCCAACGGATTGTTAGTTGTATAGCCAAGATGCCAGTTGTTTGTTGATATACAGACACTCCTTTGATGAAAAAGGATATGAGATTCATTGCAAGGCCCAGCACAGGAAGTGTCAAGCCGAGCACAACGTTCGTAGAATATGAAATATTGTGAATCACAAACAGCAACAAATAAACACAAGGAATCATGTATGATATGAATGTGGAATGATTGAACTTAGGGCATTCGAAAATTATAGGTACCTTCCTCCTTTCCTTACTACTACCCATATGGTGATAAGTGTCAGGTCCCTTAGTCTCGCTTACGATTTTTAAAAGGAGGTCAGTGATGGTTAGCAGAAGAACTTTTCTTTTACAAATAGATAAGGCGCGTCGTATTTTCTCATGTTACTTGACTATTCATACAAATGCATAAAGATGTATTTGATATGAAATTCGTCGCTTAAAGAGGTGAATGACATTCGCAAACTAGTAGATCTTAGATATCATTCAATAAAATGTCCTCGGAGATGAGAAAAACCAGAAGAGTGTGGCAGTGACTTAGATCGTGGCAAGACAGCACGTTTGACGACGTGATGGCGAGATAGGGGGTGTGCATAACTCCAATAAGCATGCAGAGTAAGACTGCATTGCCACAAGATGTCGATCACCAAAAGTCAAAAAGCAATGCTGCGAACAATAACAGTAACGATGATAAGCACACTCACCAAAAAAAACGATGGGTCAAATGTACGATAGTTGCTTGACTATTTTATACATGAGTTACACAGCTGTTTTTATACGCTCTTTTACGTCGAAGTACACTATGAATACCCGTTGCGGTACAGTCATACATGAACATGCACAGGATCTGAATGGTATATACTACAGATCAAGGCCTATTCAGCAAGTGCTATAGTTGGACGGAGCACTCTGACGACACCATTGGTATGTGAATGTGGGGTTGAGTGAATATGTAAACAAGAAGCCTTTTTTTTTTTAGCTGCATGTATATAAATTGCGTGGCTCGTTCGGCAACAAACAACCTTAAATCTTCCGGGAAGAACTAGCGCACTTTCCGCAGAATACAGAGGTGATACCGACTCGAATAAGATTGTAAGATCAAGGCCGTTGTGCAATTATATCAATTGAAATATACATGGTATATCTCTGTGGTTCGTGCCTAACGTACTCGAGAGAAATTGAGCAACAGACGAATGTTCTCAATTATATTGTACCCAAGCATTAATCCTCGATTACTATCCATCTCTTTTGTGCTTATTGCCCATGAGAATTAAGTATCCGTGAGGACCTTCCCCTGATATGGTTGCTTTATTGCTGTTACATCCCTTCAACGCAAGACACTGTTGTCGCTGTTATTTGATCATCTTTCTAGGCTTAATCTTTGACACTTTTGTTATTGTTACTTTGCTATTTGTTTGTTAGAGAGTGAGAAAGTCCTAAAAAGAGAAGGCAGTGAATGTCTCTTGCTCAGCCAAGGATTGCTTTTTGTATCCACGTTTGTACAACAATATCAATAGTTTGGATAATGATAGAGTTGCGTCTGAACAGTGCATGCTGCATGACCACCCTCTACATGTATACTTGCATTGCCATCGTGTACTACATCCAGCCCAAGCCAGCTTGCCAACCCTGCCGCTTTGTTTGTTGATCCTCGAAGCTGGAAAAAAAAAAAAGCATATAAACATTCCAACACATCCTACTTCTCCTCTTTTTTTTTTTTTTTTTTTTTTTTTACTTCCTACAGAAATAACAGTTGCTAAAGAGGCGAATACCCTCTCTTTCTGTCTCCTTCCCTCATTCACTTGCTCTTTTTGTGATTCACGCCATAAAACATATAAATAGGGACCTTCTCTTCTTGCTTTTCATATTTTCACAGAATAGCTGTACATCCCACTCATTCTCTCATTCGCTCACACATCGCAAGCTAGGATGTCCAGAAACCCATATTTCGCACATCTGCCAACCTGGCGCAACCGACAGGACTTGGCCTATGCGCTCGACAACATTCCTCATATTCTCACATCCTACAAATCCTGCTCGATATCATCAGCATCTACATATTATCCATATCCATCACCACCATCATCCCCTTGTTCAACTTTTACACAATCATATTCTTCATCCTCATCACATTTACGATCGGCTCTCAACACAAGTCGTCAGCATCGCCTGCTCCAGAAGCAAATTTGCAGTTGCCACCCTTCCTCTTCAGAACCCACTAGCCATAATGAGACCTGCGACATGCTCCGATTTTCAACACGCGCTCAGGCTATGGGCTTTTTGATCGATATTTTGAGATCCCTACAAGAAGAGCCATGCGGCTGCGATCTTGTTCAGGGTTGTTTTTGCTCACCTGACGGAAAAGTAGAGGACCATTCAGGAATGGCCCCTTGCTATGTCTGTGGTGAGTGGTATGCAGAGCAAGTTTACTGCCGAGATGAAGAGACTATGGAGGTTTATCAGGTGGATGGACGAAGATGGCATGAGCAGCTCGGAACATCCCTGAGACATCATGTTGCAGAAAGCAGAGTGCGTAGGTGGTTGGATGAGGTCGTTGTCGATGTACCTCCAAGAGCTTTTCTGCAAAGGTCAAGGTCCATGCCGATTCAAAGAACTCAATCAGCAGCAGCAACAGCAACAGCATCACCATTTCCACCACAAAGATCGATGTCCATGGCATCAAGGTCTGGATCTGTCCCTGCTAGCATTTCAATCCCTCAAGAAATTCTTGATCCCAGATGTCGATCACCAGGGTTCCGTATCAAGAATAAAGATGTCGCAGCAGCTGTTACACCATGCACTGTCCCTTCGTCGAATAGTGTCACAAAAGAACAGGAGCCGGAGTCAAGCTTGTCAACAAGGTTCAGTTTCACGTCTGAGCGATTCAAGCTTGCAGTTCAAAATCTGCAGGGAAATACCCCTGATAGGTCCAACTCAACTCCTAATGTTGCCCCCGTCCATAACTCTGTTCATACTTCTGCCGATTCTCCTGTTTCTGTTTCTGTCCCTGATGTCCCTGTCCCTATCTCTACCATTGTCACTGAGCCTATTCTTGCCCGTCCTAATGCCCCTGTCCCAACCCGTGCCCCTGTCCTCGATGCTCATGTGACCTCGTCCTGTACCATTCAGGAGACAGGAATGGGGCAATGCAGCATGCATGCAACGAACAAGGTTAAGAAAGATGAAATTATCCAGTCAAACTTTCCTTTCCACCCATGCAGTGCGGGACAAATGGACAACAACAACAACAACAACAACAATAAGATGAGCAATTCACAAATGGACAAACAAAAAGGCATCTGTAGTACTAGCCGCATTGGCAACAATAACAATGATAACAAGAACTGGGGTACATGCGCGTTGTACGACAGTAATCCCGCAAAAGAACAAGGGGTAGTCTATAACTCAAAGTTCTCCAGTACTCCAGAAGTACCAACGGAGCTAGGAACAGGCCAACAGACAGAGACGCGAACACAAGCTACAATTACGACATCTCATTTGATCTCACATTCGGACAATGAACATGTTCAACGACAACTCTATCCCGATTCGACTCAGCCTTTTACTGCTCAGCAAGTAAAGATAAGATCCCACAATCACAACATGATTGATACGTCCAACGACTCAGCTGAATGTCTTCAAGTCAGCTCTGCACCAAAGGTAGCATCAAACCGAGCTGTAGTGCGCTCAAAGCTTTGGCTCGATTCACTTCAGCCTATCCTAATACCCTTCAAAATATAATCACTTCTGCCTTCAACCTCCGTGTTGCGGTCTCTCGCAACCAACACGACATACCATCTAAATAATAATAATAATTGTAACAATAGTAATAGATTGTAATATATAGAATAATAGAATAATAGACCTATAGTAGACCTAATTAATCCTAATAATCCTAATAATCCTAATATATAATATAATAATAATAAACCAATAACAACAATATATATAATATTAATATTACGATATATATGAAGACCAGATCAACATCGTTCGAGTTCATTTTAGAAAGTCATATTAAATAAACAAAGCAGTAAAGATATGGTTCATGGTGTTCTTAGCCAATCCAACAAGGAAAAAAAGGCATCCCGAACATGTAAATCCCGCACACAGGCTGCAACAAGGTTGAATCCATTCAAAGAATTGCTCTCGTTTTACAGCTTTTTTTTTTTTTTTTTTTTTTGCTGCAGTAAGCAAAGCTACACGTACCAATTGACAATTGAGAAAAAGAACCTAACCAAACAAAGCACGATACTTAATCAATATGTAGGGGAGAGATGCCGATTTGGCCGTTTCTGCTTGATGAGGGGCCTAAGAAAGCAGTATTGACCGTTACATTATTTGTATACTACATATTCATACATGCGTTCTCTCGCTTGGATCTGTGATCCTTTTTTCCTTTTATAACAATATGTCGAAGCAATATACGGTGCTCACAATAAAAGTATTTGATGTTTTTTTTTGCATAAACTTGCCTTACATGCTTGTTAAATTGCTTTAACAAGGTCAACTTTTGCTTTTCGTTCAAGAGTGGCTTTATACTTTCCTTTTTCTTTTATTGCATGATATTGAGCCTCTTTGAAGGGAACATTCTTTAAAAAAAAACTTTCATTTGAGAATTACTCCTTTAAAAATACACAACACCTGGAGCTTTATAAAACGGAGGAAAGGATTCATGTTGCCGAGAAGTATCTCCGCCTTATTTTCATGGTAAAGTACATGCAGTGAATGTAAAGAAAGGCTTGAAAATCACGCACATATGCCTAGTAAAAAACATTCCAGCACTTTTATTGTGAGCAATACACATGATACCATAAACCTGAGGAGCTTTCTAACCTGTCCCCATTCACTAAAAGTGAATAGCTTTATAGCCAAAAGTCTACTCAAATTCCCTTGATAGTTCCTCCAGATATCACGCGCAATTAGGTAGTTCTCACTGCCAAGAAGACTCCGTAAGACATATCTAAAGCCAACCTATCAAGGTGGTCCTTCTCACAGATGATAATACACGGTCTTACATACACTTCCTTCAGTGAAACAGCCACAAGTGCCTATCACTACAATATGCTTTATTCTTCGAAAGAGATAGTTTCCTTTCCTTTTTCTTTTGGCATAAATACTGAGGTCAAAGCTCGACTGGTTGGAACTCTTTTATCCAAGATAACATGTACAAGGTTGGAATGGTGCCCTGAATTATAGACAAAGTTGGTTGAGGTGTTACACAGACAACGAAAACCAGATGAATTTTGGACTATACTAAAGTTGGCTGATCTGCCCTCGTTTTTTCTTTTTCGATTCGTCTGATCCGATTCCTCCCACATCTTCCATCCATGCCGTTGCCGATGAGATCCATCGCATCTGCTTCGATGCCCATCTTCACCTCATGTAGGGCCCAATGGAGTAGGAGTACATTTCTACACAGACCTCGTTTTCACTTTACACAGTTGCGATACAAGTCAATAGTATCTTCTCCTGCAGGAACAACCTTGAGTATTGGCCACACAAACCCGTCCAGTCCAAGGATCGCTCGTCAACGTTTCCCTTTAGGGAATAAAACATCCGCATGTCTCATTGCATTGACAACAGGAGCAATTTTATACAATGTTAATGATCCATTCAGACATGTTGTTCTGGCTTTGAAGAGAATGGCCATCGCAGGGGCAGCCGTCACTTTTGTTGGTATTGATTATAAATATACCATGGACACCTTGGATCGCAATCAAAATTTTAGAAAGGGCAGTCTAGAAGGTGAGGCGGAGCGAGCACGTCACATGAGTGAGCTTCATACGCGGAGTGCTGTGCGATTAAGAGAAATGCTTAGGAGAAACGGAGGCATTTACATCAAACTTGTAAGGATTTGTTCATTGGTTTTTCTTGGAGGATATATTGATCGAGGGGTGTTTTAAAAAAAAACAAACAAACTCACAGTTACCGATTATATTCCAAATTTAATTAGGGACAACACTTAGCCAGCATGACATATCTGCTTCCGGATGAGTGGACAACAGCAATGGAACCCTTGCAGGACCGCTGTGCTCCATCTTCTTTTGAATCGGTCCAGAGACTTTTCTTGAACGATCTAGGCCAACCATTATCCGCCTTCTTTTCATCGTTTGATCTAGAGCCTATCGGCGTTGCTTCATTGGCTCAGGTGCACCGGGCTAGACTCTTGGATGGTCAGGAAGTGGCGGTCAAAATCCAGCATCCTGCACTGCAAGAATTTTCGGCAATCGACATCAAAACCGTTGCGTTTCTTACTAATGTTGTAGCGAATATCTTTCCAGATTTTCAGTTCAAGTGGCTGAGCGATGAGATGGAGACTAGTCTACCAAGAGAGCTGAATTTCAACATCGAGGCTGCCAATGCGGCACGGGTTGATGCTAACTTTTACAAGGCTCGTGCAGAAGGAAGTCCATCAACCATCAAAATCCCAGAGGTCATTTGGTCAAAGAAACGAGTGCTAGTCATGGAATGTAAGTGACTATACATCTCTTTAGTTTCAAGAAGTGGTGATATGCAACGAATCATAGCTGACATGTTATATAATTTTTTATCCCTCGAGAATAGTCATTCATGGTTCAAGGATCGATAACTTGCAGTACCTTAAGGATCATAACATTGAAGTGTCGGAGGTGTCAAATGAGATGGCCCGCACCTTTTCGCAGATGATTTACAAGGATGGGTTTGTACATTGTGATCCTCATCCTGGTAATGTCCTGATTCGACCCAAACCGACTGGATCTCCCTCTCCTCGTAACTTTGAGATTATCTTGTTAGACCATGGACTTTACCGCGAGCTTACACCAGAGTTCAGGCTCAACTATGCTCGTCTCTGGACTGCCATTATTGCTTCGGACGAGAAGGAGATCAAGTACCGTGCTTTGAAGGTTGGGGGAACAGAGGCTTACAAACTGTTCTCTAGTATCCTTACAGGTCGTGACTGGTCGGTCGTTAAAAATGCTCAGCTTACTAAGAAGGCGCGTGGCAAGGATGAGATGATCGCATTAGCAGATGGAACTGGTTACGCAATTGCTGAGATTGCACAGATTCTGGCAAGGGTCCCTAGGGAGCTATTGCTTCTATTCAAAACCAATGATCTGCTTCGTGCACTGGACGAGGATCTAGGTGCGGATGATGGATCGCAGATGAGGACATTTGCAGTGATGGGACAATATTGTGCACATGCCATCTATGAATCGAACAAGATGTCAATCCAAACGCATCTGAATACAACCAAACTGACGATTGGCCTGGCCACAAGGATCGTACGTTACTGGATTGAATCTTACTGTAGTTATATGTTTACAACGCTTTCACTGGATCTCTTCATGTGGTGGATTGACCTTGCACAATCCAACTCTATCCTTTATCGACTTTTATCAAAGATCGAGAACCCTGTGCACTTTTAAAAGGATATCAATCCGATATTTGCATTTCAAACATTTATTTGCATCATACCATAGACTCCATAAACAATATAAATATATATATATATATTAAATGTATTTTTCAATTCATTCGTAAATATATATAAAAATGTATAAAAATGCTACAATTCTATGTTATGTAATGTAATAAGTCCTTCCGTCAAATCGAGAGCTCCGCGATCTGTGCCTGTAGTTCATCCATCTTTGAAACCTTTTCCAATTGCTCTGGCAACATCGTTTCGCCCTTATCCATCCGCTCCTTCAATTGTTCAGCCTGTCTTAACTTTTTGTTCAGAGCACGCAGTTTCTTTTCAGGATCCATTGATACAGAAGATTCTGTCGTGGTCGTGACGCCTACCACGTGTACTGTACTATTGCTTGTGGTAGTTGCCTCAGTAGCGATTTGATCTGCTCCCGCTTGTTTTGGTGGACTTGCCGATAGGCTGTCTGATACTGAAACGTTAGAAGCACTGATTGGTGATGACTGCTCTTCCTTACGTTTTGCTTTCCTCTTTTCGTTTTTAAGCTGAGATTTCGACTTTGGAGTCTCGGCAGCAGGAGAGATAGTAGTAAGAGGTGATGATGATGATAATGATGAGTTTGGTGCAGCAGATGGACGAGCGGCGTCAAGAACACGGTTGGAATATTTTGCAACGTCTTCAGGAGGGACATATCCAGGGCGGACTCTACGTTCTTTCCTAACAGAGCCATCAGCACGACGAGACATGGGAATCACACGAGCATCATCTTTTTGTTGAATTCCAGAAAGGGATTGTGTTGGCGTAGTGGGCATTTTTTTTTATTTTTTTGTAAATCTAGTTCCTTGTTGGAATTTAAGCTGACAGGGCAACCGTTTTCTTTGTCCTGGGAATTCATTGTTTTTTTTTCAATGCCGGTTAGTCACGTGGTATAACGGACACGCTGTGTATGCTTTTTTATTAAGAGCTTGCTTTTGTCATAGTGTCTCCAAATGTGAAGTGCAATTAATGCTCTCTTGGAAGAAGCTCTGCTATACCTTTTTTTACTGCACAAGACGTGCAAATTGTTGAACGAGTTTGGTGAAGTTGCTGTAGTTGCCCGCCAGGGCGTCAAACATGTTTAAATCTTGATTGACTTTGATTGCCCGCGTCCCTTCTAGCACCGTAAAAACCCTCTTCATGGCTTCATCGCGTCTTTTGTGAGTAGGATCCCATGTTCAGGCTAAAAGGTTAAAAGGATTTTTTTATTTCGGTGGTTATCGGAGCGTTTATAGCAAGAACATTTTGGTGGACATGGCGGGCATGTAAGAGCAGTGGAGGGAAGAGTTGCGCGGCAGTCTCCGATCTATGAAGTTGATTTGATGGGGCGATATTTGTCCACAGAGTCAAAGTATAATTTTCAGTTTGGTCCTCCGCTCTCTCATAATCAGCATATCATTATCATTATCGCATACACATCAATGGGTCGCGGTGTTTACATATTGACGTTGGGAAAAAAAAAAATGTGTCAAGGTGTTCCATTCTCACATTCTCACCAACAAACCACGTCTTCTCTCCACACATCCTTTTTTTTTTTTTTTTTTTTTTTTTTTTTTTTTATTTTTTTTTATTTTTCTTTTTTTCTTCTTGCGTGTCTTTGCCTTCATTACTGTTTCCTTTTGTTCACGCTCAACAGACGTCATGCTCAACCTCTCAAAGACCATGGCCCTGCGCTCTGTCGCCGGTGTCAAATGTATGGCAACTCTAATAACATGCGACAATAAAGCAAGAACAGTCAGCATCACCATTCTGCAGCCATGGACATGATCTTCTTTGCATTGGCTCACGCATTTTTCTTCATGGCGAACTTTTTCTTTTTCTTTTCTTTTCTTTTTTTTTTTTTTTTTTTTTTTTTTTCCTGTTTTTGACCAAATCCGGTTACCATAGACTTTCATGCTGCTGCCGTGCAGAAGGCGACCACTACACTAACCATGCCTGCACTATCACCTACCATGACAGAGGGAACTATCACTGCATGGAAGAAGAAGGAGGGTAAGCAGACACGTTATAATGTTTACTCATAAGCTTTAATGGATCTATCAGGCAATTGCGTATGAACATTTGTTGGGAGACCATTTTCTCGTTTTTCGGCAACTGTCGAACAAGATTTTTTTAAATATTTTTATTTTCTTTGCTTTTGGGCCTGTGGCGACAATTCTGATCTGATCGCATAATTTTTACGTTTCCATTTGAAATCGAAACTGTTTATAGGCGACGCTGTCACTGCTGGAGATGTTCTTTTGGAGATCGAAACTGACAAGGCCGGCATGGATGTTGAGGCTGTCGATGACGGTATTCTCGCCAAGATCTTGGTGCGTAATGCTTTATCTGTCCTCTTCCTACATTCTCACTACAATTATTGCTTTTATTATTATTATTTCTTCAAGAAGGGCTTATTTCATTATGAATTGATGAGCCTGTGGTCTCGTTCCCACGTGTCGTTGTGACATTTGTGATATTCGTTGCATACTTTCATTAGTGCTAATATAATGTCTTCATCCTCACATCATCACATATTAGCACCCAGATGGATCTAAGGTTTCTGTCAATGAGATTATCGCGCTGTTAGCAGAGGAAGGCGATGATCTATCTAAAGTTGAAGTTCCCAAGACCAAGGCCAAAGCAAAGGCTGATACTGCGCCTGCTAAGGAGGAGAAGGAGGAGAAAAAAGAAAAAGCACCAGGTGAGAGGAATAACGTATTTCGCACACTTGCTTCCAAGGTTGCTTTTGACTATTTATATGATGATGTTTTAGAACGGAACAAACATTTCAAATACAGCTCACAGTAGCAGGGCTTATGGCAGGAATTTTGAACCTCTAATTTTGAGGAACAAGGCTGGAATCTGTCTGTTAAAAATAATGCTTGACCAGAGATTTCTAATTTCAATGGTTTTTTTTTTTCTTTTTTTTTTTTGGGTATATGATCTCGTAGCCACCAAGCAACAAGAATCTCAGCAAGTTCAGCAAGCTCAGCAAACATCCTCAGCTCCATCATCAAATCTTCTCTCCCCTGCTGTAGCCCATTTGCTCCTTCAAAACCATATAACTGATGTCACAAAAATCCCTTCGACCGGACCCAAAGGACGCGTGTTGAAGGGTGATGTGCTTGCTTTCCTGGGCAAGATCAAGCCTAGACCTGCGCCTGAGCCCACTATCCCTCAACCAAAGACTCTTCCTCCAGCCTCAAAACCCGCCCCTGCTTCCGCCCCAGCCAGCCCCTCGAAGACATCTGAATCCAGCTTCACTGACTCCTCTGTTTCTAATATGCGCAAGGTCATTGCGTCCCGGTTGAGCGAATCCAAGTCCACTGTGCCTCATTCCTATGTTACGCGCGATATTGTTATCGATAACATGATGAAGTTGCGTCGTCTTCTGGCTGGTAAGCCCTGTTATTCTGTAGTTGATCAAAGCGCCTAATTCTTTAAATTTGAGGAGCTTTGTTTTTTAATTTTCTTTTTTCTTTTTTTTTCTTTTTTTGGCTTTGAAATTAATAGATGAACTTGATGTCAAAGTCTCTGTTAATGATTTCTTGATCAAGGCTGCTTCTTTGGCTCTGCGTGATGTGCCGGAATCGAATGTTCAGTTTACAACTGGCGACAACGCAAAGCAGCTGAAAGACATCGATATTTCTGTTGCGGTTGCTACACCCACAGGATTGATCACTCCTATCGTCAAGGGCGCTGATTCGCGCGGTGTCCAGTCAGTCTCTTTGGTCGTAAAGGAGCTGGCTGAGAAGGCAAAGAAAAACAAGCTCAAGCCTGAAGAATATCAAGGCGGGTCTTTCAGGTATGGTATATGAAACTTAATGCCATGTTGTATAGTACTGTTAAAATTGGAAAACTGATCGGATTTTTTTATTGTTACCTTTTTAATGTTATTTATTGATTTAGTATCTCCAACTTGGGAATGTTTGGTGTCAGCAACTTTACCGCCATTATTAACCCTCCTCAGGCCTGTATCTTGGCTGTTGGTGGTGCACGCACAGTGTTCAAGCCTGCAGCTGTTGAAGAGACAACTGAGCTCCTGAGCGACTCGGAAGTTTTTGAATTCTTGGGAGGACAGGGAGGTAGCAAAAAGAGTACACCAACGTCAGCATCAGTGTCAGCATTAGGATCAACAGCATCCAAGAAAGCCAAGGATGATCTTGACCTCATTGACTTTTTGGGCGGAAATGCGCCTTTGAAGAAAAAGTCAACCTCAACATCTGAGTCCGCATTAGGGGACGAGGTCCTGCGTCGTTTGCGCCCATCGCTGGAGCAGTCGCAGGTCGTTAGTGTGACTTTGAGTATTGACGAGCGTGTTGTTGACAATGAGGTTGCTGGCCGTTTCTTGGGGCGTTTGTCACATTATGTTGAAAACCCCGAAAGCATGATCCTATAAAAAAAAGAAAATAATAATAATAAAAAAAATAAAAGGGCAGAGAGAAGAAGGGGAAAAAACCCTCTTTAGACGATTGATCAACAATCAGGGGAGAAGAGTCAAAAAGGATTTGAGTATTAATATCACCGGAAATCAAATTTAGAGAATAAAGCAAAAAAAATTGTCCGGCCCGTGCTCTGATATGGTCTATTTTTTGATTGGCCAGATCATGCTCCAGTCTCTTGTTTCTGCTGATTTGCAAACACTTGTCCATATCCATCTCTGAGTGTTCAATGCGTTCAATCTCTTGGTCATTGTTTCTTATTCTGAGCTGAAACTGCTCCTCTACATGATCCTTTAACTAATGTCACAACTAGATAATGTTAAAGAAAGTAAAGACTAAAACAGTGAAAGGTTCAGCAGTCTAAAGACGTTTATTTAGATTGGATCAGCATCTTCAGCACACATGCAAGAGGCTTAATTGATTCACTGATATTGCCCTTGCTTTTTTGTCATTCATGCCAAGAAAAAGTGTGCGATAGCTAATTAAAGATGAAATAAAATAAAATAATCTTATTATCTATTTAAGGACGAACAAATACATCAATCAAATCCTTGGTCAGCAAACCACAGCAGCTTCTCGATCGATAGGATTTGAACGGAGATAGTTTGCATTTGGAGCCCTTACTGTCTTTCACATGCAGTCCCGCCGGCAGCTCATTCACAGACGGAGTCACCTGTCCAAAAGGGAAAACAATTTATTCGTTTTGGTGATCCGATCTACTGGACTCTCTGATTTGGGGGGTGTCAATGATATTGCAACACAAACACACTGACCTCATTGAGTTCTTGGACTCGTATATAAATATTCATAAAGAGTGTCATGGCAGAATATCTTCCTACTTAGCCTTCTCTTCTTTCTCTCTTCTCTCATTCTTCCACTCATTCTTTCTCATTCCTCCCAAACATCTCATTCACTCATTCACCCTCAGTTTCTTCCATACAATTTGATACAACATAACATTTAGAGACCAACATAGTGTAAATCAAGGCAGTAAAATCAAGAATAAGGATAAAATGAATGATAGTCATAGCAAAATGCCAATCTTTGCACCAATAAGCCTTCCCATCAAACGGAGGCTTCAGACAGCAGCGGTCTTATTCTGGATGACGGCTTTGGCGACCTGTACGACGCTCTTCTTTTACTTGTGCACTATCAAATATTTATGGCCATTGATTATCATCTACCTCCTCTGGATTTTGATGTTCGACCGTGCGCCCGAAGAAGGCGGCAGATGTTTCGATTGGGCTAGGAGATTGCCTATCTGGCGACACTATGCTGAGTTCTTCCCGATGACTTTGATCAACGTAATAAATTCTTACATTCTTGTCGTACAAAGAATTATTGCATCACAATGCTTTTTTCTTTTCAGCATCACCGGTTTGTTGCTTATTGTCCTATTTTATCATTGTGTATTAATAGGAAAGTGATTTAGATCCATCTAAAAACTACATTTTTGGGTACCATCCTCATGGAATCATTTCATTGGGTGCGATTGCCACCTTTGGAAGTGAAGCACTCAACTTTTCGAAACGATTTCCTGGGATCAACATCCGTCTGTTGACACTGCAAACCAACTTTACTTTTCCAATCTATCGCGACATGATCATGGCACTTGGTTTGGCCTCGGTCTCAAAGGGATCATGTGAAAACATCTTAAAGATGGGTCCGGGAAGCTCGATCGCGATTGTGGTTGGTGGTGCTCAAGAGTCATTGGCTGCTAAGCCTGGAACAATAGATCTGACCCTCAAAAAGCGACTGGGCTTTATTAAGCTAGCTTTAGTTAACGGGTAAATTACTCGATCAAGCTGTTTTTTTTTTTTTTTTTTTTTTTTTTTGTTACTTCTCACGATTGCTAATTTTGGACATGTTTCATTTTTTTTATTTTATTTTTGGCGCATGCAGAGCAAGTTTAGTTCCAACTTTGGCATTTGGTGAAAATGACTTGTATGAACTCTACGGTGCCGACAACAAGAGCAAAACTTACAAAGTTCAACAAGCGATGAAGAGGGTCCTGGGTTGGACAATGCCCTTGTTTAATGGTCGTGGTGTCTTTAACTGTAAGTTTTTACATTATTCTATTTTTTTTTTTTTTTTTTTTTTTTTTTTTTTTTCATGACCATACGACTTTGAGTGATTCCAGTATATGCATGGGAATTTATCTAAGCTATTTTTTTTTTTTTTTTTTTTTTCTCACCTTCACAGATGAATTTGGAGTCCTTCCAAGGAGGAAACCTGTTCACATTGTAATTGGAAAACCTATCCATGTCGAGAAAGTTGAAGGTTCACCTACGGAAGAGCAACTCAAAGAATTGCAAAAGAAGTATATTGATGCACTTTTGGGTATCTGGGATCGTTATAAAGACAAGTATGCTGCTGGTCGTACGCAGGAACTTCAAATTGTTGAGTAACAATAGGTGATTAATAGATTAAATATTTAAATAAAGCATTTTCATTTCATGTACAAATTTTGTATGATTTTAATTTTATAAAACACGTTTTCTACTGAGGGCCTTCTCCACCAGGAATCAACTATGCGCAAAGATAAAATTTACACACAAAAAGTTAATATGGATGGCATTATAAAACAAAATGAAAGGGGGGCTTTTTTTTCCCTTTTTTTTTACCATGCAAATATGGTTGCCGTTCAAGAGGATCTGTTCCAACTTTGTAGTTTTCATTCCTTCTGGTGTGTTCTCACTAAAATGAATCCGATTGGTTACAAGCGACAAGGGCGTCCAAAGTGTCAAGATGAGAAACCTCGGTCAATTGATAATGCTTCTTTTGTTAATTCCTGTACATCTTACAGTTCTCCACCATCACTTACTATTCTGTAACATCTTCCAGAACCATGTTGACATAATCGTCAAAGAGCTTGAGCGTGCCAGTAAACTCCTTCTCTGACTTCATGATAACCCAGATCTTGGAGCCAATGCAGGAGTCAATTAGCTCTAGAGGCCGATAGAGATATCCAAGCAAGAAGAAAAAAACAATCCTTTGGTTACTTAAGACCGTCTTTACGCTCATTTGGATTATTTCATCTAGCAGTGAATCGAACAGTGTTTTCCATATTATGCCAGCTCTCCTCCCTGAGATACGTGATTATATCGATATGGCTGATCTTATTTATTCCAACAAGAGGGGATTAGGTTATATTGATCTCTTTATGTATTCACATAGTCTCTGTTAATGTTGGCCGTTTGTGAACACACAGGTTCAATAGGTCCTGGTTAATATAAGTCAACTGTACAGGAATAAAATATAGCTTGGCAACAATAATTAGATCATGATGGTAGTTTTGCCATATATCATTTTTGAGGTGTTCCTTGAGGGTATATCCAACGATATCCATTTGTAAAGGATATCCGCGCGAAAAATATTATTCCCGTTTGTGTACTTTTGTGTCGGCATCACTGAGATGAATCCAAACAGGCCCTTTACCTAATGGAAGCTGGTGAATAGAGGCGACAGCAGGTGCTGTGGTTGCTGATCCGCTGGAGTTTGGCGCTGACATGGTTCTTGAAGATTTTCCTGTGTAAAGAGAGCGATGGAACAAGGTAATAGAGGAATGCTCTAATGCTCTCTCAATATGCCGTTGCATCTACATGAATGACTTGTTACGGTGACGTTATTTATACAATTTCGGACAAAATCATCTTTGGTGAATCCGACATTCATCGGCGTTTTTTACTTTTCAATTTCATTTGCATTCAAGCACAACATCATATATTAAAGCCATGGGTGGATACTTGACTCCTGATCCCGCTATTGAGAAGTGGGTGCGTATGCGCGAATCGACCGCAAAGTACTTTCGCTGGAACGGCCGTAATCTCCGTAATGTAGGCATTCTCGGACTTGTGATTCCTGCCGGTCTTTACTACCTTGCCAGCGAATACGAGGTAAGGAGCAAGCCCTCAATCTGTCCGCCTCTATTGTCCTCCAACACCCATATATTCTAACATCAGGAACAAAAGTATCACTATTACTGGAAAAAGAAGGCGATTTCAGCTTATGCTAGTTATTTTTGCAGGAGTCTGACGTAGCAGAAAACAGGCCATATGCCATATTAAAACAAGCAGCAAATTACACTTTTTTTTTTGTTCATTTCAGGAATCAAATCAATGGATACATCAAAGGATATGCTTAGAGTCACTTTAGGAATCATAAGGATATTTTTTTCAATTTTATGAATTAAGAGAGATAGAATAAGATGGCAGAGCATATGATTGAATTGAAGCTAACCCATCATCCATCTCGCCAACTTTGAATATAATTAGACTAAGACCCGTTGGTCTGCTCTGGGTCCCTCTCGTAAGGAGAAAACAGATGATGTGGAGGATGCTTAAAAGTACATGACCAATACTTCCACCATGTTTTCTCCCATTCTTTGTCATTCCCTTACCTGGGTATCATTTTTTCTTTTCTCTCCTGTGATCAGGTCTTTTTTAAACCTTTTCTTGATCTCCACCACGACGATAGATATTGCACCACTCCATCTTATGCTTGAATTGATCGAGCGAATAAAATAAACACATAGTCAGTTGTTTTAAGCACATTTTAGCGTCTATACAATCAAGTTTTTCCATTTATGTATGTCTTTCTACATGGTTTTAATATTGAGAAGCTCTAGATTATAGCTTAATAACCTGAATGAGCATAGGTTAATACAAATAGAAGTTCGCATAGCCGTTCTTGTATCCAGACATGGAAAAAAAAAGCAATTCATGGTGTGTAACACATACGATTAAAATAATTCCCCTCCTGCCACAAATTTTTTGCATTGGAATTGTGCGGTCCTGACTCTGGCCTCTCTTATTCCTCTTGTTTCCATCATCTGAGTTTTTTTCTTTTTTTCCTACCATCATCACCTCTCCTCTACTCTTTTTTTATCCCATCGACTTTAAAAAAAACATTTCAGCACCATGGGTCTGTCAATTTCAAAGCTGCTTTCGGGTCTCTTCAGCAAGAAGGAGATGCGTATCTTGATGGTTGGTTTGGATGCTGCCGGTAAAACCACTATCCTTTACAAGCTCAAGCTTGGTGAGATCGTCACAACTATCCCCACCATTGGTAAGCTCAAGAGGACACCTTCTTTTATTTATGCCAAATTAACATTCTTTACGCAGTCATCGTTAGTCTTTTGATCAGCCCTCCAGTATTTGTTTTATATGATGACAGTGTCTTTCATGCTTTTTTCATCCTTTAAGCGCGCGTGACATCTGTCCCCCCTTTTCTTTCTTTTTTTTTTTTTTTTTTCTCCTCTCTCATAATGAATTAAGTATTGCTCGCAGAAGCATCTCTCAGTGTTCCTTTTTTTTCTTTTTTTCTTTTTTTCTTGTTTTGGTTATTTTGGGCTTTTGGTATGTGGATGTCATATTTCATCTGGAATAATCGGAACACATTTTCAAGGGGGTTTTGGACTGCTGGATGAAAGATGGCGATTAACACATGATTGACCAATCTTTTCCATGTCTCCTCGTTCATCATCGATCCATCTATTCTACTTGTACGACAACCCATTATTATGTTATTATGTTGCCTGAACCTGTGTGGTCACGAGATGCTCTTGCGCATACGATTTTTTTTTTTTTTTTTTTTTCGTTTTTTTTTTTTTGCCAACTATCTGTTGATGTCACTTGCGCGTGTGTTGTGTGGATTGAGCAAATTAATAATTTTATTTGCAGCTGATACAACTTGCAGAGTGAAAAGTGAAATGTGTTTTTTTTTAATTGTCTTTTGCATCTATTCTAACTGTTTGTTAATATCCATATCTATCATTTTAGGCTTCAACGTCGAGACTGTTGAGTACAAGAACATCTCATTCACTGTCTGGGATGTCGGCGGTCAGGACAAGATCCGTCCCTTGTGGCGTCATTGTATGTGAGCCCTTTTATTGCAGCATCGCTCGGTTTGCATTAATTTTTCTGTCGTTTACCACCTTACACAAACACCTTTCAGGAGCAATGGATTCGTCTCATAAATATAGCGATCATTCTCATCTAAGTCTGTTACGATCAAGCATTACTGGAAATATTAGTCTGGTCTTAATTCTTCCTTTCTCTTTATTTTTATTATTTTTTTATAGACTTCCAAAACACTCAAGGTATCATTTTCGTCGTCGATTCTAACGATCGCGATCGTATTACTGAGGCCCGCGAGGAGTTGCAGCGTATGTTGAACGAGGATGAGCTTCGTGAGGCTCTTCTCTTGGTCTTTGCCAACAAGCAGGATCTTCCTAACGCTATGAACGCTGCTGAGATCACTGACAAGCTTGGCCTCCACTCTCTCCGTCAGCGCCAGTGGTACATCCAGGCTACTTGCGCCACCTCTGGAGATGGTCTTTATGAGGGTCTGGAGTGGCTGTCCAACAACTTGAAGAAGCGCACTTAATTTTCATCCCAACAAGTTAGTAGTATTTTTTTTTCCCCTTTCTTTCTTCCAATCTTTCTTTTTCGGTTCGTGTCAATAAATGTGTAGAGTGAGGAATGAGGAGTAATTTTATTCATGTTTTATCCAACTTGTCAGCTCTTTTTTTTTGTGCTCATGACAGTTGGCTCTGGAAAGTGGCTTTGATTTCGCACACCACTTTAAAAGCGTTTTTCTCTGTCAGTTTAAACTCTTTCTCACACTCAAAATCCGCGAAATTGTTATGGCCAATACGAAGGCTACTAGAGACGTTGGAGAGGATTAATGTTTACATGGTCTGACGATCACAATGGCAGGAATTAGGACATAAACAAGAAGTATCTATCATTTAGCATCATTCACTATTTGTCGATTTAACATGTGAGCGCCTCCTTTTTCAATGGATCAGAAGGCTTTACGGATTAGGCAAAGTCGATCAATTGTCATTCGACGGGAGATGCTAAACACTTAAGCCTTTTCCGTAACTTGAGCTCCTGATTGTTGGCTTGGGCCTATAAACTCCCCGGTAAGTCACCAGAACTTGGACTGCAGAAAGTTTAGCACAAAAGATTTGTAATATGAATAATATGAAAGATATAAGAGAGATACATCTACCGTGTGATGATACATGGGCAACCGAGCTAAAAAATACAATGCATTGGATCTCTTCAGCATTCACACTCCTTTTGAACAACATCAACGTGTTTTTTTTTTGTGTAGAGCTTGGAGACTACCAAAGAAAGAGAGAGAAAAGGAAGGTGAAAAGAAAAAACAAAATCATTAGGCAAACGCCAAACACGATAATGAGGTGCTGTTGGGTCCTTCAAGTTCTAGATGCTGAAGTTTTTGTTTTTCAGGTTAATGAGCTTATTAGCCGTTAAACCAACTATACTCTGGAAAAGGGGCGCCTTTTTTTTATCACGTCAAGTGGCGATGGTTTAGTTTTTTCTTCATATTCTGTTTGACAATGTATCTTTTTTTTTTTTGTTTATTCAAGATTTACGAAAAAAACCGTCTGAATGTGTTGAACAAAACGGACCGTTGAAGAGTTTAGTCCCAGACGTTGTTGCGATGATCTTTTTTTTCCCTCTTATTAAGAGGAAAAAAAATAAAATAACTTGATCTTATCTGATGGGATGATTCTTATCTCTGTTTTATCTTCTATGACAGAAAGCTTGGTTCTTAATTGTTCGATAAGTTTGATGCTGACCAAACCTTTTTTTTTTTTTTTTTTTTTTTTTTTTTTAATATGATTCAAGACTATAGGACGACGTTCGAGGTTTTTTTTTCTTTGCATGCTAGAGGGAAGGAGATCTCCTTTTGTACCTTTATACCCCATCACCTTGACATACTCTAATCTTCAATTACTGTTAACTTCGACAGGTAGGAAGATCCATTTTAATTATAATGCTCAAACCTTTAAATAAAAGGTAGATATTATACTTTCTCAATAAAGAAGAGCGCAAAAAGAGAAAAACAAAAGGATAGAAGAAGCTCCTTCTCCTGTCCTTCTTCACATTATTGTTTTGCACACGAAAAAGAGATTGGCTGTCATTTTTCTAGTTTAAAGAGGAAAAAAGGTTAATGTGAGCGTGATTCCATGCGCGCATGTTCCACTATGGTCGTCAAAAGGTACCTTGAGTGATTGATACCAATTGGATCTACATGGTCCTGGCTTTATAAAGCAAACCTTCACTTTAAGCAGTCCTTTTAACTTTCTACCATCGAGAGACTCTGGTTGGGAGAAACTTAGGTCTGAGATTAGCGAGAGAGGAAAAACCATGCAAAAGGCACACCAAAGGATATTGTCACAATAAATACAGATCAATAACCTCGTTATCAAAACTGAGAAAATACAAGTGCAACCAGGGAATGGAGAAGGGTTTCAAGGAACAATGGTTGGCACAACAGTGGAACAGAATATTGCTAAAAAGTACATCGACCCTCTTTACTTAGCTTAGAGCCAAGCACATCAGAATCATCAACAGCAGAATTAATGTGTGTATATATCTGTTTTCCAAAGCCGTACTCTTCCCTTCATAACTCACATTATTGTCTTTTGCGCTTTATATTATAAGAGGGCTGAAAGACAAAGCTATTGACCTACACCCTCAGCTCATCATAAAGTACCCATAAGCTACAACACCTTTACTTCCAACTCCTCTCACTTGCCTCAAAATGAAGGTCTTCCAGGCTATCCTTGCTATCACTTTGGTTGCTCTCTTTTTCATGTCTTCTAGTGAAGCCGACTATATCTGCCAGATTAACAAGAGAGGACTATACTACGGTGCAAGCCTTATCTCCCTTACGAATGCAATGGCGTCTTTGGCAGCGAGCCCAGTATATATGAGGTTTGAAAACACATAACCCGCGTGGGTGGAACCGTTGCGAATCTTGAATCTTGTCATTTTGCACCCTTTTAAGAAAAAAAGAGAGACCGTTGTAAACGTTCTTCATTTTCATTTTGATGTAAAAAGTAAAGCGAAATATTAGAGCTTCGAAATAAGTGACAAAAAAACGTTAAAATGGGGCAACTCACCTCAGTTAAACATTCCTTTTTTATTTTCAATTAAAAACCTCATATCTTGCACTGCTTAATTAATACCAAACTGTGATGTCTTTGGGCCTAACCTAGACTAGGTCCCTCTTTAGTCAAGGGTGCAAACTATAGCTCTTAAAACTCTTAATGGTGCCACTTCGTTTAAGCAATATTAAAGAGCTGTGTTATCTGGAATTATTAGGTTTCTTTGTTTCCGAGGAATGGCAGAGCCTTTATACCTGGCACAATTTTTTTTAAGCTACTCTCATCATTTTCGCGCAGCATCTCCATTTGATTCCTATACGAATCTTGATTACGCGTGTTACAGTTAGGCTAGTCACTAGCCTGAGGACGAAGTGCACATGTACGTGAAAGGCAAATGTCACTTGCTCTTTCAGACGCAATGAAAGGCCTGTAATAATAATAATTTATCTTTTGTCTTCACTTCCTTTTACAACGCGCCTCTCAGAAAACAATAACATTTAAACCGCTCACGCCCGCTAACATCATATCGCAAACCAAAGCAACTAACATTGATCCTAATCTCCTCCCGTAGCACATAATCAAAGTTAAGTATTTTCAAAGACGACCGAAAAAACGCATTTCCATCTCTTTTCCTCCCTCACATGATTTGACTGGACGGGACTCCCATCTCTCTTGGTCAGACATTTGGGAACAATCTTGTGAATGGTTATGCACACTCTCGTGCCATTTCATACGGTTCGGGGATGTGTGAAGCTGGCCCACGTACTGCTCTTAGAGCTTAGCCACCATCTTCCTATGACAAGAGGCATGCTGGTGAAATGCGTCGGGTGCCGGTAGCGTTGCTTCTGGTGTTAAACGACGGCGTACCTTCACTTGGTCAAATCATTCATATTGACTCCTGTTATAAAAATCTCGTTCTACCTCTTTTTTTTACACATGATTTGACTGGACGGGACTCCCATCTCTCTTGGTCAGACATTTGGGAACAATCTTGTGAATGGTTATGCACACTCTCGTGCCATTTCATACGGTTCGGGGATGTGTGAAGCTGGCCCACGTACTGCTCTTAGAGCTTAGCCACCATCTTCCTATGACAAGAGGCATGCTGGTGAAATGCGTCGGGTGCCGGTAGCGTTGCTTCTGGTGTTAAACGACGGCGTACCTTCACTTGGTCAAATCATTCACATCGGTCCTCAGTACATGATTACTCGCGAAGATGCAATATGGCGAACTTGTAGTGCCTGATATTTCCTTTTTCCATGATTTTAGATCTCTGAACGCGCAATGTTGCCTGGCTTGAAGGAATATCTCGAAGAAACAGCAGCCCGTGATATCTCACTGGTATCGTTCATGAAGCGTTTTTCTGACATATACCGAAAAGATCGCATAATCGAAATATGGTGTGGAGCCGCCTTGAGCTACCTACAACAGCACCCATCACAAGAGAAGCGTCAATTATATAAAGCACTTCGCAAGTATACACCAATGGAGCTCGAGAAAATAGTCGATAAAGAACTTCAAGAGGTACAGTAGGTCAATTCGCCACATGGGCCACTTTGTTATAAGACTAATTTATCTTCTGTATTTGTTTCTAGAGAGAGCATGGCAACAAACTCCTTGCCAATATATCACGGCAAGAGCTTGCTGCATCACACATGCATACAAAGATAGTCGAAGAACGATTCAATACAGGTATGTTTTCGGGACGCTCATCATGCACATGTTGTTGCCCTGCAGAGACCCATTTCATGAACACTCATACTTTTTACCTGATAGAGCTATCAACAATGACATCTGCAACAGCATCTACAACGACATCTACAACGACATCTACAACAACACCTACAGCCATAACTATAACAACAGGCAGCATACATAATGGTGAGCGATTGCCAAGTATGTTATTATTATTATTATTATTATTATTATTATTATTATTATTATTATTATTATTATTATTATTATTATTATTAATCCATATTCTTACAACTTTAAAATCTAAAGAATCAGAGTCAGAGCCAGAGCCAGAGCCAGAGCCAGAGCCAGAGCCAGAGCCAGAGCCAGAGCCAGAATCAGAATCAGAATCCGAATCAGAATCAGAGTTAGAATCAGATTCGGAGCCAGAGCTGGAGAATGACAGTGCTCTTTTTCTGCCATTTGGGGATTTGGTCAAGTTTATTTTTGACAAGGTATGAATATTTGTAAATGACCTAGTCAATTTTAGACTTTAATCTAATCATTTTCCTTTTTTTTTTCTTCCTTTTCTTTTTATATAATTAAGGCAGATGGCAGGGATGTCGAACTCCCTACCAATAAAGTCGACCACCCATCGCTAGACTTTGAGCAGCTGTACAATTACGCCTACGGATTGTTAGCTGGGAACTCCGATCCTAAAGGCAAAAAGGCCTTGTATGTATTCTTTAATCTCCTATTTTTTGTATGCTGCCATTATTCAAACTAACCTTCCACATTATACAAATATTGAACATAGAGTGGCGGTTTCCGGCATCGTCAACACAGTTCAGGACACCCCAGCTGGAGTCGACCTTGCCAAAACTGTGAAGAAAGAGTGTCTCCACCCTCATCTTTCTACGCCGATTGATGAGCTCCAAGAATTGCAGCTTTTGTTGCTAGAGTCAATGGGGAGTGATGAGGATTTGCCCGACTTGGAAGCTCTGAAGGTTGAGGTATTGGGCCATCTAGTTGATGTTATAAAGTGTCGAAGAAAGGGCAGTCCAACCAGCACTGTTAAAGAGAAAGCGTTGGAGATACTTGACTTTCTTATTTCATTAATAAGAACTGAGCAACTTTCTCTTCCTCTCTCAGAGGCGGCATCAGTTTTGCCATGGGCGGTGATATTAGGGATTCTCTTTGGAGGGAAAGACCTGAGGCCTTTTATGTAAGTGTCTACATATTTTCTCATCTTTGCGTATACTTTCATGTGTTCTTGTTTCTTCGTTATTTTGTATAGTGGTTTGCTTTAAAGAGGCATACGGGATCAGAATCAGGTTTTGGTCAGGATAGAATTCAGGATACGGATGCTCTAAAGAGACACTCAGGATCATTCGGTCAGGGTAAAAATACATAGAAATCTTAGCTGTCCGATAGAGGCGTTTCACACCTACATTTCTAACATAAAGCATTGTAGTATATCATGTCTCCTTTTGATACTTGTTTACTAATCTACATGTTATGAGGGCATCGATCCATGACCAGCACAGAGCCAGTAGAGCCAGTATGGAAGACAGGACGCTCTGGAATTATAATGAATGAGGCTCTGTTCAATATACATGGTATCAACCAAGTTTTTCAACATTCTACTGAATTTTATGTAATAGAACTGACGAGATGTGCAAAAGCTCATCAGCCAGTCTTACATTTAAACGGTAAAAATGCTCAAAAACATACCATGTATATTCCTACCGTGTTTAATTGCATAAATCCTATTGTGTACCCTTCTTCACTTTATTTACACTGTACTTCACTTTGGTTGAAGAATTTAAACCCATCAAACTCTTTTTTCTTCTTTTTATATAAAGTACATCTATATGCCTGCTAACTGTATCGTCGCTTTATCCACTCTTAGAGGAGAGTTGGGATGCGAGGCATCCAAGGACGCCCGGGTATTTGTCGAGAATTTCTTTGGTAAAACAACCAAGAATATAGTTGGGCGAAAAGTAGATATACACGTCAAGACGAAGTTGGACGAGTGGATCGAAATCGCCATCAACGAGTTCAAGACAAATACCGCTACCAAAGCTACTTTGGAGCAGCAGCAAAGGAAATCCGTCAGGCTCAACGGCTCTATCCTGCGCAAGTTGGAGTTGAAAGGTGTGGATATCTCCAAGAGTTATCCATTGATCTTGGAAGGACGGGGACTACAAGGCTATTTGTATGCCATGAAGGGATTCGATGGTCTTCTTGGTGTAGGAGTTGCCTCGCGAAAGGCAATGTTCATACCGAGCAATGCATTCCAGATGCGGGTCTTCCTACAAGGCAACACTCTCTCTACCCTTTTCCACTATGCGGTAAGCTATTTTTTTTTTTTTTTTTTTTTTTTTTTTTTGGATGTATATAAATATATGCACTGCTATTCAACAGTCCACATATACTGTGTTTGTCAAAATTGTAGGACCATATGCGCCGCTATAGCATCCAGGTCCAACAGCAATTGTCGAGTGTTGCTGGAGAAGGGTTTGAGGCCTTCCTGGCCGATAGTGACGATGATGTCGTCGTCCCCCCACAAGGCCTCGTTGCTCCAAGGATCATCTTTTCACCTAGGAAAAGGAAGGCAGAGCTATCGTTGTCCGATGATGGTCAGGAATAAGAATACTCTGTAACTGTAGCTTTCTCCTATCAATCATTATTATGTTAAATATATTGTTATTGCCAATCAATAATATGAAACGCTTTTGTTGACTGCCTTGGGAATGAATATCTGATTTTAACTTGGATATAAAACTGACACAAAGCAGCATCGAAGTGCAACTCCAAGTTGCTTTACATTTTCTTATGAAAGCAAATATCCGTAATGCTCACTTATCAACAAATAACCGTTACACTCCATAAGGTTGTTTGCAAGGTCTTTATCAAGATTCACTTCCATGGACGTGAACGAAAGAGCGCAGTTATATGCTTATATGTGTTTACGGAATAACTTACCTTGCCGCCCTGGCCATCAAGAAGTTAAATCAAGGTCGAGCGGAGCAATATTCACTTGACCTCCCCACAACACAAAGGAAATTCGGGTCAGCTTATACTACTGCGTTGTACACACACTCTTCAATAAACATGAAGGCACTGCAATAAGGGCAACTGACCATTGGCTCTAAGCGGTACATATAATACATAATATTGGGACCTCTTGCTGGAACCTTTTTCTAGCGGGTGGTAGAAAGTTGTCTTCGGCAAAGGAATTATCTTCGGTAGAAGGATCATCCTCAACAGAAGGATCACCTTTACGCTCGTGTATTCTGAAGGTCAGTAGTAAATGGTAATAGTGTAAGATTAAGGACGCAAAATGCATAATGTAATAAGCCAATAAAACGAACAAAAGTAGCACATCTTTGTCTTTGCACGGGTCTTTCATTTTCATCTTCATCATCTTCAAAAACAACACTTCGTGTGCACACAGGCCTAGCGTCATTTTGCACTGAGTTACTAACAACGCTATTAAAGCAGTAAAAAAGAAAAAAACTAAGGATTAATGGTCTACTGATGAGACGAAAAAAATCAAACCGTTGAAAATCAAACTCACCCTTTATTACTTGGGCATGGTCTACGACTACCCCTAGACAACTGCAGATACTGCATTTATACACTGTAGGAGGCTGGTTGACGGTGCTTGCCTTGCGTGTAAGTAATAATGATGGAAGGTTAAAAAAAGAATATCAAAAACTAATGAAAATCATTTGCATATAAAATAGGGAGTCTTTGCCTTCGAATTGACCCAACATTCTACTCATGGTTCCTGGTAGCGCTATTCAAGTTATAGAAGGTATATAAGCTACCATGTCAAAAAAAAAAAAAAAAAAAAAAAAGTTCTCTACGATTGTTAAATACCGAAATTACTTACGCTTCATTATTTGGGTATGAGCTGCGCACATGGCCTGGACGACTGCACCCACACACAGACGCGGAATGGAAGGAGGAACGATGCGATTGGGAAAACTCGTTCTGTCTCTATCAGTTGAGAAAATATAATTAATATTAATATATTCCAAAAACATAAATATAAAAAGGCCTTACCACACTCCTTACGTTCTGAGGGCATAGTCTCTTGCTATGTCCGACGCTGCTGTACAGGCTACAGGCCATGAGGCGTAGCATTGAGAGGGATCTTTAACTAATATAGATAATAAGATCCAAAAAAAGTAAACGTAATTGTGGCAAAAGTAGAGAACAGTGGATAAACGTGAATTATATGTAGTCCCTTCGCCTGGAATAAACCGACATTCTCCTCACCTAATGCAATAATAAAAATAAAGTTAAGCATTTTAGCTTTGGCGGGTATGCAAGCGAAAATGCTTGAATTTGACTGTTACACTGGCAGAAGAACTATGTAATGTAAATTATCATTTCCATAGTTTTAGATAGGCTTTCCAGCATTACTTTTGCAGTGTTAGAGGTATTCTTTTATGATCATTACTTGGCTTTCTAGCTACCTCTATTATAGACAATGCCTCAGTATGGTACGTAAGTTTCTTGTCCCTTTTTTGTGAGGGGGATTATGGGGCTGAAAGAGAGCGAACAGTTGTTCATGTGGGGGTATGCAGGACGGCTGCTGGAGATCAACTCGGTGGAGTGAGTGCCGTTAGACCAAGGACTTGAGCTTGGCTATCTTTAGAATAAGACAAATACATTCTTGCTGAGAGCAACCTGCGTCAAGCAAGCACTACATCGAAGTTCGGCCGCAATCTTAAGCCTTTCTTTCTCATTTTTCCTTTCTTCCTCTTTTTCTATCTCCTGTTCAAGCAATGCAAGCAGGGCAGAGCCGATAGGCCTATAAGCCCAGCCATATTCCTCCTCCTTTTCAGTTTCATCCGCCTGTTCTCCTCCTCGCAAGCTCTCTTCAAAACTCACGTCTCATCGAGCTTGTCGTGCTTTGATGACCCGTAGTGTGCTCGATGTGCGAGAACGTTTGGCAGGTGGCGAAGGTCTGACAGATGAATGTATGGAACATATCTTTTTTTTTTTTTTTTTTTTTTTTTTTTTTTTCAAATGAAAAGTGAAAGGTATGTGAAGGTAAAGTGTGTGAAAGCAAGGAATGTGATAGAAGAAGGTGTAGAGTGGTAAAGTATGCTAAGAGTTCAGACTCATAATATATACACTCGCATCGTACATTGTTGACATGACCTTTAATAACGTGTGTGGTGTACCGCACTCAGAGAGTGCATCAATAGCCCCAGCAAAAATTTTTTAGTGTCGAGATTTGCAATGCTTTATTTTCCCTTTTCATTTACATATAAGATACCTCTTTATTTCCACCCAGGGAGCCATGTTGGGGCCAAAGCCACTCTTTATAGCAGCCAATTTGCCTTCATGGCAGCCACATTTCGGCACGCGCAGACACCGTTTCGTTTTAATATATAAGAAGATATATAAGAAGATTGTTTTTTACGTGTCAATCATGCTCCAAAATAAAAATAGATGCATCACTTTTTTACACCTACACCTCTTTTTACACCAACAAAGGATTTCAGCGCACAGCACAGTATATTGCCATTATTTTTAAGTGTTGACAAACTAAACTTTTCTAGTTGGGACACTTGGATGAGGTTGAGGCCAAAGCACTCGGAGATGAGGTGGAACCCAAAGCACTTAGTTCAAAAGCCTTAACTCTCTTGCTGAGATTAAGGTTATCCTTTTTTCTGTCTTATGATGGAATCTGTTGGGAAAACAGCCAAATAAGCTTTTGGAAGACAACCTTTGCATCTTTCTGCCATTTACCGCCGAAGTTCAATTCCTCCTCGAGCTTTGACATCCTGAAAGATACCTGTTCTTCAGCATTCATCGTACATTCAAGGAACCATCACTCTTTAGCATCTGTAACAATGCCATATGACTTCAGACTTTGAGGCTCAACATTATCAACATAGGCCCTCTTTCGTTTCTTTCCTGATAATATCGAATCGAGTTGCACAATGTTCTTACCTACTCCTTGTTTAAAGTCTTCCTCCTTCACCTCGGTAACATTGAGAACAAAATCCATATTCAATCTTGTATGTACAGAATAGTCGACTGGCGCACTTCCTCGGCGTCCGACCAGATTTTTTTTCGCACGCAAGGTACATGTCTGACTTGAACAGCTTCGTAGCGCATACAAGAAAGGACGCAACGATCAGAGACCTTGTTGATTCATTTGAGCCGACCAGTAGGAGTGTTTGCGCTCTATCTTCAACTTCCTTCACAAGCGATTCAAAAGCTTGCACGCGTTCAGCTGTATCCAATGGCGCTGTTTCAATTTCGGCAAATTCTAGTAATAGCCAGTGCTTCTATTCGAACTGAAACTCTGTCAATTATGATGTTTCAGATTAAAATAATAAATATCAATTGACAAAGTTTCAGTTCGAATAGGAGCACTGGTAATAGCAGTGGAAGATCTGGATCTGGGTTAATAGAAAGATCATATTTATGACAGACGTCGGCAAACTTCCATTCGGAGAAGCTTTTCCTAGGACTTTCCAAAGATATCGTCAGTATACGCTTGGAGTGCACCTTGCAGACATGGAGCACATTACGTAATCTATGATCATCTTTGATAGACGTTGGAGCATCATGCTGCCCAGTGTAGGCAAAGATTTCTGTAATTGGTTTTGGAGGATCTTCGAGACCCGAGCTTCAAGAAACTTCCTAAAATCATCAAGAGTAATTGTTTTAATGTCATCAACGGTCCACGTGAACATAGCCTCTTCATCAGGCTTTACTCTAATTCCAAAGGGTTGAAAAATCATTCATAATATAGAGTGAAACACGAGAGCAATAGCGATATTTGGTATAATGTAATCAACTCATCCTTACTTACAAGCTGAAGAAGCACGAAGTTCTGGAAGTTGCCTTCGCAGTTGTGTCAATTCTACTGAGTCTTCAAAAAAAAAAAAAAAAAAAAAAAAAAAAACAGTCGTGTGAGAATGTCGCTTGCAACGAGCAAAGAGCTTAAATGATAACGAGAAATAAGTTCAATCACAACTGATAAATGTGATGTGCATATCGGATGCTGATGTTTCAGTTGGTGGTCACTGAACAATGACATGGATGGTTTTCTTTGCTGGGGCGCCAAAGACTTTGGAGAGCTCGCTTGTTGCACGAAGCTTTTTTGCATCTGGGTGTTCTGAAAGTGTGATAGTTTTTTCGTCCTCATCGTCAGCGATTATGATGGAGACATGGAAGAGATTCAATTTGTCGGCAGCAATCTCTCGGAAGTCGATTTCTTTTTTCTTCTTGATTACTTTTCTTAGATCGCCGATAGTGTCTTCTGATGAGAGAATGCCGTGGATTGTCCGTCAAAGATGTAAAAATCAGGATTGGTGTAAAGATTTATTTGCAGGACGAGTAACATATTGAAAGTGGCTGCTAATTTATTGATTACATCATTGATATCTGTGTTGTGCTGCACATCAAGTCCTGACTACATTTTAAGTGGGTTTCCAAAGATGTGACATGTGGCATGCCTCTCGCCACAGCACCCCAATGAGTTTCATGGGCTTTCATCTTTAGACATCATGCTTAAATGATTAACATGGGGATAAAGTAGTAATTGCGCTTGATGAATGTTTAAAAAAATTCAAAGAAACGCATCGCTGCTTAGTTGCTTGATCACCAGCTCAGCGTTATTCTGTCTACTGACCCCAACAAAACATTGAATTCCAGCGTCTTTGTTTTTTTTAATGATTGAGATTTTGGCTTCTTACTGTCCTGACACGTTCTTTTTTTTTTTTTTTTTTTTTTTCTCTCTCTCGTGAACCATTCCCATGGCTTCCCATTACGCTGAATAGAACTTTTCAGTTTGGCTCACTTCCGAACAGGAAAACAATAAAATAAACAATTTTATTTTTCTTCTCCGATGAGATTTAAAGGAACATGCAATGAATAATGGGCATGTGCGCGTCGAGTGTTGCAAAGAAGACTCCAATGATGTCTGGCTGGGCTGTTGAGTGCCGATTTGGCTTTTTTTTTTTATATTTTTCTGCTGGGGGAAGAAACGTGTCATTAAAATGGGTTATTTGAACATGAGTAGATCTCTCTTTTCTTTCTCCTACACACAGTCTTCTTTTCATCTTCATCTCACGTCTGTTCCTTCTGGGAACGTTCCATGTGTCAAACAATCACACTAAAAAGTTAAACCAGCTTTTATGTTCATTACTTTCCCTCTTGTCACTTCTAAATTCATCATCTAAACAAGAAAAGACGGCTCTCGTTCTCTCTCTCTTTTTTTTTTTTTTTTTTTTTTTTCCTTCTTGCGTTTCTTGCAGAAGCAAAAAAAAAAAAAAAAACGTAACACAGGGCACTTCAATTCTTATTTTTAATTTTATCATATTTTATTTTACTTTGTCAAGTTGGTCAGCATTTCATCCTTCTTTTTTCCCTTCGCTTAATATTTCACTCAAGATGATGAATTCAGGCAATTCGTTGTTACTCCGGTTGTTCAAGTCGGAGTTCTTTAATGCTTGGATTGCTGTGTCGTACCTTTATAAATACCCAGATGCAGTTGGTATACAACATTACCTCTGTAATGAGCTCAAAAGGTTTCCTTTGGAGGAAGTCGAGTTTTTCCTACCACAATTGGTGTAAGATTATTCTTTTTTGTTGGTACCTTTGCCCTGAAGAAGAACAAAAAAAAACTGATCGCTCTCCATCTTTTTATTGCTTGTCAGTCATCTGTTGATCAGCCGGCCATCAGAGTCAGTCGCGCTGGAAAATTTCATTCTGGATAGATGTCAGATATCTTCTCACATGGCCATCCTTGTAAGAGCAAAAAAAAAAAAAAAAACATATTGCAGACATGCAAAACGCAGAGATATATTCAGCGGAACAAAAAAATAGAAATCACGCTCCCGTTGATCGTATAAAGAGAAAGACCGGAGAGATAGGATCACTTAAGCTTGATCTTTGATCCTATTGCGATCTAAATAATAGCACCTGAATACACGTAACTTTGGCGTATTGTATACGCTTCATCATCTTTCTTCGAGGACTCTTTTACTGAAGTTAGATCGAATTATCAAAGGATGCATTGTCATGGATTTGATCTGTCGACTACATCAATGGAGATTTTTCATTGTTCTTGGATAGCAGTATGCTTACTGATCCTTCAACTTCCTCATTCACTACACATGCATCTTACCGATAGACGCTATGGTACCTCCAAGCTTACACGTCAGATCTTGCAGCATCACCCAATACACCATCGTTCAAATTGTGTAAACGTGTCTTCAACAAGTGTCAGGCAATTGTCTTTGCAACCGAAACATCAGAAGAGTACGAAGATGTTTATGGCAAGAACAGCATCTCCAAAGTCAAAGAGAATGCGTTTTCTGCCATGGTGGGTATGGGCGTCATGTTGGCAGCATTCGGTCAGCCTCTGATGACCAAGAGTCCTGGTCAATTGGCTTTGGCTCAAGGACGACGACCAAGAGCGTTCAGTGTATCCGATACCGTTGATGACAATGGCGCAGGGGATAGTCAAGTTCAACCGCAACAATTACAGCAACATCAACCAGGGAATCAGACAGAGTCTCAACAACCAACTAATCCCACTAACAATGTGGCTTCACACGAACGTGGCCGGTCCACGCCCGCTGGAGGCCACGTTGTCAAGAACGATGCTGATGTAGCTATTTCACCTAAATCAGCAACAGGAGAGCCTGGATCCCCTCATGCTTCAGTCCCAGGAATGAACATTACTGCACAGAGCATTCAGCGCAACCATTTTGTTTCCTCGCCATCACTTGAAGACCTCCGAGGGGGTCAAGCATTCAGACTGCGACGTGATCGATTCTCGAGCCCACGCCATAGCCACGACACAGCTCCTTCTTCACCTGTCAGTCTGAAATTCTCTGATCATGATTCAATTGATGGACGATCTTCAGCGGCATCTCTGGAATTGGCACGGCGCTCATACTTTCACTCAGAAATGCAGTTCTTATTGGCATTAGTTGATATTGCAACCAGACTTGTGATCGTGCCTAAACCAGCGCGTTTAAGCGCCCTTCGGGCAGAACTCACATTGTTGAACCACAACTTACCGGCTGAGATTTGCATTCCTCTTTGGTGCAAGGCCACAGTCGAAAAACCATCACATCACCGCGTTGTCCGTATACCACCTCAGGATGCTGTTGTTCTGAATTCTGCTGACCGCGTAAGTATCATGGAGACTGGAATCTTCTTTGGAGATCAGAAATTAAAAAGAAAGTTTTTAGAAAATAGTAAAAAAAAAGCTGCTAATATACAATTACTTCTCTAATGGTTTAGGTGCCATATCTGCTACAAGTAGAGATTTTGGAGACTGATATGAGTGTGGAAGAGATTCGAGCCCAACGTAGAGATCTTCATGAGTCTGAGGATGAAGGCGTTGATCCCCAGGAGGAGAAGGCTCGTACAAAGGAAGTAGAAATTAGCGAGGATGGGGCTATTAAACTCGAGGATGCAATCCCCACAAATGAAAGCAGTGAGGGAGCAAATAAAGACAGTTTTGGGCCAACAGTGGAAGAAGCTACAACCTCATCTAGCACTACAAATGGGCAGCCGACTGCGGAAGCGGTATCACGACCGCCTGTGGGATCACTTGCAGATCTGGCTATCTCCCCACCTGGGTCGCCGGTACCAAGCAGCCCTATAATATCCACCGATTCTACTGGAAGGATGAAGAGTCCTGCTCCATCAGCAGGTTCTGGTCGTCCAGTAACCCACTCGCGATCAAACGAAGCTTACCTCCAAACAGTCTTGAGGCGGCGAGCATCCAACAGTGCCGACGACTTTGCAGAAAAGATGAGGACTGCTGCTGTGATGTTGGCTCAACTGAGTCAACAACAGGCAGCACAACAGCCTGGTGCAGGCCCAAATGGCACTTCAAGGAGTAATTCACAATCACGGTCGAGTATCAAAGCTAAAGCTACTTCTGTGGAAGACATTCGTGCGAAAATAATCAAAGAAATGATGGCATTGGAGGAACAAAGGATGCAAAGGATGAAACTTGAGGGCGTCAGTAGTGGTGTTGGAGGGGGAGGTGGGGAAGGTGCTGGAAGCGAGATGCTGGAGGATGAGCGCAAAATTATGGCGAACGTCACCTCTGATGATCCGAGCGGTAAGGCAGCATCAACTAGTATCATTCATACTGATACAAAGGTTTTTCTGAGCGAAAATGTCTAACACCAATCTATATGATTCAATAGCGGCTGTCTTTGCTGAAGACTGGGAAACTAAAATGAATCGTATTCGCGCGAATTCTCCGTACGGCCATTTGCCTTCGTGGCAACTATTGTCTGTGATTGTGAAACAAGGCGCAGATCTGCGACAGGAGCAATTGGCATGTCAGTTGATTCGTGAAATGGGCTGGATCTGGGAACGTGCCAAAGTGGATGTCTGGATTACATAGTAAGTTTTTTTTTTTTTCATTTAACGCTTTTATCATTAAGAATGCTGTAAACAAGAGGTTTCGCGTTACGAATAGTACTTTTCTTTACTACTTTTTACCTTGCGGCAGTATGCGCATTCTCGTGACCTCGGACAACTCTGGCTTGATTGAGACGGTTCGCAACACTATCTCTATTCACTCGATCAAAAAGGACGCATACGCTCGCAGGCTGAATGAAGTTGGGGTCGTGTTTACACTCTATGACTACTTCCGACAGGTATAGGACCTATTGTTTGTTTTCCTCTTATGATCTATGAGCTTTGAGGCATGGAGATTGATCACTTACGACCAACTACTTTTTTTTTTTTTGTGTTTTTTAATAATATTATGTGTCAATGCATTGTTAGAAATTCGGCGACCCAGCGAGTGAGAGATATATTAAGGCTCAGGATAATTTCATGCGATCGTTGGCGGCATATTCTGTAATCACCTATGTTCTTCAGATCAGGGATCGCCACAATGGCAATATCTTGCTAGACACAGAAGGACACATCATTCATATTGATTTCGGCTTTATGCTCTCGAATTCTCCAGGATCTGTGGGCTTTGAGTTGGCACCGTTCAAGTTACCACAGGAATATTTGGATGTACTTGGAGGCGTCAACAGTGAAAAGTTTGCAGAGTTCAAAGTCTTACTGAAGAAAGCATTCATGGCGATTCGAAAGCATACAGAAAACATTGTGCTTTTAATTGATATGATGTCCAAAGATTCTAAACTACCTTGTTTCCAGTATGGTGACAATGCAGCACAGGCAGTTCGAGACCGCCTGGTCTTGAATTTGACAGAAGTGCAGGCGGAAGAGTTTGTAGAAAAGTTGATCATGAGCAGTTGTTGCAATGTGTTTACGCGACTATATGATACATTCCAATATTATTCGAATGGAATTTTATAATAAAAAAATAAGGAACATCAGAACACAAGAATAGAAGAAAAAAAATTTATAAATGGCAATAAAAAAAAACAAATTTGAAGGTATTGAGCATGCACGTGCGTGGAGAAACTTTTATTATCAGATTCTTCTCTTCTTTTATTTGTTTCCTTCCCGCGTCTTTTTACCAAATACGTAAAAAAGGAATGATGCTTCTTACACGTTTACATTGGCTTCAAGGACTCTCCAGGAATACTCTAAAAAATTCATCCCAACTTTTGATTGGATCACATGTCAATTTAGCCTCTTACTCCAGACTCCTCTCTCGCTCCATCCTATTGAAGCGGAATGATGTCAACAATGTTTTCTTGATCAGGCACCTTCATCAATCAGCTGTTACTGCCTCTGATGCTACTACTACCCAGCCAACTGCAACTACTGTTACTACTGATGCCGCTGCTGCCGTTGCTGCTACTATCCCCTCATCATCATCATCATCATCATTGCATTCAAAAGATATGGAAACACCAGTGTTGGCACACAGATCATATAAACGTGGAAATTACAGTCGATTTGAGAGAACAAGATATCCATGGACAAAGACGGAAGACGAGCTGGTAATGAAACTATTAAAAGAGAGCAGGAAGTTATCAGAATGTTACGGATATTTTCCTGATAGAACCACTGATGCAATCCTTTGCAGGCTGTCACATCATCGTACGAGAGCAAAGGCAGAGTATATGAAGCAGAATGACATTAGTATTAAAAGTGAAAGTCAAAGTCAAAGCGGAAGCGGCAGTGGAAGCAGTAACAAGGAAAGCGATGGCCATAAAAGTAGCGAGGATAGCCGCCTTCATATGAAAGATCTAAAAAAAAATAATACTCTTTTCAAGTATTTCAATTCTGCTTCAAGTCAATGGACCCCTTTGGAGGATCAATTGCTCAGAGAAAGAGTCAAGATGTTTAAAGAAGAAGGAGGAAGGATCGCTTGGGCAAAGGTGGCCAACACAATGATCGATAATAAGCGTTTATTACGGACGTCGACCAGTTGTCAACGACGATGGAATCTCCTCAGCAGCCAAAGGACTCGGAAGATCGGAGCTTGGTCTACGGAAGAGAAGGATGCACTGAAGGAGGCTATTGTTGAGCAAACGGGGCCTATAGGGAGCAGCGAAGACTATAAAAGGCTTGAAAAGCCTCCTTTAATCAATTGGCGGAAGGTGGCAGAGAGGCTTGGAACTCGAAATGAAACACAGTGTAGGTCGCGTTTCTTTAATAACTTTCATCCATAAGGCAAGCGGAGAGAAGAAGAATGAGGAGGAGAAGTGGGAGGAATGGTGGAGTGTCGTTCGCTCTGCTTTTAATCGCTACACATAATTTAAGGCAAACGTCTTCTCAAATAAATATCGAACGAATATCAACAGTCACGATAAAGTTTGGAATGTTCACGACAAAAAAAAAAAAAAAGATCCTACCTTTTGATTCAGTTCTAATGATGCTTGCTACACGATCCCATTGGCTTCATAGTCTCGCCAAAAGTGCTTTAGGAAGTCCAGCGAAAACTCTGTTGGAGTCACACATCAGATCAAACACCTTCTCCAAGTTTCTTGTTCCCTGCACTGCATTCCAATGGACCAAGACCAAGGGAAGCAATGATCTGTCAACGGTCCGATGGTTTCATCAATCAACAACCAACACTCAAGAAAAATCAGCACCATCACCTCCAAGCACCGATGAGGAGTTTGTCACTTCTTCAAGAGCTGCTTTTCTCTCTCGAGAAGAGAGACCATCATCGAGATCGATAGCCAAACTAGGTAAACACCCAGTGAGGTTTGCTAAGAAAAAGACACTCTGGACGAAAGAGGAGAATGAGCTGGCTGAGCAACTCCTAAGCCAAAGACTATCTGCTGCAGATTGCTGTGCATATTTCCCTAACAGGACACCAGATGGAGTTATCCATAAATTATCCACGCTTCGCAAGAAGGCAAGAGAAAAGGAGCTTTTGGAAAAAGGCAAAGTGGATATGAGACTCTACGTTCCGATTCCTAGACCTTGGACGAAAGAAGAGGATGAGGGCCTCAAAGAAAGAGTGAATCGCCTTAAAAAGGAAGGAGTTAAGGAGATTCACTGGGCAGATGTGGCGAACACCGTTATCGATGGCAGACGTATGGAACGCACTTCAAGTGCTTGTAGAAGTCGATGGAATTTCCTAGAGAATGGCTTGGTCTTGAATTATAAACGTTGGACAGAAATGGAGGATGATCGACTTTTAAATGCTATCAATGAGTATCAGGGTCTGTCCGACTTTAGAAAGGAAGGAGATTTACAGTCGATCGATTGGAAAGAAATTGCAAAGAAGGTTGGAACGCGAGATAATGCTCAATGCAGACGCCGTGCGCATGGAACTCTTTTGAAAAAATTGGAGGGACCTTGGTCTGACCAGGAGCTCAAGGCACTTGAAGAGGGATTCAATAAATATGGACGAGATTGGGACGAGATCGCGAAAATGTTGGGAACCCGTAGTGCTGACCAAGCAAGAAGGAAGTACTTTCATTTAAATAAATAAATACAAAATAAAAGTCGGCAGTCACACCAAACTACATATGAAGTAAAAAGGGAAAAGAGGAATCTTTTAAACCAACCCAACTTCAACAGCGAGTTCTAACCAAAGAATGATGCGTTCTACCGGATTGCAGCGGCTTCATAGTCTTGCTATCAGTACTTTCAAAGACTCAGCGAGAGTTTTACTTGATTCACACTTCAAATCGGCTTCCTTCTCCAAGATTCTTCTTCGTCCGATTGCATTCAAATGGAACAGTGGCAATCATGTCCCTATGATCAGACAACATCAGTTTTCCAATGTTCCTACCTCACCATCATCACTCTCAGCAGAGGGCAATACAAAAGCTAAGATAGTACTAAATCCGGATTCCCCCGCCTCTGAAAATGCAAAAGTAGCATCAACGCCGAAAAGAGCGGCTCGAAAGGGTAAAAAATCCGATAGATATTCAACTCTTGCGGGCCGATGGACAGCAGGGGAGGATGCAGTAATATTGGAGCTCTTAAAGCAAAAGGCATCTATGCCCGTGTTTTTCCAACGATTCCCCGACAGGACGACGGATGCGATTCATTGCAGGACATCGATACTTCGTCGAAGGACAAAAACAAATGAAAACGAAACGGATAGCGTTACGGCCGTAGGCCACTCTGATAGTGAAGAGGATTACAGCGACCCAGATCTTGATTTTAAACGTGGCGTTCCTATACCCGTATCCTGGACTGAGGAAGAAGATCAAATGCTTTGTGATAGAGTCCGTTTGTTTACTGATAAACGTGGGAATATTAGGTGGGCAGACGTCGTGAATAAACTTATCAATGGACGGCGAATCGACCGTACTACGGCGAGTTGTAGGAGACGATGGGAAGTTCTTAATCCCTCATCGAATACCAAGTTAGGATTTTGGTCTATAGAGGAAAGCAACAGGCTCATAGCGGCTGTGAACAAGCAATTGGGGCATTCACCAAAGAGTCCCAACTTCAAGATGGACAGTAATATTAGTTTGGTCAACTGGCAGAGTGTTGCGAAGGAAGTGAAATCGCGAACTGATATGCAATGTAGAAATCGGATGTACAAGACCTTGATGAACTTGCAAGAAGGACCATGGGCAGAAGAGGAAAACATGGCGTTCCATGAAGGAATAGCCAGATATGGACTGGATTGGAAAAAGATTGCAGAACTGGTAGTAACTCGCTCCCCATATCAGGTTATGAGAAAGTATCACATCAACTTGCGGTCGCAAGAGAGAAAACAAAGACATCAGGAGTTTATTCATCAAAAGTAAATAAATTAAACTAAACACTTAATGGCAGTCACTTTGTTGTGAATGAACCCTGGTTTTCTGCTTTTTTTTTTTTTTTTTTTTTTTTTTTAGTCCATGTAAAAAGAAAAAACGACTTTCTCTTGCTTTTTTACACGTCTTAAGACATTATATACCACCATGCATCAATCGACAGGAAGCAAATTTACACTTGACTCACTTATGACAAGGGTGTTACCTTCACTTGATGTCACAGTACCCATTTCCACAGAGGGAACAAAGAAGTTCAAGCGTATCAGACCTGTAACATCCACAACCCTAACAGCACCTAACACTCCTACCGCCCTTACTTCCTCTACTACTACCACCACCACTACTGCTAACATTACTGCTATCCCTGCCACCGAAATCGCTGCGACCGCTTCTGCTGATATTGGTGTTACAACAACATCCTTAGGATCAAAATTAGGATCACCCTCGCATCAACTAAAGACATTTAAAGATATTGAGAATGGAGCCATACCGATCCAAACAGCCTCATCATCATCAACAGCAACAGGAACAGAATCACAAACAGCAACAGAAGCAGGAACAGGCATTACAAAGAGTGCTAATAAGAAGAGGAGAAGGAAGCACCGAAAAGCAGCAGAAAAGGTTGCAGGGAAGCCAGAAACAATAGGAAAAGCAAGAGCGGCAGGAACGATTACGGGGACAGCGATAGAGACAGAAACAGGAACAACAATAATGTCCAGTCTTGATACTACAGAGGATCAGGGGGGAAAGACTAGAAAACAAAGAAAGATTGAGCATTCACCATCACGCCAGGTATTGTGTGTGGCTTTTTTTTTACTTTGATTGTTACTCTTTTTGTATTTATTTTGTTCATTGTCAAGAACTGCTCATTGATATGTCTTATCTTTTTTTTTTTTTTTTTTTTTTTTTATTCCTGCTGGGATAGCATGAGTTAAGAAAAAAGAAATTACGCCGGGATTTTGATGCAAGACCGGAACTTGTTGGTATATCCAAGGAGGAAGACTTTTCAACCCTATTAGTTAAGCATGTAGAGGAAACGAATAAGAAGCTTCAACGGGATTTAGAGAAACAAAGTCAAGAGATGGAGGCTGCACAACAAAAGCAAGCTGAGCAACTCTTGAAGGCCACTCTGGGAACAGCTTCTTTGACAACAGAGCCTGAAGCGCAACGAAAGCAACAGCAACGGCAACAACAAGAGAAAAAAGGATCGGATCAAAAGATAAATCCTCATAGCCCGTCGTTTGTACCACGAAAGAACTGTAACTTCTGGTTGAAAGGACATTGTAGAAGTGTAAGTCTAAATACTATTTGATTTCCATTTTCTGTTTTTATATTTTTATATTTATATATTCATGTACAAGTGTTAGCTGCTTACTTTCTCTTTCTTTTTTTTATTTGCATATTTTTTTATAGGGAGTGAATTGTACATTCAGGCATGATCCTGCTTTAAGGAACACAGCGTCCACCACGACGACGCCAACAATAAGTGATATAGCAATTGCACAAAACTATGTTTAAATATTTAAAGATAAAAAATTGATCCGCCAAAAATTTCTCCTTTTGTTTGCAAGAATATGCATTATCTTCACAAATATTTACATAAAGATGTATAGATACATCATTCGAAAACGATTGTCGTTTGCTTGAATTTTTTTTTTTTTTTTTTTACTGATGATTTCTACACATTTTTTCAAAATCTTCACTGCAGCGGCCAATGGACAATCCCTCAAAACGAATGAAATGTATTTCAAGAAGAGTTTTTTTTTTTTTTTTTATTCTGTCGGTACTCCAAAATACTATGTGAATTTAAGCCTCCTATAAAAATAAAAAATAAAATATTTTTTCAATGAGTTCAGAGTTTATCATAAAGGCATAGTATATAAGCATATCAAGACATGTATATAATTAAAAGACTTACAGGGATCTCAATTTCACCGGCATCGATGGCATCACCAACATCCTTGGGGTTCTGACCATCGACGGTGCATCCGACGGAGAAGGCAGTTCCGAGGATCTCCTTGACGGTGCCAGAGAGCTCACGGGCCATGGACTTTGGACGCATGATGCGAGCAATCTCAATGACATCATCAATGGAGATGTTACCGTTGTGCTTGATGTTCTTCTCCTTCTTGCGATCACGAGGAGCCTCCTTGAGGGCCTTGATGACCAAAGAGGAAGCCGAGGGAACGACGGAGACAGCGGCCTGACGGTTCTGGATGGTCAACTGAACGGTGACACGGAGACCCTTCCAGTCCTGGGTGGCCTTGGCGATATCTTCACCGACCTTCTTGGGCGAGAGACCGAGAGGACCGATCTTGGGGGCAAGAGCTGAGGAAGCTCCGACCTCTCCTCCGGTGGCACGGAGGTAGATGATCTTGATCTCGTTAGGGTCCAACTTTGGTGGCATGCTGGATAGATAACCATACACACACACATGTCCAAGAATAAATATATATATAATAAAAATAAAAAAAAGAATCGCGATCAGTTGGACAATCCTTGTTTGCTGCTTAAAAGACATGATCTTCGCTCCCCTTTTCCTATCCATTGCTCCTGTTTTCATGCATTATAAAAAGTCCATGAAAGAATTCCAAAGTAAATTGCAGGCGAAAATAAGGAATGGTTGTCACTCTCTAAGATTCTTCTTTTTTTTTTTTTTTTTTTTTTTTTTTTTCTTCTTCTTCTTCTTGGCCGCAGTCCAAGAGCTCCTCAATAAAGAACTCTCCAATGACGTTTATATGTCCATATCCAGATTGCTTAAAAAAAAAAAAACAAAAATCATATTTCATTGTTGAAGTTGTATTGGATAAATGTGTTGGATAAGTTGATGGATGCGTATGTTGTATCCATCGTTTCCTTTAGATGGATTTGTATGTATGCCTTCATCTTTTTTCTTTTGCTGTTCCTTGCTCCCCTCCTTTGATAATTGATCTATAAATGTTACACGTGACTTGGCCAATTACATGAAAAGATCTGAAGAGAGAAAGAAAAAGGCCGTTCAATTTTTTGGCCATCTCTGTACAAAATAATGAAAAATGAAAACGTGATCACAAGATTAAGAAGTGATCTCGGCTCTTTTGTATTTCGTGAACCCTATGTTTTTTTCATCAAACTTCTCTTTTCTTTTTTTTTCTATTTGTTCAGACGGTAAGGGAGCCAAGAGGGGCTTGGATTTTATAGTTCTTGGATGAAAGGAATAGATCGACGCGTGAGAGAAAGAAGAGACGGAGAGAAACTGATGCACGTGAAAATGGATAGAACCAAAGACTGGAACAAAGATAAAATGCCATTCAGTCATGTACATGTACCTCTGATCTGGTAACACACACATGCAAAACCATTAGACAAAAACATTGTGGAGAGAAAGGGAAACATGGCAGACCCGTGGGCAAGGAAATATCCATTCAATATGGATCTATAAACAATCACGTATAGCTCACAACATGTACACACACATGCTTTCATTGTCTGGTCCTTTTTCTGACACTCGACCCGCACCCCCTTCCTTGATTGGTTGTTTGTTCTTATTTCGCTTTCTCTCCTCTTCTTTTCTCTTTCTCATTCCTATTCGAACCTCTCATTTCCATCTCTTTCTTTCTCCCTCTCATCACCTCATTACTCTTTATTTTACTCCAATAAAAAAACATGACTGAAACTCTCAAGTTCACTGCTGCAGATATTGGCAAGGTGCAACACATCCTTGCCAACGACAACCATGAGCATCGTCGTCAGATGCTTGATTTTGCAGCCAAGGACCCTATCTATGTTCCTCGTTATGATATCTCACTTGAGGCCAAACGTGAGTTGGCGTTGCAACGCCTTCGTCGTTTAGCACATGCGGGATACATCTCCGTTATGGACTTTGAAAAGAATCCCCTTCGTGTTTTCTCTGCACACGAAATTGCTGGTATGATCGATGGAAGCATGGGTACAAAGGTAGAGTATCAAAACCACCGTATTTGATCTTTATACGAGGAAACAGTATGGTCCGTTTTTTTTTTATATGTATACCGCTAAATCGCACGTAATTACTCTCCCTCCTGAATCAATAGATGACTGTCCAATGGAACTTGTTTGGAGGTACCGTGATCAAACTTGGGACAGAAAGGCATCGCAAACTTTTGCCCAAGATTGATGATATGAGCGCGATTGGGTGCTTTGGTCTCACAGAGCTGGGCTATGGCAACAACGCGATCGAGATGGAGACGACTGCTCACTATGTAAGTTTCTTTTCATTAATGTTTCTGATCCTATCCATATGTCTCTGCCCACCCAACTCGATCCACACGATAATGCGCATGAATATGCATGCTATATTCTCCCGTGTGAAAGAAAAGAAGGGCGAAAGAAAGAGTTTTGGGGTGAAAAGAACGAACTGATGATTGCATATGGTGGCAATGTCTTATTTTTATTTTTATTTTTATTTTTATTTTTAATTAGCTTCCTGAGACACACGAATGGGAGATTCATACACCCACAGTCAAGGCCCAGAAGTACTGGATCACCAACGTAGGTTTTGTTGCTGCTATATACCATACTCTCTTGGTTGGAATCAAAATGTTGCTAATTTTTTTTTTTTTTTTTTTTTTTTTTTCCCTTCCTCTTTTCAGTCCGCTGTTCATGCCAAGTGGTGCATCGTTTTTGCCCAGACATTTGTTGCTGGCAAGGATGAGGGTATTCACGCTATTTTGGTCCGTATCCGTGAGGAAGACATGACTCCCTCCAAGGGTGTACGTATCGAGGATATGGGTGTCAAGTTTGGCTGCAATGGTGTTGATAACGGTAAACTCTTCTTTGATCATGTCCGTGTCCCTGCTGAGAACATTTTGAACAAGTACTCCGATGTCTCACCTGACGGAAAGTTTACTTCTTCGATTAACAACCGCCGTGGGTAGGTTATAATGAAACATAATTTGTACGTTGATTTATACATATCATTTCAATTGCAGGATTCACTTATAAATCTTTTTTTTTTTTTTTTTTTTTTTTTTTTTTTTTAAAAAAAAATAAAATAAAATAAAAAAATAAAAATAAAAATACATAGACGTTTCCTCAGAGTCGCCGATCAATTGCTATCAGGTCGTCTCGCGATCGCTTCGCTCTGCCAGGGTGGCGCCAAGGTCTGCTTGGCCATTGCTTTCCGCTATGCAAACAGTCGTCTTTGCGTTGGCCCCAAGGGCAAGAGGTACATGACCATGATCTACTGTTTTTTTATTTTTATCCGACAAGATATACGAATTAATATTTATGCGCTTGTTTTTATTATTCCTCTTTAACTTGCAATAATAGTGATACGCCCATCTTGGTCTACCAACTCCAACAACGTGCTCTTCTGCCTTTGCTTGCTCAGACCGTTTGCTTGAACATTGGATTGAACTACTGCAAGGAGCGCTGGGCGGCAGCATCGCTTAAGAAGAATCCAGCGGATGCGGAGGAAGTGGTTCGTCTCTGCTGCGTGATCAAGCCTCTTGTGACCTGGAACAACGAGCGCGTGGCGACCACTTGCCGTGAGCGCTGCGGAGGTCAGGGCTACTTGTCCGTGAACCGTTTCGGGCAATTCATTGCATTCTCACACGCTGGCATGACCGCCGAGGGAGACAACTCTGTGTTGATGCAGAAGGTTGCAAAGGAGATTGTCACACTTTTACAAAAGGGACAGTTGGACCTGAGTGGATTGCCTAACCCCAAAGAAGCAGCCAACTGGGATATCACTAGCTTGGATACCTTGTTCAAGTTGTTCCAATTGCGTGAGGTTGGTCTGTTCAAGGAGTTGGCGTCAGCAATGCAGAGCAAGATGAGCAAGGGTAAGCCTTTGTTTGATGTCTGGATGGGTGAGGAATCGGATACGATCCAGGCAGCTGCCAAGGCCTACGGTGAACGCCTCTGCTTTGAACAGACGCTCAAGGCTATCTCGACTGTCGATGGGGGTGCCAAGTAAGTCTTTCTTCCTGGGATTATATGTAATTGAGTGGAATACAAAGAAACTGACATTAACTTCAAATGCTTTTGTAAAAAAAAAAAAAAAAAAAAATAGGGCTATCTTGGAGACTTTGTTGCGTCTTTGGGGGTTGTCGATGGTTGATCAGTATTTGGCCTGGTACATGACTCGCGGTTTGGTCTCGCAGCAGACGGCTATGAAGGTGCCTCAGCATGTGCGAGATGTGGTTGCGATTGTTGGAGAGCACTCATTGTCGATCAGTGACATTATGGGTGTGGATGAGCGTTTGATCTTTGCGCCCATTGCTGGAGGCTCTGGTGGTTGGGAGATCTATAATGAGATCGACAACAAGGGTGAACTGATGTCCCATGAACTGCTCCAGACCAAGGGCTTCACAGCTCATGAGGCCTTTGGTACTCCCAAGTTGTAAAGGAAAGAGACGAAAGGTTGTAAATAGCAGCAGCGGCACGCGTGTTAAAGTTTCTTAAAAAAAATAAATTTAAAAGTGATTTTCATGTGTGAATCAACCTTTTTTTCCACAGCCACATGTATAGAAATTATAATGTGAAAACATGGATAAAAGTTTTTTTTTTTTTTTTTTTTTTTTTTTAGTTTTTTAGTAGTAACATTATAAATATATATATAAAAAGAAGCGGAGAAGAAAGAGAATGTCTAATAAAGAAAAAAAAATTTTTTTTTTTGTCCTGATCCAAGTATGAATGGTTGTTTTCTGCAGTCCGGCCGCGTCTAATTGATGGAAGTGATCGACAAACTCCCATTGTTCTCCGACTTTGAAATAAAGAAAAGGTTGCTTTTTTTTTTTTTTTTTTTTTTTGCGTGTGATTTTGTTTGATTCACCCTTGTTAGACCCTTATTTTTTTTTTTTTTAATCCTTGAGTATCCTTCTCTTCTTGACGGAAGCTTCGTCCAGAACATCACCCACTGATGTTGCTGTTGTTTTTCCTGCGGTTGGTGAGGCATTTGTTGTAGTCTCACCATCGACAAGAGGAGATAACTTGCCACCATTTTTGATCACATCCATCTCTTTCAAATGCTGCAACATTACGTTGCGAGTCTTTTCCATCAAATCATTGACATCCTCGACTGTCATGCCCGTCGTAGGGATAGGTTCCAACACTCGGATCTCAAGTTCTCCACCAGGGAATGAACGCTTTGAAGAGTCATAGATGTGGGAGTATCCTTGTGAAACAATTGGAAGAATAGGATATTGAGCTTGGATAGCCAAATGGAAAGCACCCTTCTTGAAAGGTAGGAGATCAGCAGAGTCAAGACGAGATCGTGTTCCTTCAGGGAATATCCAGATTCCAGACTTTTTTTTTTTTTTTTTTTTTTTTAACGAGTCCGTGAGCCCAAAAAAGAGTCGTTTTTTTTTAAAAAAATTAAAAGCACGGAAATGTGATTTGCCGGTTAATACAAATTAAAGGAGGTGAGGAGAGTCGTATAAAATAGTAACCAGAAATAAATACGTACGTTATGTTTCTTCATGTCTGCAACAGCCTGAGTAGTTGACTCGATCGCCTTCTTGTGATTCTTGCGGTCAATGAAAATGGCATTACTGAGTTTCACTGAATGAAAAGAGTGTAAAAAACAAATTGAAACGGAAGTGTCAGCAGCCTGTTCCTTTTTGATCATGAGTGTCTTAACTCCTACAGAAATTCTTTTTTCCTTTTTCTTTATGCCACCAAGGATTGGATTATTTCTCTTTCCACCTTTCAAGTCGCTTTCTTCCATGCCTCATTAGATCGAATGAATTTGGCTTCGATCCTGTATGTTGCTATGAGGTAATGGGACGGCAGATTGGCGAGGATGTCCTATCGATCTGGTTACTCCATGCTGATATCATGTTGATCTTTTTGCCCGATCAACGTCTGTGATCGCAACTTCATTGTCCTTGTTTGACTTGCAATAGACATTTTCTTTCGAGATTGGATTACTTTTCTCCTATTCTTCCTCCCACCTCTGGGATAAGTAAATGCCAATAGCAAACCACGCAGACATTGATATGCACACAGATCAATCATCAATAGAAACGACATGATGTCAAAATGACCCTTTTTTCCCTCTTCCTCCCCTTCCTTCCCTTCCTCCTCTGCTGCAAAAGGGTAATAAAAAAATGATTTTTTTTTTTTTTTTTTTTTTTTTTTTTTCCAATGGGGAGGGGAATTACTTACTAAAGATGCCCAGGAGAGGAAAGTATTGGAGCTCCTTCTTGGCCATGACGACACAGTGTTTAGGAAAGACTCTTCCGAGGACCATCATATCCATAGATGATTGATGATTGCAGACTACGATGGCAGGATAATTTTGCAAGTTTTCTTCGCCGACGATGCGATAAGAGACACCACAGGTTTTGGCAGCGAGGAAACAAAAAATTCTGGAGACGATGTAGTTGATCGCATAACGTTTATCGATTAATGCACAGACGATTGAGACAAGACAGCCGAGAACGGACATGACCAGGGTAGCAAAGAGGACGACACAACATTTTGAAATGAATTGAAGCGTTTTTGGAAGGCGTTGTAAGATACGAGGAAGGAGGAAGAAATAGAAGAGAGGAAATGCTGCCACGAAGACAGGAGTGTATGGGGATGACCCTGATAAAAAGTGAAAAAGTAAAAAAAGAAGTTATTAATAACGTTACAACAACAAAAAAAAAAAAAAAAAAAAAAAAAACTTTTTTTAAATCAATGATCTATACAAGAAAAGAAAGAAAGGTCTTGAACTCGATGGTTTTTCTTTTTCTTTTTCTTTTCATCATTATGATTTTAGGTGTGATTGTAAGATAGATTGGGAAGAGAGGAAGAAGAGTCAGTGTTTACATGCTTACCTGTGGACATTGTGAATGAGAGAATGAAAGTAATTAAGTGATCGCAATGTGATGTGAACCTTGCGTAGGATGAGTTTGAATTGTGAATGAATACAAGCTAAAAGGAAAACAATGAAAATAAAAATAACCAGATAAAGGATGGTGGCAAAGAATGAAAAAAAGGAAGGAAGGAAGGAAGGAAGGAGAGAAGGAGAGAAAGAAAGAAAGAAAGAAAGAATGGAGGTTAATGAGAGATAAAGAGACTTTTTTTTTTTTTTTTTTTGGGTCAAGCATCCGTTTGGCCGTCTATTCGTTAAACGAGTCACTTGCTGAATTAAAGCAAACCTACACATTCACATTACACGATCGAATGCACAGGCACAGCTGCTCGTTTTAAAATAATAAAATGGCATTCATTCATTTATTTATACCGATTCTTTTTTGGGGTAGAGGCCACTCTCCTGTGTTCAGATGTATAAGCTTGGTTCAATGCAAAGGAAAATAAAGATGTGCCTTGCCCCAAAATATATTCAAGATTTCATATAACCTATCCTTCCATCCATCTCTCTCTCTCTCTCTCTTTCTCTTTCTCTTTGGTTCTGTCTCTGTTATATCAGCACCCTCTTGGCTCTTCACCATCTGGTTTTTTCCCGTCCCTCTTCCTCTTTGTTTGAACTGTAGAAATTGCATAGTATATAGCTCTATGCTCGATTAGACTTACTTCTTGAGGTTCAATTGAACTGAATTTGATTATAACTTTCCCTTGAAAAAGCTATTGTACTCTCGCTCTAGATGTTTAATCGTAGCGATCCTTGTTTTGTTTGAAAGTATAAATGTGGAACTGTCTGGGGTGCGTATGTCAATGTGGATAACAAGAGAGGGAAAAAAAAAAAAAAAAAAAAAAAAGACAAAATGGATAAAAGAAGAGAGAAAAGAGATGCAAAGGAGAAAAAAAAAAAAAAAGCAACGAGGTTTTGTAATACAACACATTTGGATGTTGGAAGTACATAACATGCAACACAAGAGCAAGTCAAGCACAGGACCTTCAACTCTTATTTGGGTAATTGGTATTAGAAATATGTCATACGAATTGAGAGCTCACTCTTCATTCCTCCCAAAAAAGCTATCACATGGAAAACAGATCTCTCGATCACCGACAACCTGCTCCGTCCTGCTGTCAAGTTGAAAGGGATAAAAAAGTCCGAAAGATCAAAAATGAGCGCCTCTCCAAATACCTGCTACACCACACTGGACTTGCTTCCTAAACCGCGTAGTAATGTATCTTTTATAATTTTGTATTATGAAACGTTATTGACATCTGCTGGGTGTTGAATTTGATCTCTCACCTTTTTTTTTTTTTTTTTTTTTTTTTGAAGCACATGTTCATACTTCAAAAACATATCATCTCCCTTTCTTGCTCCCATTCAATCTACTGTCTCTCCCAGGTCTATCATCTTTGATCGTCCTTATACTGGTTAGTGCCTGTAGTAACAATAAAGGTAATAATGGTGGCGGTGGTTAGTGATGGTAGTAAACAGTAAATTGCGAATTGATGTCGCACGGTGCACTCCATTCACACAACATTCCCATGCCACACCTTAACAAGAATTATGCAAGATCAAAAACAGTAGGATACACTTTGTCAGCAGATATGTCACAGATTCTTTATAGTGTATACAACTTGTAATTAAGATCGTTTGTTCTGTGAGCCAAACAAAGATCACGTTCATTGCGGCTCCTGTCAATGCTGTTGGCCGTTGATGGTTAAAAAAATAGAACAAACAAAAAAGAAAATAATGCTTATCCTTACTAAGCACACGACGGTCCACATGCACATTCTGCTCGGCCTTGGAAATATAGTAAGACAAAGGGTATCCTAATGACAGGACGAGCGAGATAGTGTTCCAATACCTCTGCGTGAGAAATCGATTAAAGAAGAATTACTCTAGGAAGATTGTTATTATTAATTTATTTTTTTTATTTTTTTTTTTCTTTACCCATATTTTATCGTTTAAAATAGACAGAGAATGTTTGTCTGTCACTTTCTTATCTCTTTAGGATCTTGAAGGCTCGTGCACGCATCAAAAAAAAAAAAAAAAAAAAAAAAAAATAGAGGCCCATAAAATGGGGAAGACGCCGCATACACATTGAACTCGGCTTGGGGGCAGTTGGTGGGCTACGTTATCGTGTGAAAACTCCAGTGATCCCTGTTCCGCCCACAGCCTTGCCTGCCATTTTTTCTACCGAGACTCCCGAGATCGCAATCAATCCGTTGACAACTCTCTGCCCTATATCTAAGTCAAGAAAAAAAAGGGATGAGATAGATCAGTGTTTCCGCCTCTGCCTTTTCCATCTGTTTCAGGATCATAGATAGCAGCATGTATGTCATTTTACCTTGACTCTCGTGATGGGATGACCAAGAAGAACTTAGTCAAGAGGTTCTTGTCTTTCTGCGTGATAAAATCCAAGCAGTAGACATCCGTGACTTAATCTTGCATTATAATTGTTATAATCACACAACTATTTTCATCAGGGGTAAGAAAGATAAAGCCAAAAGAGCAGAATCCACATCGATCTCAAGCTAGCTCTCGCTACTTCTACCTCATCGGAGCTAATCCTCTCCTTGTGTTGCGAAAGAAAAGTCGATGGCCTTACCAGTGGACATCGTTTCCAGTCAAACTATTGGCCATCACAAAAACACCGAATGAGTCAGGGTTCGACCACCTTGCATGCTTGCATGGAACAAATCCGTCCTCGTAGTCATTCCTGGTGGTTCAGTAAAGGTAGCTTAGTAAACTAAAAAAAAAAAAGATTAGTTCATCCTTTCCAAAAAAAAAAAAAAAAAGCGCCAGGGGCTTCATTCACATCTTTGGCAAAGTGCTGCTAGCATGATATGTCTTAAGCTCCTGATGGAATAACAAATTGTAGGTTGCAGGTTAGCAAATTGTGCTTCTTATTTTTATTTTATTCCCCTGCACGCTTTTAGCATGATGCAGTAAGGGCCATGTTTTATGACAAGTTTATGGTCGATGCTTCGGAAAGAAGTCTAATCACAAGGCGTTCACCCCAGCAAAGTATTCAAGAGAAAGGGAGTTATGTGATCATGCTCGGGTACAGTCCCATTTCAAAGCTACTTAATATGACATAGCGCTCACCCCACGATTTATTGAATTCCTTCTGGGAGCCGACGCTCTCTCAACAAATTATGACTGGACATACCAGATATGGATCCGCCATAAATTGGGGATAGTCCAGGCTACTAGAGACCATAAGATGAACTTTACGCCATAATGCCTTGGCAGTTACTCGTTAGTCTACTACGTGTGAGTTCTTGTTGTCCAGTAGGCGAGCCGTTGGGGACATTGGATGGAATGTTTCTCTTCTCTTTACTTGCCACAATTCGAGACAAAGAGACTCGAGTATATCGTCATGTCTTCGTTTATCTGGAGGCGCTCAATGGATTACTCAGTCTTCCTATCATCCCAACTGACCTCCCCGTCATGCCAACAGTGGGCCGGTGATCTCCCTAGCAAGCAGTGGTTTACACCAGCATACTAACGCTCATATTTTTTTCACTAATGGACTTGAGTGGTGCAATGCATTGTTGATCTATAAGGAGCGGTATGGTGTACCTTATTACAAAACTTTCCTCGTGCGCCACCGGTACACCATCCCAGAAACTATCGACGGAGAGGAATTTCTGAGTGATGGTGGTGCACTACATTGAAAAAAAATAAAATAAAATAAAATAAAAATAAAAAAATACATCATGGTGAGAGACTCACCAGTGAAAACCATTGCTGGCAAGAATACGCGGATATTATAGTGACCCGTATCTAGTCGTGGAAAAACTTTATTTTGTCGCGTTTCCTTAGGCTCATCACCAGCCTGAGGAAGAAGTTCATGTTCACATGCACGTACTGAAAGGCAAATGTGGCCTGCTCTCGCAGACAACACTAAAGGCTTTGAATTCAGTGGGCATTTCAGCACTGACTACGTTGCTGAAGCAGTATTGGGATTTAAACCGTTAATCAGCACGTTTAATTGACAACCCCCACAAAGATTGCCATGGCTTGCTAGAATAGGCCCCAAATGCTGTCCCTATGGCTGAGTCGCCTGTTGCCTGCCAACTTTTAAGAATAAATCCGAACGATGCCATCTCTTGAGTCCTCACTTGAACAATCCGATGTATCCCATCCAAAGCAATGGACTTTGACTATAATAGCTCTCATTTAGGCTGTGCAGCAAGTGACGAAGTTATGTTACAGGACCAAAATTGTATAAAATATACTCTGGCGAGAACCATCAGGCAGATAAATCCCTTGGATCGTAAAACGGGCAAATTCGCCCGTCCGTTTAGCTTTCATCAACTCATGGACAGGCCAGATCCAGTTCTCTATGCTTTCTACTAGCAGAAAACAACCGCCTATTGCATGCCAAGGAAGGAAAAGAAATCAGTGAAAACCAATCAGCAAAAGAAATCAGCAAAAACCATATATCAAGCTATATCATCACGATGTACTATGTCCACTATTCACTTGCCTCTACTCCTTTGCCCGTCTAGCGACTTTTACCATTTTGGGTAAAGAGATCACGTTTTGTTTAAACAAGATCACGATATTTAATGAGCCTTTCGTATTCCGGGCTGCCTACAACTTTGTCCAGAACGAGGACAAAGGATTCTTTAAACAATTCAACAATCATTATCGAGACTTGAAGGAAAGATCTTTGAGCGGCACGCACCCTTAGATCTGTTCTATGCGTTCCACAACAAAAAGCTAAAGCAAGGGTTGTTCTCGATTCCCACGCCCGTCCAGCACCAGCGCACGACAAAACTCAAGGGCGAAATCTCTAAATTTGAGCCTGTTACTTTTCCCAGACGTTTGTTTGAGCACTCAGTACCAATCGTCGGATGGGGAAGGTTATGAATGGGGAGTTCAATACAAGGAGAGTCTAACCATAGAGGATTTTTTAGAGGTGCACTGCAAGCATGGCTCCTGAAAGGACGGCTCCGTGGCAGCGTCTTTTACTACCCAAATCTGTTTCGTTCGGGACCAGATATCGCCTTTGTGCTGCGGACCTCCGACCAGCTCTACGCTGTGTTTATCCGGACGAAGCTCTGCCCTGGCGGAAAGTACTTGGACTTGATATACGCTCAACCTACGGTTGATAAAAGGCTCCGAGGCTGGGATGGTGACAAAATGCGGGGTAAAGAGTCTGATTCTGAACCTGATTACATGTCATGACGCAACTCCTTATGATTACTGATGGAATATGTGGGGTTTTCTTGTTGAAGAAGCAGTTGGCTTGCTCGATAGTGCGAAAGGCGTCGAGTGAGTACATGAGCAATCAAGCTCGTCTAGTAAGACAGACAAAAAACCAATGTTGGTGAAGCTGTGCTGGGAGTTGGAAGACACATCAACAAACGATATGTTGCAGCAAAATATATAAACCACATTCCCAGGTGCGTTACCCAACTTGTAGAAAATGCTAGTTCTCCTGGGTCTTGAAGTTGATGTCATCAGGTCATTACAGCTGGAGGTAAGTTCTTTCAGTACACCTTTCTTGGCGCCTAGAGTTACTAAATCCCATGGGCACTGGTTTGTCTAGTGCGACAGTTTCTATACCTCAGCGTCAGGCGAATGGTATTAATGCTGGGTTAATTGATTTATTAAATTGGACCTTCATGCCTCAGTTAATACATTTTGAAAATCGTCAACATTTCTTCAACACTGTGGTCGTTTTGAAGGGCTCCTTGCAGCGGTGTGAGCACAATGGACACTTACTGCAGAGAATCGCATTTTCAAAGTCGGGTCGTATCTCTCTCTCATCAGTAGAGGTGATCTGTGGTCTCCTCTCTAAAAAAAAAAAAAAAAAAAAAAAAAAAAAGAGTATTGTCTTGACGCCTCTTCATTAAATACCTTCAGTATAGGACATTTCTCATAGACCTTTTTCTCTGGATAGAAAAAAAACTCCCTCCAAGAGTTGTGAAGGAAATAGTTCTTCGTTCTTATTGGCGAGAAAGTATTAAGGAAATAAATGATTTTTCGCTCCCCCATGAGAGCCACCAAGTTGCACCGGATTTAAATGAACAGGGGGAGAGAGGGGGGGATCGAGATCGAACGATGGAATGATCCATGGAAATTTTAAACAAAAACTCCAAAAAACATTGATGTAGGGAAACAGGCAATCATGGTCTTTGGCTGATGGGAGAAAAGAAGAGGCATTTTTCTTCAATCCAGGCTCTTTAAATTCTTCAACGGTTCTTCTGGCTGGCCTTGGAGTTTTTCTGTCGCAGTGCGCATGCAACATGAGCAAAAAAAAAAAAAAAAAACAAAAAAGATGAGCCATGATATTGCTGTAGAAAAGTGGCATTTGTAAATATGCCACATGCTGTGAACGGTACCAGTTTTGGAGAGATGTATCCATCTGTTCAGACTTTAATTGAAAAACAACGTTGAAATGGATATACAATTAAGCATTCCCAGAGAATCTCTCATTTTTCAATCTTTCCCTTCCTTTCTCTCTTTCCTCTCACTTACACTAACTCTTATACTTTCTCTTCACTTGTTATTCCTTCTCATTCATCCTTCTCTCCTTTTTCTATCGGCATTGCAATGCAATGCATTGCTAATTTATCCCCTCATCCATCTTTCCATCCCATTCAAACTTTTTTTTTTTTTTTTTTTTTTTTTTGTTTATTCATAGCTATACTCTCAAATCATCTCCTCAAACTCCCTCACATACACTTTCTCGCTCCTTTCCTTTCCCCCTCACCAGTCAACCATACTCACTTGATAGAGACATTCATTATAGGCACCACAATAGGTTCACAACTTCATGTCGAATTTCAATCCTCCACCCACGGACAACCTTGACCACTGTGGCAGAAACGGTTGTCCTAGTGGTCAAGCCTGTTTCCTCTATACTGGAGGCACTCTTTGTCAACCCTACACCATCCCTGAAGCCTATCCTCCCACAGGAGCCAATCCCACTATAGTCGATCCTCCTGGATGGTACCTCGTCAACTCCTATCCTTCCGTTCGTTATACAGGCTCTCTAGTCAACCAAACCCAAGGAGCCAACTGTACAACCATTCCAGTACCTCCCAATCAACTCTTTGTCAAACTCGTGGGCCTTATTGCTCAATGGGATCTTGGAGGTATCTTCACCAACTTTGATCAAGATTATTCATCCACTCTGGTTCAATTCCGAGGCAATTGTGCAGAGAATTTCTATTGTCAGCCCTCTGTACCGACGGCGGTTAAGCCGATTCTTTATCGAGGTCAACCTATCGACGTCCCTGGTCAATTACCTGGTACCTGTCAAATGTTGAAACCAGAGAATGAAGTCTGTCAGGCCTCTAATATGTGTATAGGTTGGCATGTTAACTCAGATGGAACGTATGAGAATGATCAGACTCGATGTATCCTTCAAGGTTCCAACAGCCCAAATGCCACCACTGGACCTTTAGGATTCTGTAAAAATGTCAATGCGGGCAGAGGACGAGTCGATCCCAATCAAGGCTCCAAGGAGGTCCAAAGAACTGCAAGGACTTATCTGTTGTCAACCTTGCTGTTGTTCTTATTGGTCATCTTGTATCTCTGGTATCGTCGAGCAAAACATCGTCAACGGGAACAACAACGTCAACAGGCCACGGATCTTAACGGAGATGATAGCGCTTACTATAATGAAAATGATTCAGATGCCTACTTGCGTCAAGGAGGAGGAGGAGTCTATCGACCATCAGGTAAAATTAAGGAACAAGATTTGGAGACAAGAAAAAAAAAAAAATTGAGGAAGAGGCACATCTATTTATCCTTTTTTTTTTTTTTTTTTTTTTTTTTTTTCCCTTTGCGGAGTATAGATGGGACTGATAATGGGGAATTACCTGCGTATGGACAACATCGAAGGGATGAAAGAATTGTGGGACCAGCAGCGGAGGAAATTGGGATGTATGCATTTCCGACTCAACCACCACCACCATTGACGCCCAACAGCCCATATGGTCCACCGCCTACACCACCACCACCAATCTCATCATCATCACATCCATATACAGATTCGGGTGCTGCATATTCAAGTCGGCCTGTTCAACATAGTTATCCGTTTCCCATGACACATCCTCAACTCAACACCGCTTTAAATCATCATGGTCACGGTCCTTCACCTGTATCATTACCAACAGGAGGGGCGTTGTATGCGCCACCTTCATCCGATCCTCCACCATTGACATCACAACAAGCTGAAGCAGCAGCTTTATCTGCTGCCATTGCTGCTGCTGCTGCTGCAACAACGACGACGACAACAACAACGACACCGACAGCAGCAGTAGCAGGAGCAGCAACAATACCAAGGAGTGGAAGCCCTTTACCCCCTGCTTACGAACCTTCATCTCCATTAAATCAATCTTCAGTCAATGGTAATGCTAATGGAAATGGCAATAACAATGGCAATGGCATTGAAGGTGCGACGCCTACTATACCACCAAACCCTTTATCACCTGGAGCACCCATCGGAGTAACAATGAGTATAACAGAAACAGGATCAGAGACAACAATAACAGCAACAGCAACAGCCGCAGGAACAACAGAAACAGCAACGAAGCCAGGAACACCAGAAGAAGCAACCACGTTAGAAAACAGAGATGATGAGAAACAAGGTCGTGATGGTGTGGTCATTGTTAATGATGATCCATTATCATTAGGAGGATCGTCCTCTTCCACAGCTGCAAATTCTCCATATTTACCTTGTAAAAAAGAAAACACTGCGCTTGATGATGATGATGATGGGACTTCAACCTCCACCTCTGCTTCTGACTCTGGTCCTGGTCCTGGTCCTGGTCTTGCCTCTGGTCCTAGCCCTGGTTCTGGGTCTGGAGCCGAGTCAATAGCGCCAGCGAGACCAGACTCAACACCCAAAAAATGATTTGTCGATTGTGATACCAGAAGAGATTTAGATTTTCATCTTCCGTTTTTGTGTTATTGATTTCCCTGCTCCCCTACTTTCATACCCTTTTATTCTTAACAAATCTAGTTTCATTCTTGCATTTAAAAAAAAAAAAAAAAAAAAAAAAAAAATCGCATCTTGACTTAATTTGTTCATTATTAGTAAAATAAAAAAATGTGCATGAATACGGATATGTAGAAATGAGTATGGTCAAAAAGAAAGAAAGAAAAATATGAAAGCGGTTCTATGCAGAATTTTTTATTATGATGCTTTTTAACATGTAGTGTTTTTTTTCTTCTTCTCTCTCATTCGCTTAAAGTACAAGAGCTCTAACGTTCCGTGCCAAGATAATATCATTGACACTGGCCATGATGTTCCTCAATAGATTGGTATCAGTCGCATCTGTGTAATGACAATAAACTTCTTTATGCTCACTCCTGTTTAAACGCAAAAACCGCCCTTGGAAGAATTCGGTGGCGTCTTCATAGTTTCCTTCTTCGCCTAAATAAAAAAAAAAATTAAAAAAAGACGAAGGGTTAATTAAAAACACTTTTTAGGATTACTATGATTATGGTTATTATTTTATGAATTAAAAAACAATAAATAATAATTACCATCGTAATCTGGAAAATAATCCCTAATGCTTGAGTACTTGATCTTATTCCGGAAAATATCTGTCTTATTCATGAATAGGATCATAGACGTATCCACAAACCATTGTGAGTTGCAAATCTGATCGAAAAGCATCAGGGCCTCCTCCATTTGATTCTATTATGAGGATAAATAATAATGCCAAGTTAGAAATAGAGTGCAATTGCATATAAAAAAGTTTTTTTTTTTTAAACTTACAGCATCTTTATCTTCTACGAGACATTGATCGTATCCACTGATAGCAACCAGGAATAATACTGCGGTGACGCCCTCAAAACAATGGATCCATTTTTTACGCTCTGATCTTTGTCCGCCAACATCAAACATCCTAAATAGATATTTATAATAAAAAAAGTATACCATAATGTTAAAATTCATTCTTTTATAATAATTAGCAATAGTCATCAATCGATACAGCCATGCAAAAACTAATATAAATAAAAAAGTACCTGTACGTCAGTGCTCCAATATGAAAAGTTGTTTCAGTAATACCCGTTGACTTGACTCTACATCGAAGAATATCTGCATCATCTGGCATATAATCGGGTTTATATAAGCGATCTACAGAGTCAAAGAAGCTACATTGCATGGGAATTACGAGTTAGAGATCTTGATGAGGTTCATACATTTCAAAGTATTTTTCGTCGAATAAATTGAAATAAAAAAAATAAAAATAAAAATAAAAAGCTAAAACTTACTATTGTACATTATCAGCCAACGCATATGTGTGCCCAAGATGATAGACTTGTTGTACTGCTGGATCACTCCAAAGTGCCTTGAGTGCTTGTCGGAATTGTGGTGGATAAGGTTGTCCACTTGCAACTCTTGGCATAGTTGCAAAGACTGGTACGTATACCTAAATTATTGAAAATATGTCGAAAATACTTTTATGAATATATTTTTTTTTTTTCTAAAATATATATATATATTCAAAGTTCTACATTGTCTCTATACTTACAGCATTTTCAGGATTTGTTAATGCAATCCCGTGATCTTCCATGGCACTGAGAATGGCTTGCATAGCCATGACCATGTTTGAAAACACAAATCCACGGAATGTTTCTCGTTCTGGGATGGAGAAACCTGATGCATGCAACAGTTTCATCTGTTTGATAATGGTTGTCTTTCCTGCTTCTCCAGCACCTATCATGAAAGGCAAAACATTATTGGTCAGTTTAGATATTCAAAACGCGCTTAATGAAAAAAAAAAAAAAAAAAAAAAAAAAAAAAAAAAAAGAGAGTTACACACGGCGTCTATAATTGTGCTACGCGAAAGATGATACAACACGTGGTTGCCACGCTTTATTGAAGTAAGATCAAGGCAACAAAAAAACTCCTTGTTGTAGACTCAAAGCGGAGGACAAAAAAAAAAAAAAAAAAAAAAGATGACAAAACAAGAAAACAAGGGCGAGGGCTGCAATGGCTGCGCCCTCCGAATGTGTACTGATCAAATATACATGTACATTGGGCGATGCTTTTATAATTCTATTGTGATCCATTTTGGATACCACTACAACGGCGTCTACTTTGCAAAGTTGTACAATTTCCCAATATGCTCCCATGATTTCTGTATTCACCCTCTTTGTTCAATCCCTTTTGCGTCATTGTTTGAAAAAAACCTGTTTTTAGCCAAGTCCAGACACATTTCTTTGCATGAATTGAATTAACCAAGCAATTAAGAACTCCAAAGCTTTTGTTTTTTTTTGCCTGTCCTGCCACACATGGCTATAGTTTTTTTTATGGTTCTTTTCTCAACAACTGAGAAATAGGCTCACATTCACAGGAAAAAAAAAAAAAAAAAAAAAAAAAAAAGCGCAAAAAGTGCATTACATGTACCCCATCCACCTCTCCTATTTCATAAATCTACAACAGAAAGAAAAAAGATCATAAATGAAAAACCAATTGATAGTACTATGTTGAATAGCTTCAATATAGTAAACACCTACCGAGTAACAGTAGTTTGACCTCCAACTTGCGTGCTCGTGCATCAGCCCTGAGTGCGTTGTCGATCTTTCTACTTTGAGTTTCTTCTGGGGAAGTTGAGACACAGGACCCCTAAACGAATTACATCCAAAAAAGCAAATACGCTTGATCAATAAAGACGTTGGCTTAAAAGAGAGACAGTCAATGATCGACTTGGTTGGATGTTGCTTAAGGATAATGTTTTCTGATAATACGTGAGTGGCCAAGTATTAGTTGTTCCCACATTCAATTGGATCACTCTATTTTGATGTTACTGGTTGCCCCTGGCGGTTGGGGCACCCAACCTTTTCTCGCACTATCGCTTTTAGATAACACTCCTTTCACATTTGCTGACATATTTCATTGTAAAAGAGTAGAGTGCCATGCCAGGAAGGATCGGGCTACATCAAATTTTGAGCGCCGAGTATATCGTTATTATAATGTTTTATTCTCCTAGTTCCAGAATTTGGAGGTCAGGCAAAGTCAAAAAAAAAAAAAAAAAAAAAAAAAAAAAAAACAGATCAAAGAGATTTACGAACTTCAAGCCCTTGTCTGCTTTCTAGTTCTCTCATGATCCCAAAAAAAGACACCGAATATCCGGGGGAAAGTACATCCTCTTTGTTTGCTGCTCTCCTTGAGTGGACCCATACCTGATACACAGGCAAATGCAACTATTCTGTGCAATGCAATCATGCATCAGGTACAGGAACAGTACATGAACTGTCTTTTTTTTTTTTTTTTTTTTTTTCTTCATTCCACAAGCCTATTTCTGGTCATCAGCTTTTTTAAAAATGTGGAAATTCTCTCTCCGATAGTTGTCATCCTCTGTTGTCCAAGATTCTGAGAAAGAACTCTTTTTTTTTTTTTTTTTTTTTTTTTTTATACCATGGTAAGCTTTAAAAAGGAGAAATAATAATAATAAAAAAAGTCCTTTGTTCTGAGAAAGTCTCTCTCTCTCTGCGTGTGAGTCAGATGAATGAGAAAAGCACGAGTTGAAGTTTTCTTTCTTTCTTTTTTTTCTTTTCTGTTGGAAGATCATTTTTCAAGCTCTTAGATTTATAGAATCTAATCAATTGAGTATCGGAGGTGAGTAGATAAGAAGATTTGGGGAAGAGATCTTACCATATTGTCAGTTCTTTATGTGTTATTAAAATAAACGCGATAATTGCGTGGTAGTGAAGCTGTAAGAGATGGTTGAAATGGTAGTAATAGTAATAATAATTATAATAGTAGTAGTAGTAGTGTAGTAGGTAGTAGTAGTAGTTGTGGTATTTGTAGTAATAGTAAAAGTAACAGTAGTTTAAATGAATAGATCGGGGTCAAAACGTGTTGACGCTGTTGTAAGGAAGAGAGGAAGAAAGGAAGAAAGGGATAGAGGGGAAAAAAAGATAAAAGTGCGTGTTTGTATGTATAAAAATAAAAATGAAAAAAGAGAGAAGGAAAAAAAAAAGAGAGAGAGAGAGAGAGAGAAAGAGAAAGAAAGTAGAAAAGAAGAGGAGGAGGAGGAGTAGGTATTGACGGGATACGAGTAAAGTCAAGGAGAGATCAAAATAAAAATAAAAGAAAAGACAAGACAAGAAAGAAAGAAAGAAAAAAAAAGATGTGGAATAGGAGCTAAAGTTATGATTGTTGGGAAGGGAGAGGGAAAGAGGAGCGATGTCTGTCCAGGAGGAAAGACAAGAGATCCTGTGAAGAAGAAAGGGTAGAAGGTAAAGGGAAAAGAGTCAAACGAGAGAGTCAAAGCAGACTAAGGGCTTTTCTATCTTTTCAAAAGCGATAAAGGAGAAGAAGGAGAAGAAGAAGAGGAAAAGAGAGAAGTAGAGGAAGAAAAGGAAGCAGAAAGTAAAAAGTAGAAAAGTAAAAAGGTTAATGGAACCAAATGGGAATGGAATGAAGTCTCGTTGAGATGAAAAGGAGAAGCCAAGGGAAAAACGACTTGCACATTTGCACTTTTGCAGGAGGATGCTCTCAAAAAAAGCATAAAAAAAAATAATAACAAATAAACAAATAAAATAAATAAATAAATAAAAATACTTCATCTCTCTTCATACTTTCTTACCCTTGCACACGCGATATACGTATAACCAACCCTTGATCATTTGATTCATTTGATTTAATCAGTCTTTTAAGAGTCCCCCCATTCGTTATTGCACATGCATTTACGAAAACCAAACCAATCGTTACTCTCTTGTACGCGTAGTAAAACCATCTTTTTGGTTTTCTAGACTAGACCATTCTAGCTTTGCCTTTTATTTTTTTTGGTTCCTTGCTTCCCCCCCTCACCTTTGTTCCTGTGCTGCGTTTGTTTGTATTAATCTGTCCCTTTTTTTTTACGTATCCAATGCACCGTATCAATCTCAATCAACCTGGATTTACAACAACATCAACAAAAAAACTAGGAGCCTTTTTTTTTTTTTTTTTTTTTTTTTAATGATTCAAACATGATGAGAATAATAATTAATGCGCAACATCTCTTGTATGGTATGCAGATTAAAATAAGCAAATAAACCCTATGCAAGCAAAAGTTGAGGCAAAAAAACGAACAGGATAGAAAAGCCTCGCTTTCCTTTACAAAAAAAAAATCACACACACACACGCACATCCATCATCTAAAATGACGCGACATTCATGAGCTTTCTAATAACCAATAATCTCCATTCTTTTCCTTTTTTTTTTTTTTTTTTTTTTTTTTTCCAAAGTTGTTCAGTTTCCAAAACGACACTATAGACTCTATGCTTTGTAAAAATATGTACTATACCACATGCAATCATCTCCACAAAGAAAAAAAGAGAAAAACAAACGCTCAATTAAAAATAGTAAAAAGGGCGAATGACAAAAAAGATATTTCAGTGGGGCTGATAATTTAACGCAGTATCCGAATGTATGCAATCCTCATCATTGGTGGGTAAGGAAAAATGAATGAATGAACAAATAAAAACAACACGTATACGCAGTACCCTAAATCTATATCATGGACTCTTGAGGTCCCGATCTCCCAAACCCCCACTAAGGGGAAGAAGATAAACAAGGTAGATCAAGATTGGTTCTTGGTCTCTTGCCTATCTTCCCTTTCCTTGTATTATTAATGTTGCTGCGCACATGCTATCTTGGAAAATGGCAGGACGTCAAGAAAAAATAAAATGTATACAAAAAAGAAACTATCGTCAAGAACAAGGGTGGTTTTTTTTAAAAAAAAGGTGAATGAAATTTTGGCGCCAAGAGACGCACGAATTATTCGACTTTGAACCCAAATTTAGAAAAAATGCACACGGAATTATTTTTTCTTTTCTTCTTGCACGATCAGGTTGGCAGGTTAGTTCGTCACTTTTGTCACCCATCTGATGTTTATGTTTGAGAGCAAAAAAATGACCTGATTAGTGATTAGATGGGATTTGGTCTAATGCAATGTCCCCTCTTATCTCTTTTAATATCTTGGAATGCCTGTCTGATTTTTCCTTTTTCTCTTTTGGACAATTCAATTTCCTCGTTTGTGTTTATTTATCCCTAGAATCAAACACGTAAACTATTCATCCATATAGTAACAATGTCTGGAAATAAAGAGTCTTTTTTTTTCTTTTTTTGTATTCAGCAACTGTCATTCGTAAAGTCGATAGTACTCATCGCATCCAATCCAGAGGGTTTTCTTTTCTCCTTTGTTACATACAGTATGTGAGCAGGCCACTTCCTGTTGCATGCAAGAGATCTGTGCTTCAACCCTGAGGGTTATATTGAATCTCTTCATTAAACGGGATCAGTCCTCAGCACTGATTGAGGACCTGATCATCAGAGTCAGTCTATTTGAACGCCTGCGGAGGATTGCCATTGTTGCATTGCCTAGTCTTCAGCCCAAGAGTTTCTGTTCAAATGCAGCAGGCTTTTCAAACTTTTTTTTTTTTTTTTTTTTTTTTTTTGGAAGCGAAGAGAAGTCGGATATTTCAAATAATATGGAGCAGGCTGTGAATTCTATAGTGTACTGTGTATGACTTTGAGATGCCCTCAACATTTGTTGCACGCTTTTCATGAAAGCCTCCTGAATGGCAACCGATGATCTTATACTTTTATTTACAACGAGGAGATGGGCTGCGACTGGTTAGGGGGAGAGCAAATGCGTTTGCCAGACGAGTGATACTTCCCGTTGCAAGCAGGAAGGCTGTGTTTCAAACTCGAGGGTTACATTCAATTTCACGCATCAAAACGATCAATCCTCGGTACTGATTGACGAGTGGATCCGATGGTAAACAGAACTCACAGGAAGAGTCCACATAAATGAGTGCAGAGGGCATCGCCACTCGCTCAAGAGGACCTGGGTAAGTACTATCGTTCCCGAATTTTTGCCAGTAGCCTGATTTTTTTTTTTTTTTTTTTTTTTTTTTTCTTTGTGTGAACTAACCTCACAGTTGAAGAGAAAGAGTATGAATGCTTAGACCAAAGGCCATGGTTTTATTCCAGATTTGAGACTTTCCCATAAAGCTTTATTCACAAATACAAACCATACAGAGTAAATGCAGCAAAGATGAAAAACAATAACACAACATACGAATCAAATTTCTATACTACATTGAACGAACGACAAAAAACGACAGGAAAAAACAAGCGATGAAAAAAACGACGAAACAATAGCGACTATTCTACAATGGTATCCATGTATAACAAGAAAATAAAATAAAATAAGAAAGAATAATAATAATAATAATAATAATAAAAGATACTTGGTTTTTTCTTTCTTTCTTTTTTCTCCTTTAGAATGCAAGATCCTGATCCAGATCAATCACCATACCGCTGTCACGTCTCTTGGATGGAGCTACACCAAGTGTCTCAATTTCGCTTTCGGTCTTTGAACTCGATTCGGTTTCTTCGTGTATAACCTCAGTTTGTTGTTGTAATTGTGCGTAGAGTAGGTGTCCATTTCGAGCCCCACCATCTACCATGCTAGTACCAATGTCTTTGTCCCTATGCTGGTCCTGATCTTGGTCCCGCTCGTAAGGATGATCGTTATTTTGATGACCCTTGGCTTCAGTCATAGAAGAGATTCGTCCAATCTCCATAAGCATCGGATCTTGATATGATTGTTCATCAAACTCTTCTTCAAACTCACACTCTATATCCTTGTCTATAGTCGGATCACCATGACCATAGTGATGATGCTGACGTTGATCACGATCTTGATCATGGTGACAGTTTTGGCGGCGAGAGTATCCTTGGGGTCGGTGGTGGTAATCATAGACATCACTGTGATCTTCCATAGCATTACTTTCATCGTATGATTCTTGGTCTTGATCACGGTAGCGGTACTCTGGCGTCTGTGAGTGAGTATACTCATATGAAGGTGGATGATCATGCTGCTCAGAACTAGAAGATTCCTCTGAACGCTTTTGATATTGCTGTTCATGCTGATGCTGGTGGTACCGCTCCTGATACTCGATTTGTGGAGACGGATTCTTTCCCCACAAGAGCTGCTCAATGGCTCGAAAAGCACTCGTCTGCAAGAACTGCGGTCCGTAGAGTGCGTTTAAGAGCTCGACAGAGACCTGACCCGGATGGCGGATCGACAGCAAGAACGACATGTGTGAGGGGGTTGTCTTTATCATGGAGCGCAGGTGAACTAAAAGTAGGACAGTGAGGAATTAAAAGTAGAAACGAACGATGCTATTGTTAATACATATGGATCGAGAAATCCTACTTCAAGAACAAGAATTAAAAAAGTTAACACGTACTTTGAAGGTTGATGACCACATTCAGTTGCTCGCGCATTCGATGCAGCATCCGAGCACATTCAACCTTGGCTCTTGACTCTTCTAGAGGCCATGGTTCCATCACTGTCCTGCGCATCCGACAAAGCTGACCAATGTCACCTCGATCGGGCTCTACCGTACCGTCTCTCCATGGCTTGTATTCGTTCAGATCGTACCCTTCAGAGAGTGCATTGGCTATGATTATTCAGCATAAAAAATAAAAATAAAAATAAAAAAAATCAGCAGTTTGCTTTTTGTTTTCGAGCACACAGTAAAGTAGTATACAAATTAACTTTTTCTTTCTTTAAAAAAAAATAAAAATAAAAATAAAAATAAAAAATAAAAAATAGACTTACAACGAGCAGCAACAGCAACACCATGTTTCTTTCTCAGCATTATCTCCTGATCTGAATATTGACTGTTATTTGCAGCTGAAGAAGGAGAGGAAGAAGATGATCCCGAACTCGAACCAGTAACGGCATTGTCAACCTCGGTCTGCGACTCGGATCCAGTCATTGTCTGGTCGGTGTTCTCTGAAGAGACTGAGGACGATGGCTCCAATGTTGTTGATGACGAAGGTGGCGCTTCCTGAACTACTTTTGGTCTGATCCATGCCGCATTGTCGGTTGTTCCCTGGCTGATTATGATATTCTTCTTGAGAATAGGTTTTCTGTTCAGGACCTTGCTTCTCTGCGGCTTGTGGACAAATTCTGGGATCATCTGTAGTTGGCGACGGTTTCTCTCTTCTTCCTCCCAAAGTCCCTTTAAAAGTTGACTGGGGCTTGGGTGTTGAATCACCGTCTTGTGACGCGTTTGCTTCGTATCCATCGTATGATGCGACTGCCTTAACTTCGCTATCCTTGAGTTAAGGATCTTTTCCCCATCTTTATCGTTATCGTTATCGTTATTGCTATCGAAAGCGCCTTCTTTCTCTTCTTTATCCTTATAGCCTTCGACATCATCGGCATCATTGTCTGCTTCTTCGTTCAATACATCAGTGGCAGCTGTTTCCATGTCCACTGTCTCGCAAAACTCAGTTGAGTTTACACTATCCTTATCAAATCCTCCTTTAGGAGCCTCATTGCTCGTGGGCGACATGCCAAACTTCTTTGTAATGACCTTGTTACTCTTAATTTTCTCTGATGTATCAACGTCATCATTATCGTCTATGGTAGACTGAACACAGTTCTTACGCCATTCGATACTTGAAGTCGGGGTTGTGATCGTCCACAGATCTAACCACGATAGATCCAAACGAGCTCTCATGACGTCCCAAAAGTCGCGCATAGCCATCAATTTAACATAAGGCGATGGTGAAAGAGCTGATGTCCATCGTGTGGGGAAATGATGGATCTTGCGTCTTTTAATCGACCCAAACCATCCAAGTTGTAATTCTGCTGCTGCTGTCGAAAGACCACGACTATTTCCTAATGGTCGCGTCAACTCGATAGCGTCTTCAAAGCTTCGTTTACGACATGCTCCCGAAATAAAAGAGCGGCATTGTAGGTGTGGACAAGGTGATGGATTGGAGGACGAAGGAGCATGCTTTTTTGTTTTCTCGTGTTCATCTGTTATTTTTGCACAGAACGTGAATGTATCAAAGTCAGAGGAAAAGCTTATTGTTGGAAAGGAAGACGATGACAGCAATTTGCTTGATTTATCTCTGCCAAGAGCCAAGGTAGGGATAGTGCCTTCAGATACCATTGCTGAAGTTGCGGACAGCAAGCTAAGCGACGACGTGTCAATGTTGTTGCCCGTGTGTTGTTGTGGTACGGAAGATGCTGATGGTGAATCTGTTAAAATACTCCTACGCTTTCGGGCTGTCCAACTGGATGGCCTTGTAGATAATGGAGGTGGCGATTGCTCCAATGATTGGGATTGACTCTGAGAATTCGAGGAAAAGTAGATGTTGCTGGCCTTTCGTCGTAATCTACATTGGCTACTGCTTTCATTGTTTTCGCTCTCTTCTTCTTCCTCTTCCTCTTCCTCTTCTTCTTCTTCTTCTTGGCTTTCCTCTTCTTCCTCGCTCACTTTTCTGCGTTTCATGGATACGGGTCTGTTATGGTGGATACCAAGCTCAGTGGCTTTATGCCTTTGTTCGGCTTCAGAATCGCTGCAATCAGTACCGCTACTGCTGCTGCTGCTGCTGCTGCTACAACTACTGTCGCTATTACGGTTTCCGCCGTAGCGACTATTCCGTAGGCCGTCAGCGTTACCCCTTCTAGAACTATCACCATCTTGTTCAGAGTCGTATCCATTTCGATGAAACGTGGAGCCTTGATGTATCCTCCATGTCCCAGAACAAGATCTGTCCTCGACCGATGAGGCCTTACTACATCGATCAGATGCATTCTCGTGATACTTGTTCCTATTGACATCAACGGGAATCTGTTGGAAGGAAACCGATGATGATAATGATGTTGATTTAATCAGGGTTGAATTTGTAGGAGTGGGATTTCTCAAACTCATGGTACGTTCAGGATGGCTGCTAACCTCAGTGTGTAAATTGGACGGATATACAATGTGGGGATGTTGTAGTAGTTGATCAACACAAGTACTGTTGCTAATGATATTTTCGTTGTTGCTGTTGTTATTTAATTGCTCGTCGTTGCCACTGATTTCATTATTTGAACCCCGAGAAAAAGACTGTGAAGGAACAAACAATTCGAAATCTGTGTTCATGGCGTGCTTGAGGAGGCTGCTGCCGTAGGAAGGATGAGCAACTACTTGTAGAAGTGTTGCCTATTAAGGAAATAAGAAAATACCGATGATGCTAAAAAGAGACCGAGGACTTGAGGAGCCAAGGAAGAGTGTCCAGAGGAAAAAGTCGCACCAGGGGAAAAAAAAAAAGAGAAAAAAGGCTAGATGCCTGTTTATAGTCCTGCAAAGAGTAGTATGTGGAATACGGGGCGGCTGGGCAGTGAACAAAGGGACAATGAAGAGTTAGAGAAGCAACGACAAGTCTATGGAGCAAGGAGCATAAAAATAATAGGGGAAACAGGAGAGGGAAAAAAAAATTGTTAGTAGATTAGAACAATTGTTTGTATAATCGTGTGGGTGAAAATGCACTGAACCCAGCAACACTTTTAGAACTTTGTCCAGATGAGGATTGGTCGATGTCGAGAATGCAACAAAAAAAAATAAAATACGTCGAGTAAATACATTTGCTCAGCTGCATACATCTTGTCATGCTTATATTATATTGGTCATCTCTTAACGTAGATGCAGATGGTGCAGAAAGGTATGAAAATAGCAACTTTTTACTTAATGTGTCTGCAGTAACCCCTTCCAACAACAAAAAATAAATAAAATAAAATAAAGAACGACTGCATCCAGTCTTGTGTCCATCAAATGTGATGGTTGGTGTGACAAAAAGTTTGAGTGAAGAGAGGAGAAAAAAAAGAAACGATGAATGACCGTGCTAGTTTGTTGCACGATCAGAACTTGTGCTACAAACACTTGTTTCTTAAAGCTCACTTTTTTTTTTTTTTTTTTTTTTTTTTTTTTTGATATCCGCTCGTGGAGAGCGGCTGCGTTATCATCGTCATGATGAGAATAGCAGGAAGTAAAGTACACAGGGACGAATTCAAGCGATTGCAAGAAGGTGGATAAGAAGATTTGAGATTTGAGATTTATGATTTGAGCCGAGTAAGAGAGACATTAATTGGAAGGAGAAGGTCAAATCGAATGAAGGGTTGCGGGAAGGAGGAAACACGCCAAAAATGAGAGAGCCCTGTTTATCATAATTGTCCATTGCAGAGGCGAAACGCTGATGCATGGACAAATAGCGTGGGGAGAAAAAGAATGAGAAGGGTCTCTGAGCGCAATTCCATCCGAATTCTGTTGTGAATCATACTGAAGTACTGGATATAGATAGATAGCACCCATAATTTACTAACATCCTGTCGATACTGCCTTCTCATATTGGGCAAGAGATATGCAAAAAATATCACTTCTGAAATAGACATTTGTGCTGTTGGCGCTGAAAGACGAAAGCGATTACAAAGATGGTTCTGATTTAAATACTGTTTGCAGATGCATAAGGACGCAGGGAATTGTAGGGGCGATGAAAACTTGCAGCAGCAACAGAGGCACAGAAGTGGGAACGAAGAGAAGGAGGAAGCAAAGACATTAGGCGGAAGGGAGAATCAAGCGAGTTAATTGTGATGGAAGGAAGGAAACGAACTCAAGGCGAAGAGTGTGAATGTGAATTGTGATGCACAGTAAAGCAGACAAAGCGAGTAAAGGTTGGGAGTAGTTCATCTTGAAGATGACATGATTGCGATAGAGAACGATACGATATGAATAAATGTATGTGTTTGTGTACCTTTTTTTTTCTTGTTGTGAGACCAAAGATGCAAACTCTGAATGAATGCTGTGCAGATGTATAAAAAGAGAAGAGAGGAGTGGTGAGAAAAAGGAAGAGACAGAGGAGAGAAACAAAAAGAGAAAGAAAAAAAAAAAAAGAGAATAAAATGAAAAGGGTCTTTCTTCTTGCTTGCGCAAAGCCAGTCTTACGTGCTTTCTTTGTTTTCAAAATCAAAATGGTATATATCATTGACATTGACATTCGGCAGGGCGGGATAAGATGGATGTTGCTTTACTTTGTCTCCTGCCTGTGCAATGCATGCACTGCTGAAGTCTTGCCATGCAATGTCCTTTTTTTTTTTTTTGTTTATCTTCCCTCACTTTCCCTTTTTGCTCCGGATGAATGGTTACATGCATGCATCTCTGTCTGGGAAAGAGCAGAAATATTGTTTATTATTATAAATGAATAATTTGTATTACAATTGCTCGGTCACTTTTTTTTTTTTTTTTTTTTTTTTCATGGCTCTCGCCCACATTGCTCATCGCCATGTCTTTTTTTTTTTTTTTTTTTTTTGGGTTATTTTAATCAGTGGAATTGGGGGGTGAACTGTGCGCTGCGGGAAGATAATAAATAGTCGACAAGCACCGCGATCAACAAGGTTGGAAGATCAGACGACTGGACGAGCAACAACAACAATAACAACAACAACAATAACAACAACACAATAACAACAACAACAACAACAACAACAACAGCAAAAAAGATAATGATGGCCATCGTGTCAGGAGAAAGTTCTGAACCAAAATATATATAGCTGGGATACCTTAGAAAACACAATGCAATTTATTATAAATGTATTTGAAGTGAGTGCAAACACTGATAGGATTAAAGAAAATTAACTCATCAAGGAGAGAGTGAATGGGCTATAACAAGGTCAATGAGCGATAAGAAACCGATGATTCAAGCATGACGAGTGAACTGAATTAAAGTACTCAAAGTCAGCATTAAAAAAAAAAAACGATCAAAGCCATCTTATCCTTCCCTCCACTCGCATACAGAGCTGTTACTTCGTATGGTCAGTATATAATTCATTTAACTTTTTAATATGATTGAATTGATTTTTTTTTTTTTTTTCTTCTTCGAATAAATAGAATCTTGGCTACCAAGTGGTAGCGTTCATTAGGCTTTTACCAGCATTGCCTCTGTGTCTCTGCAGCAGCTTCCTTAGAGTCATCTTTCTGCTCTCGAATTACTACCGCACCAGCCAGATCCATTTCGAACACGATGTGGTCAGAGTGAAAAGCATAGCTCGTATCTGTTTACCTCAAATGGTTTTCCAAAAGAGATTTGAGAATGGTCGCTCATTCGCATAAGCCTAGCTCCCGGCAGCATTCAAGAATGATAACAGGCGTCAACATCAACATTAATTGAAAAATTATAGTCCTCCCTTGTGCCAGTTGTCAGTGAAACCAATCGATGTCTGTCTATGAATCATTAGACTAACTATGACACTAGAGACAGCTCCATTCAAGATTGTCTTCAAATGCCGATAATAACAAAGCGACACTGGTAGCTCCCCAATATCCATTTTGTCAGTTTCCTATGCAAAAGGAGACATCCATCGTGATCTACGAAGCCCGTGTGTTCTCATATTTTTTTCCTTCGTTCCATGCTGCGTGAATGACACATGGGAAATGCAAGAGCATAGTCTGTGATCGATTCAGTCCATGATTTATGGTCTAAAAGGTGCATTCTGCATGCAGGACTTTTCCTTGCAAAAGTAATTTGTCTCAAACGTAAAGAGGAATGAAACCAATGATAAATACTGTCCAATAATAACCCACCGTAGGTGATTTCCAGATTCTTAAACATTGGTGTAGAGGGTGTTTACGATGTATTCTCTGTGACATACTACTACAAAGAAAATGTACTCAACACTACCAATTTTAATTGCATTATCATCAGTCTATTCGGGCCTAAAATCCCTTTGAATCTTTGTGCAACAGTTCGAACAAGATCATTTGAAACTGATAAAGAAAACAAGTCTTTCTTTTTAGATTGCAAAAATGTAGTCGGAATAATATATCTTTTTTGAATAATTACGAGTACATTGGCAAATTCGTCTGCTACCGAAATACATGGACGGACAAAGAAGTGTCAAACTTTACACTACATACTAGGGCAGTAACTGGGAACTTTCCACAATTCTCTCCTTCGCTGAATCGTAGTCGTGGCCTTGTTCTCAACGAGTAGAGCAATGTAATGTACACCTGACCAGCTTCATCAGCATATCCAATGACTCTATTGCAAAAAAAAAAAAAAAAAAAAAATAGTAAGGAAGCTGCCATATGGACACGTGTTGTTCCACCATGGACATTTCATTTTTTTTGTATCACTTCGCCACAAAAGCCCAAAAGGGCGCATGTTAAAGAAAAGCACCGGCTTCCAAAAATAGACCATTGGGCTGTGCGCAATTACTCGTTTACAAAAGTGCTTCAGCCTCGTTTGTCTTTTTGTTTCATTTTCATGGGCTCATGACTTCATTGAATGGAGGCTTTTTTTTAATCCTCATCTGCTCCAATGTATTCTCTCTCCCCTTTTCATTTTCCTCTCTTTTCTCATCTCATAATCACTCAAAATTCACAATGTCCAGCTCACCTACAAGCTCAGAGCCTAACACCACTAAAGAGGCTGTCCTCCAGCCTACTTTGTAAGAAAAAAAAAAAAAAAAAAAAAAAAAAGAAAAGAAAAAAGATTAAAAGTCGTTATCCATTGTGAACTTTTCTGTCATAACCAATTCTTGAGTCTGACAAGAGTTTTTTTTTTCTCTTCTGGATTACAATGCAATCGATAATAATAATAATAGCAACAACGATAACACAGCAAAAAGTATGAATGACCTTGCTATCGATGCCCTGAATATTCGGGATAAATCCTTGCCACACGAACAATATCCTGGACCACAGCTACAAGAGCTCCATCCTAATTACATTCCACCTCCAGCTCCAGGCCCAGCAACAGTATCAGCTCCATTGATCCCACCACGGCCACACCAACAATACTATCAGCAGCCTTATGTACCAAAGACTCAGTGGCAACCTAAAAATGCGGTGCAACAACCGACATCAGTAATTGAATCGGTACAGGCACCTGTAGCTCCTCAAACTCCACCAGTACTTATGTCAGCGCCAGTACCATTACCAGTGGCTCAATCCGCTTCTGTCCCTACTTCCTCATCAGTCAACACCAATACCAGGAGCAAGCTCAACGTCAATACCATTAACCCAAACAATAAAACCTTGACAACTATTACAGCAACCATCACAACAAATGAAGACCAAAGTCGATCGATTGCTTTTGCACAAGCACAACGTCCCCCTCCTAATAAGGCGAAGCGGTCAACTCAACTTTCGCCGGGCGTGGCAGCTCAAGTGTTGACTCCAGCCCAACAAAGGGAAGCAGAAGCAGATGCCTATATTCAGCGGGCAATCGAATTACATGAAGGAGATCAACTCGAGGAGGCAACCTATTATTTCCGATTGGCTGCTCAAAGCGAAAATCCTGTTGGTCAGCTCATGTATGGACTGTCACTTCGACATGGTTGGGTAAGTCTATAAAAAAAAAAAAAAAAAAAAAAAACTGGAAACAACGGGAAGTAAGGACTTTGCATTAATGTTTGTATTCATTTATTAACTTTAAAAATATAAAAAAAAAAGGGTTGCAATCCAAATCCTAAAGAGGCAATCGTGTACTTACAACGTGCTGCAGCATATGCAATGAATGAGCTTAAGGATTTGTTGCCTGGAAACACTGCCAATATCCGGGCGATCCAACAACAGCAACAGAAACATGAAGCAAAAGAACCATCCGCCTCCAACACTAATAACAGTATGGGATCAACAAATTTGCGGCGTATGGGGACAGTGGATAGACGGTCCGCTGTGGTGACAGCACGCAAGGAATTGGTCATGGCTCTTTATGAACTTGGCATGTCTTTCTTAAAGGGTTGGGGCGTTCAAAAGGACAAAACCGTTGCTTTCAACTATTTTAAGCTTGCAGCTGATCTAGTAAGTTCAATTAAGTAAAAAAAAAAAAAAAAAAAAAAAACAAATGAAAAAATGTTTTTTTTTTTTTGCTTATTTATTTACTCTTTTGATTTAATAACTCGTTAGGGAGACGCTGATTCCCAGAATGAGACCGCACAATGCTTCATGGATGGTATCGGGACTGAAAAGGATGCATTCGAAGCAGCAAGGTATTACCGTTTAGCATGTGCTCAAGGAGCTACTCAATTTGGAAACTCTTGGATCTGGAAACCTAAATATGACAAGTATTGTGAAGAACATGCAGCTGCAGCTGCAGCCGCTTCGGCGGCCAGAAAGGCACAGCAACAAAATCAACAGCACCAGCAGCACCAAGAAGGAGGAGAAGCTCAAGGTTTTGGTGCAGCACCCAACTCTAGCGATTCATCGACTTCATCTAATCCTATTGCAGCAGGATTAGCAACAGTGAGGGGCACATCTGTGTCATCAACTTTGCCAACATCGCCACAAGAAGCAGCAGGATCTCGCATGCCAGCCTCTCGACGAGGTCAATACAACATTGCTGGGGATCTTATCTCGTCTAGTCAGTTGGAATTGAAGCTACAGCAAGCGGAGCAATTGACAACCGCCACAGTAGGCCCTATTATGGGAAAACAGAAGCAACAACAACAGCAGGACTCTACTGGAAGCACCACAACAGGGGGCAAAAAGAAACACCGTTGGAGTTTATGGGGTCTCCATCAAAATCGCGATCATACTCAAGGGGGTTTCCACCGCCGACTTCCCTCGTTAGGATAATGAACCTTTTATTCTTTAAAAAAACAAATATATACCCCAAATTAAAGGATTCAGTGATATTTAATTTTATTTTTTATTTTTTATTTTTTTTTATTCCTTTGGAAGGATTGTTAAATGTTGACTAACTAATGTACAGGGTACGCACATGTAAAAGGAAGAGAAAGAAGGCAAACGGTAAACAAAATTAAATGAATGAACAAGTGCTTCGCGTTTTTCGATAGTGCAAAATGAAGACAGCAAAAAAGAAGTAAACAAAAAAATACATTAGTTCGTCCATAACGTAAGATGGAAATTGAAAAAAAAAAAAAAAAAAAAAAAAAAAAAAAAATCATATATGGGAGGATATACACTAAGGGTTGCTTTGTTCTGAATGACTTGGATGAAAACTGGACAGTAACGCGCCCAGGGTCTTCAGGCTGACAGGCTTAGTCAAGTACCCATCCACACCACTCTCAAATGCTAGCCGCTTGTCCTCTTCTCCTGCTAGACCTGTCAGCGCAAAGATCGCAGTAGGTCGGTAGCCTCGTATTTCAGACGTTGGCACGCTCTTTTTCTGCCTCTTCTCATCTGATATATCATCATCATCATCATCTTGAGTATTAGATTCAGGCATCGAAAGTCCATGCTGCTTCACCATACTCTGCTCAAATTCGCGTATACGTTTCGTCGCAAGATTACCATCCATTACGGGCATCTGCAAGTCCATCAACACAAATTCAAAACCTGATCGACCTTGTCGTCTCCAGACTTCCTCTTGGAACCGTTCTACACCGAGCTTGCCATTTTCAGCCTCCACAACAGATACACCACGCTTTTTTAAGAACGTTCGCAGGATCATGCGGTTTGTGACATTGTCTTCCACGATTAATACGCGTGGAACAGGCTTAAGTGCTCCCAGTTGGTCCGTATATTCAACACCACGCGAGACGAGAGTATGCCCATCCGCATCAGTAGTCCGCTGCTCTTCCACGACCGTAGCCGTAGCTGCTACTTCCGCGACGGCCTCTTCTGACAAGGGCTGTTTCTTGCTACGAACCTTAGTCGTGTCTTTTTTATGCCCTGCAAAGCCCCGGATTGAACGTGGAGGCTTGGACTTTGACGACATCGATGAACCATTCGTACTTGAAGTTGAAACAAAATCATCTGATCCAACTGAGGAACTTGCTCGTCGTGGAACCAATCCATTGGTTGAATATGAAGAGGTCGAGAGATCACCTATGTCGATCATCGCTAATGTCGAAGTCGGAAACTTGAAAGACGACTTGACCATCGTCCCTGCAGATAGTGGTCTGTTGTCGTGAGTACTTAAAGCCATCGTGGTGATATGGGGAACAGTGGCTGACCTAGTCAACGGAGGAGGGTTAAATCGTTTTGCAGATGTTTCTGCAGCCTCTATAGATTGCAAATGATCGTTGATATTGATAGGCTCGAAGCAGGTGTAAAGGCAGCGCATGAGCTTGAGAGGTCCAATAGGTTTGGGCATTAACACTACGTTCGCAGGATAATCCAGATGCCCACGCTCCTTCCAAGCGACTTTGTAAGCATCAACGAGATGTCGAGCCTTCTTTGCTGTCGCAGCAGACGTCAACATCAGTAGCGGTGTTGGTGCTTTCGATGGAGCAACACCATTTACTTCAGCAGCAGCATGCCGATCCACCAAATGCAAAAGGTACGCCTTAAGCCTTATTAAGTCGTCATTGAAGATCAGAAGATCGCAAGGCGAGTGATCACTCAGGTTCTTCAGCATATCTTCTGGACTAATATCTTGTTCGTTGCCCCTCTCGACATTCATGTTAAGGTCCTGGCACATCATCCGTTCTCCCATGATTTTCCAAAGACGATCTGTGCTGACCGCCGACTCGCCAGTGTAGAAACGACAAGATTTTTCTTGCCATGCACCTGGTTCATCTTTGAGGGATTTGATGACGTTGTCGACAGGTGTAGCCCAGATCAAGACTCGGACCACACATCCTTTACCCTCAATACCTTCACTCCAAATCTCAAGCCACCCACCTAAGCTCTCCACCAAAAGCTTCACAAGAGCTAAGCCGAGTCCTGTACCAACTTGCAGAGGATCCTCTTGGGTGAAACGCTGGAAAAGATGTGCTTGAACAAACTCGGGTGAAATACCCCGTCCAGTATCTCGGACTGTGAACAGAATCGGGCGTGCGTCAGGGTTAGGAGGTTTGAGAGGCAAAGTAGATAGTGGTGGTGATACTGCAGAGATCTCCACAAAACCTGTCGTGGTAAACTTGAGCGCATTTTCTAGAAGCTTTTTTTTTTTTTTTTTTTTTTTTTTTTTTTAAAAAAAAAAAAAAAAAAAAAAAAAAAGAATGATGAAAAAGTTAATGGCGAGCATTGTTAGATGCTGACACTTCATATAATCACAATAATATTTTAAAAAAAACCAATGGTAGGTTTACGCACATACCTGGGTCAGGATACGCTTGGTCACAGGCAAATTGAGCAAGAAGTTCCAGGCAGTCTCTCGACTTGGATCCTTCTCCGGTTCATCCATGGCTACCAGCAATTCCAGAGTGGGCTTTTGCTCCGAGCGAAGCCCTGCATTGGCAAATGCATTCTGGGATTCGACCGACGAGCGTTCGCTATTTGCATATTCCTCTGGCAAAGACCCGTTATGGAGAACATGCAATGAATCCGAGGTAGAGTGCGTGTTCGTGGCTGTAGCGCTGGCATGCGATGTAGATCCTGAAGCAGAATCCGAGAGTGGTACTGAATTGCTCTTATTAGACCATGTAGGAGTGACTATTATGTTTTTGTCTAAACAGGCTTTCGCCGTTGAGCCAGCGACTTGTTCACAAAGATCTCGGATATCAACTTCTGCAACATGTGTGTAAAGTTCTGGTAGTGAGCTTGATCGGCGAGAGGCGCCTTCAAATCCAGAGTTTTCTTCCGGATCCAGATCGGCTAGGTCAATAATGTTGTTGATAGTGTCAATCAGCCCTTTACCAGAGGCCTCAGCAGATGCAATTAAGGATAATTGATGGTCATTCAGAGTTTCATTCGGATTGTTGTAGAGTAGCTCTAGAGTGCCCAAAATAATATGAAGTGGCGTCCTAAGCTCATGAGAAATGCTATTTGTTTATATGCCAAATGCCACAGAGAAAAAAAATAAAAGAGTTAGAATACTTAATGGCCACAAAATAGGTACCAGGCCATAGACAAATGTGACATGTCTAACCTTTTGATAAAAACTCCTTTGGCTTTGTCAGCTGCTTCCATACGTTCCTTCAGTACTTCTGTGATCAAGCACGACCCAAAATTCTTGAGATACATTCGTTCGTGGATTGTAAACTGTTTTGTATACGACGAGGTCAGGACCACAAAATATGCCCAGGGTTCCTCAGATGATGTCCTTGTATAGTTGGATGATGATGATGAAGCTCCACGAATGGGCATAACGATACTCGACTTGAATGGGGAACCCTTACCCGCTTTTAGTTCCTGGAGTGTACTTTGGAAAGTATGGCAGAGCAAGCTTATGCGCTTAATGGCTGGATTCTGGCTGGTATCATTTATCGTCGTTGGGTCTATCTCGTGGCCATCAAAGTTTTGCGATACCACATAGAGAGGACATTTGCTTGGCTTGTGTGGTGGAGGCTTCTTTTCTTGTCGAACATAGCGGAGCATTTCAGAGATTATAGGTTTGTCTCTTTCGAAATGAGGCTCCACTGCATCTGCATGTAGCTCGCCAACACGGTGTGGCCGACACCCTCCGTCCGCACAGATCAAAGACTTGCCCTCACGCCGGACGTGCTGCGTAGATTTGCCGAGATTTGGAAATATACCTGGCTCAGTCGGCTTTGCGGACGAAGCAAGACATGTCAATGTCCAATCGGACATGTCCATGACAGGTTCATCGCCGCCGACGGTTCCGATGGCGCCTTTTGGACGAGTGCCCACACCAAGGTAGTTCCAGACAACGCTTGATTCATTCGCAGGAATAAAAGATTTACTTGGCGAAACTTGGACGAGATAGACAGCGTCAACTATCAAAGTTCCCTGAATCATGCTACATGCAACAGGGAACGCTTCATCTTGAAGTCGACCCCGAGTGACTGCTGTTCTCGATGTCGATGAACTTGGAGTCGAATCTGAGTTTATATTTGTGGTGATAAGCATAGGGGAACTGGAAGGCGTGGGGAGGTTTGGGTCGGATGACGAGGGAATAACTGTCTTTACAGGATCAGCTAGAGGTAGGGCTGAAATGGCAGCCGACGCAGCTACAGTCGCTGCAGTTGAAGGAGATAGGGTTGTGTCGAGTGAACGTCCTATTACCTGGTGAGAACGGGCATTCACGTCGCTCGAATCCATATCCAGGCAACCACGGACCCAGCGAGTGATATCGCGCATCATTCGAGTTCGAGTACAAAGTTGCACTTGATCGTTCCAGTGCTCCATCTCCCTCATAACAACGGCGGCGAAATCGATCAGAAGTCTCTTTTGTTGATCTGTAAACTCTGCACGAGGCTCAGGATCAATGATACACAAAGACCCGATGTTAAGTCCGTCCGATGTCGCGAGTGCAGCGCCTGCATAAAAACGTACCTTTGGCCCACTAACGACGGCAGGCAAATTTTTGAACCTCCAGTCCTTGGAGGCATCCAAGATAATCAGAGGATCGTCACGGTGCCTCAAAATGGCATGTCCACTTAGTGAGAATTCTCGGTTACACTCCATATTTTCTGCCTGATATTGAGCCTTGATAGCAACCCTTCGATGATCTACAAGACAGATCATACAGCCTTTTACTCCCAAGACAGTTGATACTAGCTGAGCAACTCTCTGAAAATTCAGGTCGCTACCGCTATCAAGCGCTTGGAAACTGTAAAGTGCCCGAAGGCGTTTCTCTTCACAAGGAGGAAGAGGTGGAGCAAGGAAGGGGGGAGGATTTGGCATCTCTGTTTCTTTAACATATTCTGGAAAATGAGGATAAGTAGATCCTAGAAGAGGATGTGGATGGTGTTGATTCTGGTTGTTGGGAAATCGCCCTTCTCCGTAAAGCTCCAAGTAATCATCCCATGTTTTGAAACTGCAGGTCTGTTCTGACTCCAAACAGGCAAGGCGAGGTCCGTCTGATACAAGCATCTCAGGCATACCCCTTTCTAGGAGCAATGGAGATGTAAAATTTGCGTATGATGAATCTGAACTTTCAGATGGTGATGGCGTTGGCATTTGCTCTACATTGGGTAACCGGGAACTTATTCTTTGAGCAAATTCTGACAGTCGCTCTGCAATCATAAAGCCGGTCTGTTTGAATGGTGTAGTGTTTATATTTTGACTACTTTCGGAAACCCGTCTAGCCCGCGCGCCATTTTCCTTGAGATGGTTCACACTCGAATGCAGTCCTGTTTGATCATAGTCCAGGTTGGCAGCAACAGAGATTGTATCTAGGCCAAGGCTTGCACACCCATCCCTGTAATTGTGTTCCCCTTGGTCCAATGTAGTCGGACGCTTCACGCAATCTGATGGGCGTCGCTGCACAGACCTTAGCGAGCTAGTTGACGTGAAAGCGCAGGGATGCACGGTTGTGTATGATGATATCAGAACCTTGTAGTGAACCAAAACGAGACAAGTGCATGCAAATGTCAACAAAAGAGCATATTTAATAAATGTTACCTTGAGGAATCTGAGGCGAAACTAGGTGTCCAATTTGACGTCTGTCCTCTAGCCCAGCGACCCCCCTTCAGTAGCATTTCTGTGACAGGTTTTCGAGGATGTGTTGGGCTTGTAGGAGATGTAGGTCCATTTGAGGCCGAGCTTGAAGTGGATGGAAGAAAGGAGGGGAGGAGAGATGAAGAGAATGAGCGTAGCACGGTGTCCTGCAGGCTAGATGACGATTGTTGGTCAGTGCGGAGTTGCGCAGGAGATCTGGATTTTGATTTTGATGATTGATCCTGAAGATCACTGTTGTCTGTTTGGTCATGGATAGAATCTGTGGGTCTTAATTGAATAGGGTGGGTGGTTGCAGCAGAATCGCCAGCGATTTGTGCAGCAAACGCGTTGAGGGCTGGCAGTGGCGAAGTGAGAGCACGCAAAAACCTTGGCCTCTGTTTTGCAGTAATGGCAGGTGAGGATGCGACATCTTGATTCTGTGAAGACATCAGGAAATAAATTCAAGTGGAGGAGTGGTCTGTAAACGTTGGTGGGAGGCGTGAGCTGAGGGCTTGCCCTTTTCTTATGATGACTGGCGGGCGGTGTTGTTGGGTTATCTAATGATCTATTAAGATTAAAAGAGAGCGTAAAATGGCATGACAGCCGGTTAGTAAAGTTATGCATCTAGAAATAAAAAAGGGTATTTGATGTAGAAATATCTGGAAAAAAAAATAAAATAAAATAAAAAAAGATGATAGAAAGTGAGCGATGTAGTGTTGTCTGCTTCCTAACTGATTCGAATACCAAATGATTACAAATAGGATAATCAATCAAGGAGAAAAGGCTTGCAGAACAGAATGGGGTCCAGCAAGAGTAGAGGAAAAAAATAAATAAATAAACAATAAATAATAATGCATCATACGCGTACAGGGATGTGTGAAAGCAAACAGTTGGACGGGCAGAAACAGGGTGCAGAATGTAGAACGTAGAATGCAGAGTGCAGAGTGCAGAGTGCAGGGTGCAAAGTGCAGGGTGAAAGGATAAAAAAGTAAAGGAGGGAGAGGAGAAAGTGCGGGAGAGAGAGAAGAGAGGTAGAGTAAAAGAATATTTGGGATAAATAAGAGGTGATACAATAGTCTACGATGCAAAGCGACGGTTACGGATGGAACACGGACATACAAAAAAGTTAAAGGCCGAAAAACACCTGATAGAAAAGAGAGGAAAGAACCGCCACTCCACTGGTCCACGCGATGTTCCACTTGCTCGATTTCTGCCCTTTTGTTTCTCTTTCCCTCCCTTGGCAAACGGTTGCTGATTTGATTGTCGCTTGTCGGTGTTGAAATGAAAAAGAAAAAAAAATGCAGAAAAAAAGTGTGGAAAAAAAAAAGAAAGATGAATGTTACTGTTGACTACAACGCCTTGTTAAAAGTGTGGAAAGGGTGAAGTGGCTCTTTAGGGAGAATGTTCAGGGTGGATGGACACTGCTGTATGCAAGAACGGATGGGTTGGTTCGGATAAAGAAAAAGAAACAAAAAAGGGTCTTAAAAATCAAATATTTTTTTTCTTTTTTATTAGGCGGTGTAGGAATTTGGATCTTTATGGTTGGTGCCTGAGGAATAGACTAGATTAACTAGTGACCATCAGCCCAAAATACAAAAAGGGAAACGGTAAAAAAGTAAAATAAAAAAGGGGAATGACGAAGACAGACGAACAGACAAGGAAAAAAAAAGAAATGAAAAGAAGAAAAAAAAAAAAAAAAACAAAAAAGACAGGAGTGTAATGGATGGACAGAAACTGACTTGATTACAATGAACAAACTAAATCAACCGATGTCAAATGGGAATGAGAATAAGAAAGAGAAGAGGGAGAAAGGGCGCGTTGTACGTGGGTGGGTATGTGTGAGTGAATGTGGTAAATGAGATATTAGCAAGAACTTTTATGTGAAAGAAAATAAAGTAAGACAAACATTAAAAATGGGATAAAAAGAGTGAGAGGAGAGAGAGAGGAAAGAGAGAAGAGAGAGAAGATTACAATAACATGAGTCTAGCCTGATCAATTCAATTGACATGTAAAATGCCAAAAAAAAAATTCGGACGCACCAATGACAGTGAGAGAAAGGAGTCAGGGAGCATTTGATAGCTCACGTGATATTAATAATCTCTTATTCACACAGACCCTCTTGGCTATCCCAATGAGTAAAAACATGTTTGCTGCTCGCACAAAGGTGGCAAGACCGGTATTGCCTTGGAAAACACACAATGTCGTCAATTTGGGTTTCATTCCTCGCAACAACGCATCCTCGCGCTTCTCTTTTCTCCGCAACGCTCTCCTCACTAGACTCTATCAGGCATGGTATGATAACTCTAATATCTAAAATTTTGTTTTTTTTTTTTAAAAAAGTGGGTGCAATTGTTATATATTTGCATCTTATCTAATTGAGTGTGCATTAAAATATGTACATGACAACTTTGCTATAATTGAATTGTTTACTCATGCACGGTCCAAGAACCTTCCCCTGCAAGAATTGATCTAACTGTCTTGCAGAATATTTCTGCCTAGCCATTTCTACTTTCTCCTAATAATCACGGCTTCCATTGAGTCTCATAGAATGTGTATATGGTAAACAAGGCTAGCGCTAAAGGGTATCTTGGTATCATATTATCTCCTTATGATGTCTGAAATATCCTGTACTGGTTTAAAAATCCCTAAATCTGTGTCATACTCAGCAATGGTATTTAAAGGAATTTTTTTTCTAAAAACAGGTAGACAGACGTGGATCTGCAAACGTGCGTACTTTTCAAATAAAACAACACGTTTTATTCACTTTCCTGATCAATCTTGACTTTTTATCTTCCTAATTCGATGAACTGGGCGGTGAGATCTGTGTTGAGCCCTTAGTATTTGATAATGAATTTCTTATTTTCCCATTTCACCCATAGCATGCGATCGCAATCAATTTTCAAGATAAAGAGTTAACAATATGCTTGTATCTTAAATACTATACTATTATTGTTGTTATTGATCTTACGAGCTAGCGACTCGATGACTTTTCTCGATCGTATTGTAATATGAACATTTTTTAAATGACAACTCACTTTTCATTAAGAAGGGTATATCGCTGAAACGCAATAAAATCTTCCCTCCCAACTTTTTTCTTTTTGTGTGCTCAATACCAACCAATGATCAAACCAGATCTCGCTTGCTTCCCGATCCATTCAAAGGATGTTACCCCTTTTCAGAAATAAAATTAAACTTTGGTTTTAGTATTCGAGTTACACCTTTTTTTAAGGATGGCGTAAAAGAAACAAATCTATTGCCTAATATTATGCATTGTGAAGGAGTCACTGGCGTCAATCATCATATTCTGTATTAGAAGTAGAAATATTTTTGCAACCAAAAGAGTTTTTTTTTTTTTTTTTTTTTTTTTTTTTTTTGAAATACGCAGCATTAAACATTAGCGACGAATTTCGCTGTTTGCAAGGATTCTGTTTCATAGTCAATACGGTCAACGTTGTCTAAATCAATGTTATCTAGACCTTATATATAACCTTAATCAGCACCTTTTTTAAACTTCTTCCATTTGCATCTGAGAAACAATGGACGAACCAATTTATTTCTTGGCATCATAGTATACGCCAAAATTTGATTAATAGCAGCCGAATCACTTATTTTTGGCACAAATTACATGAAGACTTAAGAATTCGAAGCAATCAACATACATATATCATAGAAAGGAAAAGAAGAAAAGAAAAAGAAGAAATAGTTAAGCCTCAGCGAGACTTTGTCAGGTATTAAAAATGTGTCGCGATAAAACAGGTTGTCAATTCGGCAGTTGATATCACTTTTCCACACAGAATCTAGAAAGAGATATAATATGGATTGTGGTGGGCTATTGGAAAATCACAAGGAGGCGATGCACCGAATGAGTTTTTTCTCTTCAGAACGACTTTTGCTTTCCTTTTTTAGTTAGACCCTCTTCACAAAATGTTTAATAAAGAGGTCCCTTGAGTTAGAAAAGAGAAAATGGCGCTAATACTTTTAAAGTAAACAATCCAAGAACCATTAAACTTGTTTTCTCCAATGCATAATCTGACTTGTATATACGAGGACATGAATACATCAGTTATTTTACATACACAAACAATAGTCACTTTAAAAAAATAAAAATAAAAAAAAAATAAGCACAGAACTACGCTTTGCTTGAAAAAAGCGAACTCTATATCCGATCCATACTTGCGTTAGTAAAGGTTGTAGTTTATGTAATTACGCGAAACGAGAACAGAGTAAGACTGTCCTCCTTGCATAGTTTATTGCGAGTGCCTCCGTCCGTGCCTTGAAAATGACATTCCATGAAGTATGATCTGTGTTTAATTTAACCATGCCAGAACGTGGATAAATCAAGGCAATCACACCTTCTTCCAATGATCCAAATGACAGACTGTCCACTCCATGTGACAATCTGAGGCCGTCCTGCAACAGTATTGAGAGCCTTTGGAGGCTTATATTGTCAAGGCGGCACCCAGTCTTTGCATGAAGGACTATATTTTCTACAAAGGGATAGAGGCAACAGCAGCAGCAACAGAAAAGAAGAAAAGAAGAAATAAATACCATCATCTGGAAGAAGTATTGATCGTCATACACATATTCATCGCTGCTTATAGACCTATTATGATTACCTAGATACGGACGCCATATTGAGGGGTATTGATCCACAATAGAGAACCGAGTGATCAGTACTGTGCGATGTGGAATATCAACATCAAAGCTCTGTACTGACTTTCGGTCAAAGTGTAGCAGGATTCCATTTGAAAGAATTCGTCTCACAGCACTAGACTTGTCAAAGTATTCACTATCCTCAAGAGCTGAAGATTCTATCGAAATAGTGCAAACGAGCAAGCCATTGGCTTGAGATCCTAATTCCGAAATACTCTGTCCACACGAGTTCTGAAGTAAAACAGACAAACGAACGTTGAATATTGGACTTTCATACATGTTCTTGACCCGGACTCCTACCCACACCAGATTATCTTCAATGAATACATGGCTTCCTGATACGCATTCCAAGATGTCCACAAAACCATGCGGAGCAACATCTCCGTCGTTCGACTCATACTGGTCCTCTTTCTGAAGAAAATTCGTATCTACGCCACTACCTATAATATGAACTAAACGTTTAAGCACCTGTTTCCGACGATGCTCTCGTTTCCTTCGAAATAAGGTCATGTCTTCTGGTCCAAATGTACCATCAATTGACATATATGACCCGCCTCCTGTGAGGAACATAGATTGCAGCGGCCCCGTCATCAAGTCCTGGCACTCTTGGATGATCTCGCTCTTGCTGGTCAGAGATGTGCGCAGTCGTCCAATCTGTTCACGTTTGTGCTCTATTTGTTGCCCTAATGTCATGAGCACATGGTCCATATTGGTCTTTGCGCGGGTGATATCTTCATGTGTAGCTTTTTTAACTGGCGTAGCTACTGTGCTGATTGTTGTTTCTGGATAAATTAGGCATTGCTCATCTGATTGCAGCTCGCCATTGTTTATGATTACAATAGATTTCACGCCTAGTTCTCTAACGTCGGATATGATGAAGTCGCTCATGGTTATAGACAAATCCTTTATTATTCCTCCTGTGATTGAATTGTATACCCGAAGAGTCTCGTCAAAACGGACTAGTAGACATAGCTGAGATAGCTTATCAGGAACCTGACATTCCGCTATAAATCTACAGAGAGCTTATATTTAATACAGAGCAACATGGGACTCGAGAGCAGGCCATAAGACTAACACAGCGCATACCATCCATTTAACTTACATTTTCTCAACAGATGTGGGCAGGGCAGTGCTCCACTGCAAGGAGCCCCGCTGAAAAAAGGCAAGTTCGTTGGATTGTGTCTGCACCCACATTTGAGTTGGTTCTTCAATATGAGATGGTTGATCGGAATTATTAAATGAGGCCTGGTGTCGTAGGGATAAAAAGACGTATTTCACATTTTGCTTGTACTGTGGGCATATTGCAGTAATATGCATAGTAAGTTGCGGCGCCTTTGAGTCAAATGTATTACTCATAATCGCCGAGCCCAAAGCTCTCACAGCACCGGTCTGGTTTGGATCGGTAAAGATTACACTCCAAGATTGCTTTTGGAAACTCCCATTAATTCCCGCAATGTGATCTGTTTCGAGGCGAGCTTGAAGTAGTCTTTGTTTGCTAGGAGTCCACTCAAATAAATTGAAGCCATTGACAGAACCTCGTATATTGGTCTTGCACGCAATAACTATTGATGAGCTAGAGACAACTTGGCAGACTATGATTTTTAAATGAGAAAGAAATACAAAGTAAGCTTGAGAGGCTAATAGGAAAAAAAAAGGCATTTGGATTCAAAGTTTCAGCATACGTTGCACGAGCGAAAGACTCAGTCCGAGACGGGCAATAAGAGACTGTTCCCCGGGTTCCACGCAGTGACACTCTAACAGCTCCAGGGCGACATCATATATGATTAGATGTGGTTGCATCCTAACTTGAACCAAAAACGAATAATACATTAGCTCTACTCCGAGCCTTAGTCTTATATTCCTTATATTTACATGTCATGGGCCGTATCCATCTCACCAACCTTCCACCCTTGCTCGAGCAAAGGTGTTGGAAAATCAGGATTGTAGGTTGTTTTGAACACTGACTAACAATTTTCAGTTGTTCATGCAAATGTATTGTTAATTTGCCCGCCCTCTCATTTGATTTGATGTATGTGTAGACATTCACCAGTACACTCGGCGGTTGTACTTGATTTAGATTTAAAATGGAGGCTCGCAGGAAGTATGGTGCGTGATGGATCCACATTCTTGTGTTTTCCATTTCTCTTTCTAGTGGAAACTTTCTGATGTACAGATTAAGGAGTGACAATCGGAGCATCGCAAACTGTCCCTGTCAAATAATAAATAGACTGCGCTGTGCATGAAACTTTGATTATTAACTTCGAGTAAATACTTGGTCTCCTGAGACTTTCGCGTAGGCCGAAATCCATAGCATCACAATCTCTCACATTCTCGTCATGATCATCGCTCCGCGAATCAAACTAAACCCTTTCAGTTTCTTGTCTTGCATTGGGTCAGCTGGCCAGAGACTTCCTGTTCGTTCATGTTATGATTCTTTGCCTTTAAATCGAACACGGTTCATCTCAACAGCACCCGCTGCTGGATCATATATTCATCTCCCAACACGCGGTCTGCTCGAGATTCGGGGCAAAGATGCTTCAAAGTTCCTGCAAGGATTGATCACCAACCACATGCCGCGCATTGAGAATGGTGGTAGTGGATTTCTTGCTGCATTCCTCAATCCTAAGGTATGACAACTGGACAACTGTAAAAAAAAAAATTGTTTCGTTTGCGTCCAACCGGCACATGGTAATGACGAAAGCAACTCTTTTCGACTATTGCTATTTGTTTGTGGAAGGGAAGGGTAATGTATGATACGTTCATCCACCCCATGAATACGAGTAAGGATGAGTCCGACCCAGCTTTTTTGATTGAATGCGATGCCAGAGCTCTTCCAGAGCTGCATAAGCACATTGCTCGGTTTGTGCTGCGCTCCAAGGTCAAGATGGTTGGCGTGACAGAATCCTTTGATGTGTACTCCGTACTGGATCATCCTCAAGGACTTGATTACAAAAAGTACGACAAGATAATGCCCGATAATGCTTCAGTAATGGATCGAATTCATAGAATGAACGCCACTATTGGCATGTTAGATACCAGAGCAGACAGTCGGATGGGATTTAGAGTCGTAGTTCCTAAGGGACAATCCTGTAAGTTTACGCCCAATAATCCAGTTGTAGAGCAAACCGAGAGGCAGGCAGAAAAAGAAGAAGGCTTAAAGTAAGGATTCCTTCATTCATTTGATGCATAATCTTTTTAGTATCACTCCCAGAAGGATACAATCAAGGAACATTGGAGGAGTACCATGTGCGAAGGATCATTAACGGTGTTCCAGAAGGAATCGATGATTTTATTGCGGGAACAAGTCTTCCTTTAGAGTACAACATCGATTTCATGAACGGAGGTAATTATAGAGCAAACTGGGGTTAGATTTGATAAATGTCTTCATTATTGAACTAGTCTACTTGCGGCGGCATTGACTATTTCGGCTAATTGACAACTGATTGATATTTACTTTCAAATAGTCGACTTCAGAAAAGGATGCTATGTTGGTCAAGAACTAACTATTCGTACACATCATAAAGGAATCATTCGAAAAAGAGTATTGCCCATTCAATATTTTGGGCCCAACGAGCCGTAAGTGTGTGCTCACTAATGCGCTTGGCATCAATAGATAAAGCAATATTGATATGTCTACATGACTATACTCTGATAGCGAACCGGCTTCAATTCAGTTCGATAAGAACGCGTCGCGTGTAATTCCACCACAGTCTGAGCTATTTCCTTCCAAGAAGAAAGAGGATATAAAGCAACAGCAACCAGCGGCTTCGTCCTCTTCTGCAAGACCAGTTAGGGCATCAGGCAAGACTGGATCAAACGTAGGCAACATTGGCTTGGCGTTAGTCAAGTTAGATGATATTGCTAACGGAATCATATTCGATGTTATGGATCGCGAAGGTGCAACTATCCATGCCAAGGGATTCTTCCCGACCTGGTGGCCTCAACAGATCACTTCAGAAGAGAATACATCGCCAAACGCGTAGAGTTTAAGGAGGTGGTAATTTTACATTACTTAATAAAACTCAAACAAAAAGAAGCAACACGTTATTATAAGTTATTCGCATTTTTTTTTTTACTCACGCTCAACCGTGCGTCGTGTTCTTACCCCGATGGATCCATGCATCTGCGTGCAATTATGCCGTCACGTCACATAGAGTTCTTTTTATTCTTTCTCATTTCGTCTCTTCTTTCTCTCCTCATTCCCCTCATTCAGTTCCCACACACACGCAAGTACATTGCTCCAGTCTTCTTCTCTCTTTCTCTCGCTCTACAGCATCAACAAGAAAAAAAAAAAAACTGCTTTACAATGGCCGAAGCCAAGAAGCCCGAAAACAGCACGGTCCCCAAGAGACCTATGCATCATCGACGCAACTTCACAGGTAAATGGTCTGATAATACTTCACAAGTCTAAACGCGTCCATTAAGAGCCCTACATTACCATTGCTCTCTCCAATTAATTGGCATTCGAGCTGTAAATTTTCTTCCCCCCCCCTTAAAATTGGAATGCTCGAAATATGGTGGATTTGATCTTTAGGTCTGACTCCCAAGGAACTTGATGCCGAAAGAGCAAAATGGCCCAAAGAGACTGTCCAGCTTTGGGAAAAGTTGAGCAAGAAGGAGGCTAATGGTAAGTTCATCATTTGGTGATTTTCTCACGATTTTCTATTTTTTTTTTATGTTGGTTTTTTTATATTTTTGGGTCCAACTTTTGTCTTTCTTCTGTACCTTATCATTAATACCAATGTCTAATAAAAATAGACATTGAGACGATCCAAAAGAGCATCGTCCATCATGTCACTACAACGTTGGCCCGTGCAGCATACAATATGGACAATTTTACCGCCTACCAGGCTGTTGCTCTCAGGTATGTTGGTTGTAATACTATGAGCTCTTCTAACTCGATAGCTTAGTTTGCAACGACACCCCTCTATTTCAACTATTCCCTGACCATTGTTGACCATTGTTCTATTTTTCACTTTACTTTTCCCCCCTTCTGTCTCACGAACAGCGCCCGCGACCGTCTTATTAGTCGCTGGAATGAAACACAAGGAGTAAGTGGCATTCTGGACCAATGAATTTCTTCTTTTATTAAAATGTGTGAAAACTGAGGGACGTGGGAATATTGTGGGTTATCAGGTATCTCATGCGCATGTTACCCCAAGATTCTTCCATTTAATATCCTCTTCATAAAATCGAAAAACGATGCCAACTCATGAGAAGAGAAAAAAAAGTTCGAACATTTGTTAAAGAATAGTCAGTGACGGCACTCCCTCAGAACGATGAGGTCAAAAGGCTCAGGTCCAATTCTTTTTGGTGGACACAAAGTGAAACCAAAACACTCAATCAAACACTGATTATTGATATCATTTATGTAACACCTTTTATTGTGAGTAGCAATTGTCAAAGGTCAATCCCAAGCGTGTTTACTACCTTTCGCTCGAATTCTTGCTCGGCCGTTCTATGGACAATGCTCTCCTTAACATGGGCTTGAAGGAAACTTATGGAAGTAAGTAGCAAACCCCTTATCCACCTGCTTACAGTTTGAAATTGTTGTAAGGAGCGGTTTCGTGTCTAGCTCTGCACAATAATAGTTAACACAGCCTTTATATATAAATGTTCTTCTCACACTATTCACTATAATCCAAATCAGAGGGTATCGAACAGCTCGGCTTCCATATGGAAGATGTGATCGAGTCTGAGGTTGATGCTGCGCTCGGAAATGGTGGTCTTGGTCGCCTTGCTGCTTGTTTCATGGACTCGCTGGCTACACTTGATTATCCTGCCTGGGGCTATGGCCTTCGCTACAACTATGGCATCTTCCAGCAGAGGTATGACCAGAATCAACACGTTCTCGTCGATGTTTTATTTAACACCGCATACATATTAAACAGGCCTTGTACTGACACTTACCCTTTCTCCATATGCTTTCATTGCTATTAAGAATTGTGGATGGCTACCAGACTGAGTATCCAGATTACTGGCTGAACTTTGACAATCCTTGGGAGTTGCCCCGCCTTGATATTTCGATCCAGATCGGTTTCGGCGGACATGTTCAGACTACTCAGGATGAGTATGGTCAAACTCGCCACAACTGGATCCCTGGAACGAACGTCCAGGCCATCGCCTACGATGTACCGATCCCTGGATATCATACTGAGAATTGTAACAATATTCGTCTCTGGCGCAGCAAGCCTACTAAGGTCTTTGACTTGACCAGCTTCAACGAGGGTAACTACGAAAAATCGGTTGAGGATGCCACCAATGCAGAGAAAATCACAAGCGTCCTTTACCCCAATGATAATACCATGGCTGGAAAAGAACTTCGTCTCAAGCAGCAATACTTCTGGACGGCCGCTTCTCTTCATGATATTGTCCGTCGTTTCAAGAAGTCGATGCGTGAGTGGTCGGATTTCCCTGACCAGGTGGCCATCCAACTAAACGACACTCATCCTACTCTGGCCATTGTTGAGCTTCAGCGTCTCTTGGTAGATGAAGAGATGTTGAATTGGGACGATGCATGGGATATTGTAACGAAGACATTTGCCTTCACTAACCATACGGTCCTTCCCGAGGCTATGGAGAAGTGGTCTGTCCCAATGTTTGAGTATCTTCTGCCCAGACACCTCCAGATCATTTTCGATATCAACTTGGTAAAAAAAGGCTTGATTCTTACAAAGAGCAACAGATATTGTATAATCTTTTCACTGACATCATCTTGTTAATCTCTTTTATCACAAACAGTTCTTCCTGCAAAAGGTCGAAAAGAAGTTTCCCAATGACCGTGGTCTCTTAAATCGAATGTCGATCATTGAGGAAGCTCAGCCTCAGCAGATCCGCATGGCGCACTTGGCTGTTGTCGGTTCTCATAAAGTCAACGGAGTCGCTGCTCTCCATTCCAACCTTATCAAGACAACCGTAAGTCACAACCTGAGATCTGAGTCTTATCTTTTCAATTCAGCGCTCCATTTGCTAATTTTTTCTTTTCACAATGCTCTCAAACAGATCTTTAAAGATTTCGTAACTTACTATGGTGAAGACAAGTTTGTTAACAAGACCAACGGTATTACCCCTAGACGTTGGTTACACCAGGCCAACCCCAACCTTAGTGCCCTCATTACTAAGACACTTGGTAGTGATAAGTGGCTAAAGGAACTCTCCCTGCTTAAGGGTCTCAACTCCAAGGCTGATGATCCGGAGTTTAGAAAGAAGTGGATGGAGATTAAACGTAGCAACAAGGTTCGTCTTGCTGAGCTTATCAAGTCTCGCTGTGATTTTGAGGTCAGTCCTGATGCTCTATTTGATGTTCAAGTCAAGCGTATCCACGAGTATAAGCGTCAGTTCATGAATATCCTGTAGTAAGTGTTCATTTCTTGCCACTATCGACTGTTTCATCTACCGTAATTTTTGACTATAAACGGTTTGCGAATTGACTTTTTTTACGTTACTTCAGCGTGATCCACCGCTACCGCACCATCAAGTCATTGAGCCCTGCTCAAAAGGCCAGTGTTCAGCCTCGTGTAGTCATCTTTGGCGGAAAGGCTGCACCTGGATACTACATCGCTAAATTGGTTATTAAGCTTATCAATAGCGTTGCTTCTGTCGTGAACCAGGATCCTGCTGTTGGTGATCTACTAAAGGTTGTGTTTATCCCTGATTATAATGTCTCGGTTGCTGAAGTCATTGTCCCTGCCAGCGATATCTCTCAGGTAGGAAATAGAAAAAAAAAAAAAAAAAAAAAAAAAAGAGTAAGCAACATGAGCTATTATATAACACGATCCGCTTTATATAATGCTACCCTATTTCTAGCACATTTCGACTGCTGGTACTGAGGCCTCAGGTACTTCCAACATGAAGTTTGTACTGAACGGAGGTCTCATCATTGGAACCCTTGATGGAGCCAACATTGAAATCTTGGAGGAAATTGGTGAAGATAACATCTTCATTTTCGGTTGCATGGCTCATGAAGTGGAGGATCTTCGTCACGCTCAGAGGTGCGAAAACGAATTACTTGATGCTAGACTTTAAACCACTCCATCTGTTTCTATGGTTTGCAAAGTTCTAACCCTTCATGACATAAAATATTAGATATCGTGGAGTACCCATGGACCCTGCTCTACAGGGTGTCATTTCCGCAATTGAGAGAGGAACGTTCGATGATCCAAAGATCTTCCAACCCTTAATCAGCACATTGACAGTTGGTAAAGACTTTTACTTGATTTCAGCAGACTTTGCCTCGTATATCGCAGCAAACCAGCAGGTCGATGCAGCTTACAAGGACCAAGAGGAGTGGGCCAAGAAGTCTATTAGATGCACGGCCAATATGGGCAAGTTCTCATCGTAAGTCATTGTGTTTTGATATCAAAAAAAAAAAAAAAAAAAAAAAAAAAAAAAAAAAAATTCTTGATGGATAAAAGTGTTTATTAATTATAACCAAACTATCCTGTTTTTGTCACGCTTATACCAGGGACCGCTCGATCAAGGAGTATGCTGATGAAATTTGGAGCATTAAGCCTCACAAGGTTGTTGACGAAGGATACCTTTGAAGGAGAAAAAATATGGAGGATACTCAAAGAGTTATTATACTTTAGTGCTATAGGATAACAAATGTTGTAGCATGCGACGTACACTCCTTTTTCTGTATCCAATTTTTTTACATTTATTGAATAAAAAGAAAAAAAAGCTCCATTCCTAATTGATAGTCCGCTTATTTTTCTTTACAGCTTGGCACTGTTTCTATCTCTGGAAAGCAAACCGGGATATGGGAGGCCGAGGAAGGCAGCGATCATCTCGAACCGATCGGAGCCAAAGAACAGATACTCTTTATCATCTGGCTCGCCAGCCTTCTTGACGATGAATGTAGGAGCGCCAAAGACGCCTCTTGCGACAGCTTTGTCTGTGTTCTCCTTGAAGATCTGTTTGATCTCAGGCTGAGTAGCAAGTTGAAGATAAGAATCAACCTTGTTCGCGTCCGAATTGAAGAGGGGCATCAATGCGGCATGAATCACATCTGTTTGGGAAATATTTCGACCATGCACAAAGTATTCATCCTAAAGGATTAAGAAAGGGATGAGCAGGTCAATAAGGATTTTTTTATGTAATCGTCAAGAAAATCAAACAATGTTATTGTATAGTCCAATCATCTCTAAGAACGACAAAAACGACCAACTTACAAACAGCTTTGTTTTGTGGAGGAAAAAAAAAAAAAAAAAAAAATTAGTTTTTATGGTGCTTATACACGAATAAAGCCATGAATTGTGAACCGAGTCCCATGTGAAGTCTTTTTGCAGCGCAGTCATCGTAGATGAAGATGCTGTGGAATGATTTTAAATCACACCACGTGGTCTAATGATCGGATGATTATTTGTGTCTAATGAGCTTGGAATTTTTTTTTTTTGGTACCTTGTCAATACACTGTTCGTATTTTTCGGCTGCTTCATGCAACTGTAAAGCCGTCAAGACTCGCATGGGTAAGACTGTGTTCACAGGAAAGTTTTCGGGGAATTTGAATGGTACACCTGTCACTGCACTGATCCTGTCCAGATCAGCGATCTATCATTGATATTTTAAAAAGTTTCTCACGGTTTTCAAGTAAGCAAGCAGGGCTGCAAGGCGATAGCTTTTTTTATAAACTAAGAGCTTGTTACTAAAAAAACTGACCATGTGATTCCTTTTGGATGGGAATTCAAACAGAGGCCTGTTCTTGACAGCCTATGGGTTTTATATGGTTGAAGAAAAAAGTGAGAATTTCAACGTTTGACTTGGATAGATGGATAGAGTGTAAAAATGATCAGTTAATTAAACTAAACGATGGTTTTTATTTTTTAACTATATTACATTCATGACCCCACCAAGGAGAATGGGAGTGAAGGTGACATCGACAGAGGGCCATTGTTTACGGAAACGACTGAACAGCTTAACACCCATGTAGGTGTAAGGCGAAATCAAGTCGTAGTAGCAGATAATGCTTGCTCTTGTTGTAGCCATTGTGGGTGGGTTTCCTTTATTTTATTTTTATTAATGCTTTCGAATGGAAATTAAAGACGTGTGGAATATGATATCAAAGAGTTGACATGAAGAGAGGGAAGAAAGAATAGAATAAAATCAACACCCTTTTTTTTAAAAAAAAAAAATTGGTGCCACGCCACCAAGCTTGTTTAAGAAAAACAGGAACTTCTTCTATACAGTCATGCCTCCATCAAAGCGCATAATTTGTCCATTGACCCATGCCGCTCCTTCACTGCATAGGAACGAGACTGTATTGGCGATATCTTCAGGGCGTCCCAAGCGTCCCAATGGGGTCGCACCTTCTAAGAACTTTATACTTGCTTCCGAATTACCGTCTCGGAACCCCTCAGTATCTGTGGGACCAGGATTGACACAGTTGACGGTTATACCATTGCTACCCAAATCCTTAGCCAATGTCCTAGTCATTTGTTCGACCGCTCCCTTAGTTGCGCAATATAGGAAGAAGGTTGGCGTTACAATAGAGGCCGAGGTGAGATTCGAGGAGACAAAGATCAGGCGTGCTCCAGCCTTAAGATGAGGGATCAATTGCTTGGTGAAGAACATGGGTGCTTTGACATTAGTTCGGAAAGCTTTTTCGTAGGATTCCTCAGTAACTTCGTGAATGGATTCATAAACGATCCACGCTGCATTAAAGATCACGGCGTCGATCCGGCCAAAAGCCTTGAGGGTTTCACCAATTATCTTATGACCGTCTTCCAAATATCCAACATCACCCTTGACTGCAATAGCTTTGACTGATGGATAAGTTGAGTGGATGGTATTGACCACTTCTTGAGCTTTTGCAGCGTTGGATTGGTAATTGATGACTGTGTTATATCCGTCCTTGGCAAGACGGAGTGCAATGGCACGACCTATACCACGAGATGATCCAGTAATAATAGCAACTCGGCGGGATCCAGACATTTTTTTTTTCTTTCTTTCTTTCTTTTTTTTATTGAGGACTTTGGTGAAAGGGCTTGTATGAAATGAGAATTTTGTCAAGCTATTTTGTTTATTCAGGAGGAAGAAAGCCACTGTGAGTTGTAAGAGAGTGAAATATTTATAATCATTGCCCCTACTTGAGCAGCATCGCTGTTTCTAGCGTTTCTGTTTCTAGCGTTTCTGTTTCTAGCGTTTCTGTTTCTCATCGGAAACGAAAGTAGTCTCACACCTGATTATTCTCCTGTTAGGACGCTTCCTCAAAATCTTTTACGTCATGTAGATCCTTTCAACACCAGTACACACTATTCATGGTATATTTTTTTACATTCCCGATCATACACCCTATACCTTCAGAAGAGTCCAAATCGTAGTCATCAGGCAGCGTAGCCAGCAAATAAGTAGATGTCTAAAGTGGTTCTTTCCATATGGGTGAATATCAGAAATATTAAAACTATTATGAAAGATGAAGATGCCTCTAAAACTGTACTGACCTTGTATCACAAGGCTTTACTCTTCTGGTGTCCATTCATTCCTCCACTAATCAAAATGCTTTTGAGTTGACCAAACCAAATAAACTGAAACCAACCACATTCTGGATAGTCTTGGGCAATGTAACCCTGAAACCCTGTTCGAGAGAAAATCCTGATTGCTGCCATTTCGAAAATCGTAAATGATGTTGTGGAGCTGCTAACTGAGGGTGATTCTTTGTAATCTAGATAGATGGAAGAACTAATAAACGCATTGAATGATCGTATGCCGATAGTCAACCAGTCGCCATCACCTACAGTCATGATTAATGGTCAAACATCATCATAAAGGATTTTTGGCTCTTAATGGTAAGTGATGTGTGAATGGCTTTGCCAATCTTTAAGAGCGAATACTTTACGGACATCGGTTTGTTTTGTCCCTCAGTACAGTGTATTCCTCCTAGTCACACACTTTTTTAGGGAAAATAATAGGCCACGAGGGAAATGTATGTTCTCACTCTCCATGAAAGCTAGACAAGGAAACTCATCGTAATGTTATTCGTTTGCCAATTCTCTACAAAGTTACGATGGGTTTTTATCGGTATGACTTTTTCTTTCCAAGTTCATAAAGAAAAAAGATGGACTATTTTACTATGTGAGGGAAAAATTGCACCAAAAAATCTTAAATTATGATTAACTGAAACTTTAACTGAGATGACATCATAACGATATTAAGGGTAGTCTATTCTGTCCTCAAATCCCAATTGGCTGGAATGCGCCTATGAGATTTATATTTTTTCACTTGCAACGTGGCCAGACATATTCTTCCTATATGCGTCCATGTATCGGAAACTCCTCCTTACATACTTTCGAATACTAAGTATAGTTACAGAAGCCAATGCCTTTGGTATTGTTTCTTGCAGACCTTTGAAAGTATAATCACAGTTTGCTCTAGTATAGCGCTTGCTTGCACCCCAGAACATCTCGATGAAGTTCAGTTCGCAGTGGTACTTTGGATAGAAAATGATTTGCTGCTCATGTTTGCCTGCAATCTCCTCTAGAAGTGATCGCTGTGCCATAAAATCCTCTTGTAGCTCCAAAATGCGTGTACAACAACATGAGCTTTGATTATTAGAATAATTACGAATCTTGCAGCTCGCACATATCATCTTAAGATCCTTTCTCCAAAGTTTCCTTTCTATAAGAACCCGTCTAATCCCTTTGGCTTTCCTCGCAATTCTTTTATATAGTAGTCTTCAGAGTAGTTCATGGAGTATGTTTCGCCTGTAAGAAGAGTGAATGGACTGAAATCTAGTCCCATTAGCACTCTGTAAACAATGTGACTGCGACCAGATCAAAATGCTCATAAATAAGGTTTATTGTTGCTACTAAGTAAAACGCACTATACTCATCCGTCCTGATGGCAGACTTGTAGGCATGTCAAGTAGGATACAGCTGCTTAGCAGCTTGGCATATTCAATCCTCAGTTGTGATTCAAAAGTCCAGTCTGTCTTCATTCATGAAGCCACAAAGCAATTTATTCAGTCTTGAAAAGATCCCAGATCGAATATACTGGAATAAGGTGATTTTGTTAAAAGGCTTTTCAACCTCTCTGCGGCTGCTGGCGTCTTAAGTTGGCCTCGATGCTAACTTGTGGACTTCACATTACGTGTTCATGAATGATATTCTGGCCGATGATTTTTGAGATTGGTGTTGCGGTTAAACTTCTCAGTTCAGTCTTTGCACTGAAATGCACTCACGCTCTGCTGAAAAGAGAGCAAAAGTAGGGATCGGGAGAGAAATGTAGGAACTGAGCGAGAGAAGGTAGAACTGAAGGTAGACTTAAAGTAGGAAGACTAAAAACTGGGGTACCGCCGCTTTAGCTTCTTTTTTAGGCGCCTTCAGCGTTCGATCTGTGCAAGAGCTCAGTTCTACTGGTTAACTTGTGCAGATGCGATGTATACAACGTTTCACTCCCGATTTTCCTGTTCTCGTACCCACACCACGCTAATTTATGCCGTGGTTGATTACCCTATTAATAACTGTGGGTTCTCCCTGTACTACCACTTTAGTTTGTATCGGTTATAGGCTTTCTACTTATTAAATACTTTGTCGCTTCCTTCTGTTGTTCGCCGTGTTCCTAGTGACTGGAGGAGTGCATTTATTATCTAAGAACTTTTTTTTTTTTTTTTTTTTTTTTTAGCTTGTCGTACTTTTTCATATCAAAAAAGCCAAAGGTATCGAACTCTCTTCATCAGGTTGAGTAGCTACTTTAAGCCCAAACGGATTGTAGTATAGTACTAGTAATTCCAGGTTGTCAACTTCATTAGACACCGAACGAGATGTGAAGCCATAAAACGCGCTTTGACGTCTTTCTGTTACTGTTTCGCCCGGCCCTTTTTTTTTTTTTTTTTGTGAATATGGATAATGCGAGACTATAGACTTTAAAATCATATGATAAAGTTCCAGAGAGCGTCCCTGAACAAAAATGCCAATACTGCAAACAGGATTTGAGGCTGTAACTTGGTCATAATACAATGAATATTTCAACTTCCCTAACTTTGTCAAGTCATCTCATATCTAGTAGCTTCCGTTGATGGCAACAGTTTTGCCTCCCAACAGGACCACAGTGCAAGTTTGCGGGTCAATTCTCGTTGTAACAGAATAGTCAGGAACTAAAATGCGTGTATCCTTCGTCATTTAATGTCGTTGTCCATTTAGAGTTTGTATAAGGAAGTGACCCAAAGCACGCGTCCTAACATGGTGCTAACGTGTTTTTCAGATAGGTCGCGTCATTTTCATGGTCAGGGTTCAGAGTCCGTAGGTTGATATGAGACAGACCAATGTTTGCTTCAATGACAATGAAGCTGAAGGCGCAGTGCCTAGGAGCCACGTAAATGCTTGGAAACTATGGTTCGCTGCTAGATTTGTCCATCTATGGGCTTCCTTCACAATCCCGTTAGCGAGCTCCGATACTTTCAATGACTCGATTGCTCGTCAAAGGACTACTCATACTTCGCCGTCCACCTCAGCCTGCAGTCTCCCAACCTGATATTCAGACTCTAAAAAAAGTTCAATGCCGGTTCCTCATGGGATTGGCAAAGTGCGTAATTACTTTGAACCACGCGATCACCGAACATATGAACCCAAAAATCACCCACATTGGAGTCTATATGCCTTTGCCATCTAAGGAATTGTAATTGAACATTTTTGGTACTGAAGGGTGAGAGAAGACTGATTTACGCCGATTTTTTTTAGCTGATTAGTTTTAACTGGTTGATATTTTCTTCCTTGGCATGCAATAAACGGTTGTTTTCTGTTAGTAGAAAGCACAGAAAACTGGACCTGGCCTGCGCATGAATTGATGAAAGTTAAATGGGCGAATTTGCCCGTTTTGTGGTCCAAGAGATAAACTAAGTGAACTAGGCGATAGAGTCCGAATTTTTCTTTTCTTTTTAATATTCTGTTGTATATTTAAGCTACATGAACAATCTATAGATGCTACACTGGATCATTCCATCGTTCGAAGCCTGCGAGATATGGAATCGATACTGCCACCAGCCACCATATCTTCATAAAAGACTTCCTCCATAATGCGGGTGATATCCTTGGATTGGCCCTGCTTCTACAGGTACATACCAATATACAGTACCAACATAAAAGCGTATATTCATGGCGGCAAAAAAGTGTTTTTTTTTTATAATACACAATTTTGTTTTTAGCATAAAGTTCAATACAAGCTTTGCATTGATCCACGCCTGGCGCTTGATTCTTAGGCGGGGACGTAGTATTCTACCGGAAGGCAACATCCATCAATCTTTTATTCAAAATTAGATAGAAAACAAACTTTATTCATCAACCTATTTTCAAGCAAAATAGCTTAGGTATGCCATGAGCTGAGGGTCCAATTAGTGTGGGGTATATTTATTCGTCATAATTCTACTCAAGACCATAAAGAAAGAAGTTCCACTGCTTTTTAGGCGAATTTAGTCAGCATGCGGGGGACTAGCGAAACCGCATGGCATCGTGGGTAACGATCATCATCAATACGGCTCCTCGTAGACCACATCTATTTATTTATTTATTTATTATTATTACTGTTACTATTTTTTTTTTTTTTTTTTTTTTTTTTTAAAAGGCACCTTCAGCATTATTCGAGGCAGCAAGATGCGCCTATTCCTGCTCATATGCGTTCTTATGTCTATACGGAACGCTTCTGATAGCATCGCACGGGCCTGAATTGGCTAAATCTCATATCACTCATCAAGCCACGGGCTTCATGGCCTGTTCCGACAGAGAGAGCAATTTGTTGACTTGCTTAGCAGTATACGCGTCCAAGCACAGAAGGGAGGCTCTGAACAGAACAGCAAAGGCAAAGTAGAGGCCAAGGCATCCCCAAAAGTGGCTGGAAGAAAAGTAGTCAGTTTGAATTCCCCATTTTGTAGTTTAGGAGCCGCAGAACAAGTCTTATCAGGGCAGGAAGAGCCTTTGATGTCATTGTACGACCAAATAAGGATGAATCTTTCAATGGGGTTATGAAGGCTGTTGCGTCCTGAAGTTTAGGGAGTGCACTTCCACCTTATTCATAAGATCAGAATATTTAGTGGCGGCTCAATACCAGGCGCCTGCTTAGCACAGAACACACTCTTGATGAAGCTGCTGCCGACTAGGCTCGGTCAAACCTCAAGATTTCAATACTTAAAAAACGTCATTCCCCAGCGGTTTGTACAAGTAAAATCTTGAGTTTGGATCTAGTCTGTCAGTGAGCGTTAGTGTACAGATGCCACGTAGGCTGGTTACGAGCCTAGCTGCCGACCACTAAATAGAGATAGTTCGGTAGTCCCACAAAGAATGCCACACCCCCTGCTTATTAAGTGTAACATGCTCTTTCGATGATAGTACAAGTGATCATTAAAGAGGTGGTCAAGATATTTATATTCTGAAATCCAAAGCGTACAGAATGTATGAGCAGAGTTCAGATAAAAAATAGATCAAATGCTGTTTGACTTCATGAATCGTGGCTTGGAAGTATTAAATCAAAGTCTAACTAGCCCACATGATATTCATACTTTTGATACCAATACATGAAATAAAAAATTTTAATGAAGATATCATGAAGGTGAAAAAGGAATGTGAGGAGAGCTATATGTATAGGTTTGAAATAAAAAAAAGACCAGGTATTTCCTCGATTTTTCTACTTTCTGTACCACATAGTAGTAACGCGACTTCTGCGCATCTTCTTTTGAAGTTGGAGTACTCCGTACAACAATGCCTCGGAGGTAGGTGGGCATCCGGGGACATAAATATCGACAGGAACAATGCGGTCGCACCCACGGACTACAGAGTACGAGTAATGGTAGTATCCACCTCCATTAGCACATGAACCCATCGAAATCACCCAGCGTGGTTCAGGCATCTGGTCGTATACCTTGCGCAAAGCCGGAGCCATCTTGTTGGTCAATGTTCCAGCGACAATCATGACATCCGACTGACGAGGAGAGGCACGGAACACAATACCTAAACGGTCCTGATCGTAGCGTCCAGCAGCCATGTGCATCATCTCGACGGCACAGCAGGCCAAACCGAAAGTCATGGGCCAGATCGATCCCTCACGACCCCAGTTGATGATCTTGTCAACGGTCGAGAGTGCGTATTCTGTAAATACAAAAATGGTAATAATAAATATCGCCTAATCAGTACATTTGGCTAACGTCTTCCATTGTTGTAAATCCTATTGGTGCATTTCCACTCGCTTTGCTAGACATATCAAACAATATTTTCGTATTGGAATGCGTACCGACTGCGTTGGCGGGCTGGTGAAGGGGTCCAGGGTATGACTTTGTGATGGCTGTTGACATAGTGCGGTTTTGTGCTGGCGTATTTGCTAGATAAAGGGAAGAAAAGTTTAGGAGACGATTACTCAAAACGCACAGGTGAGGATATGAAGAAATCATGACCAGGAGACTTCCCATATTTTTTCTTATTCATTTTACAAACCTTTCTCCTCCTTGTCTGAAATCAATCCGAAGTGGCGAACCTGCTGAGTAACCACAGGTTTCATAGCATTGCGAGCAGCTGTAATTAACAATATTTTGTAAAGGAATGATCATGGTTAGATTCAGCATGAGAATAGAACATTAAATTGCAAAAATAATGGTGTCCGAGTATAGGAAGGCATCAATGTTTTCGAAAATGGAGGGTAATTTCCGAGAAATGAGAAAAAAGCGAGTACGAATCTCTTAAGTAATAAGAGGTATGTCTATAGATACATAGAGAGGGTAATGTACCTGCACCCGACATGCGTAGCCCGACTGTAGAGAGCATGGTGATGGTCGATGTGTGAGTGTTTATTTAAAAAAAAGGCAGAAGAGGAAGAAGTGCGATCAGATGATTAAAAAAACCCGAAATCCGAATGCTGTCAGATCATCCGAAGGGTAAATTTTTGCGGGTTGTTTTAGCGTCTACGTCATATATGCGTGGAAATAATCATTCCCCTCATAGAACTAACTTCTTCGTTTGTAATAAGGGCAATTTACCATTATAAATGGGCTTGTCCAGCAATCCATGGGTATTGTCTCGAAATTTTATTTCGACGTCGAAATAAATGACCAAAAATTAAACTGTCATGGGGCTATCCTGGCTTCATTATTTATGCAAATAAAAAAACATGGAGGCTTTCGCATGACCCTGGCATCCACTTGGGAGTCCATTGTATCGTTTATTTATTGACTCGTGTAATAGAAGTGATAATATTCGCCACCGTAGTATCGGCTTGAAAGGAGGGCAATCTGAGTTGATTCAATCTACCGCACCACGGAGCTTGACTAACTTGATCTTTTCCTGTACAACTCGGCGAGACTTGATTTGTCACATCATTGGGCCTGTTGAGACCAGAGGGAACAACAACAACATATCATACCCAAGGTGATACATATATCTATGTTGGAGTGAATGGTGGAATGCTTGTGTGTGATTTAGATGTAATGGACATTTATGACGAAAGAAAGTATTGAGAGGATGTGAATGATTATGAGAGCAAGGAAGAAGGGGTTTGTATCCCTTTTCAAGTCCTTGGCAACAGAGTATGAGCAGCATTGTGATCACAAGTTGATTTCGGTGAGTCCGCATAACAATGGTCAAGTGTCAAGGCCCTATCTTCCATGCACGGCATTGCATTATTGTCGTTTTCAGAACTGGCACCAACCATGCGAGGTATTTTTTTTCTAGGGGTTCCTTGTGTTAAACGGCCAGACAGAAAGCTTAAAAGACATACAGGCACACCTGCGAGGTTTTTTTGCTAATCTTGTTTCCTTTTTGTTCATCAATCACTATCAGTTGTGTGTACACGAACGCGCATCAGGCTATTGAATAAACAGCTGAAGCGTCTCTTCGGTTTCTGCACACATTTTACATCGCGGCGTTTTTTTTTTGTTTCCATCGCAAGAATCGGTCTTGCTCAAATTGAGAGGCAAGAGAGACCTACAAAGTATATACAAACCCACGGAAGAGTTGCCTGCTCCGGCTGCAAAGCGCGCACGACGCTAGACACAAGTATTTGGGTGCCGGCACTCCCACAAAAAATTTGTAAATTCTGTTTATTTCCGTCTCCTGTATCCTTTCTACCTAATCTTTTGCCCCTGAATTTCTGATTAACTTTAAAAACAGATAGGCGGGAAATCTTTATTGTAATGTAATTTTAAATGAATATTCTATTTCAAAAAAGGTGTTATCCGTAAAGACAATAAGTCAGACGTATGACCGACATGTACCAAGATGTCATGGCTGGCCATGGCATATCCAATGTCACTCGAGAGTAACATCGTCAACAAAGGATGCAAAAAAGCAGTGTCCCTGGATAAAGGAACAACCATTGAATCAAGTACAGCCCGTTAATTAAGTGCAGGGTCAGATATTAAGAATTCAAATGAAAATTGGACCAGTTATTCACATTTCGTGTGCAGCAAACGCGTCCTGAAGTGGGTAAATTTTGAGCTCGCTTCATGTAATCAACAAATAGTAATATGTCTTCTTAAATTTGAGTGAGGCATACTCAGAATCGTGCCAACTGACATGAATCATAGTGAATAAATCTAGAGCACAGTTGAAAAAGAACTGACAGTTAGTGTCTGTCATATTCCTAACAAAATCTGTCGCGAAAAAAGACTTCTTCAAAAATTCCTTTGTGCAATGTCTCTTTTTCAGTGTAGAAACGCTTAATCTCATTATAACTCGAATTGAGCTGGGTTTAAAGTAGCTTGCGTAGATCATCATGTTGAGACATAGACAAATGGAGAGAGCAATGATTGAAATAGACAAATAAAGACAAAGAGTGTCAATGACTTACAACTAAGTTAGATAAAGGATCTTGATCTTTATGGGAATAAGCTCATGCAAATTGGAAATCAATTCAATTTGATTCAATTTAAATCCAAAGCCTCGATCTTGTGTTGATCTGAGCGGCAAAAGTGTTTGAATTTAAATGCATGAAAAGGGGTTTGAGGAAAGCAAAAAGGAGAAAAGATAAAGAAGAAATGCGGGTCCTTTTATAGTAAAATAGTAAAATGTGTACCTCTTTTGTTTTTGTTTCAGTGACTAGCAATCCAGTAGCCTATCTTGAAGAGAGCCCCACTTTCAAACTCATCCCACTTGAATTGGCATTGAGGACAAAGAGGCATTTTGAACAGTGATTGGAGGGACCATCATTGCTTCCTCACTTGAAACTTTTCTTCTTGCTGTCTTAGCAGGCCAATTTTTGCAGATATGTCACAATTAAACACATCCTCCGCCCTTCCTTCGTCGGATATACCCAGTAGCCAGGTGGGGCCAATTGAGGACAACAAGCATACCCAGCTTCATATTATAACGGACCCTAATCATTCCTCACTTTCGTCCTCGCCATCGTCTTCACCTCAGATTTTAATCAACGTGCCTCCAGAGTCCCCCGTTAACAGAAAGAGGACCGAGGGTGAAAGTCAAGATGTATCATCAAATAGTGCCGATCACCATCCAAGTCAAAAAATACCGGAATACGTTGATGGATCCTCTGAGAGTTCTTTTCCGCCATTCAAAAAGCCAAAGCCTTCGCTGCCTCTATCTCAAGCTAACTTGACAGCATATCGATCTTCACAGGATATGGCGGACGATCCTTTTTCACCACAAACGTCCCCAGTACTGGAGCCTACTTCTCCATCAACCTCAATATCATCTGTGAACACACGTAGTCATAAACGGCCACCCCCAACAAACTCAGGTGTTACAGGTATCAAAGGAATTCCTATAGTCCCCTTCCTCACCAGGTCCAGAACGCTCGAGGAGATCAAACCCAGTATTCAATCATCGATTACTGAGTCGAGTGAGACCGCAATTGAGAGTCTTAGCTTGGGCTCGCGGGCTAGTGAGGCGATTACAAAGCCAGTCGGAGTCGAACGAACTATGGGTGTGATTACGACAAGCCGTCAAAGCAGCCCGTCCCTTGCTTTTCTCGACACAAAATCCAGGGAACCAACACCAATGCATATGGAAGAAGAAAACTCTCAACAATGTGATGTCAACCACACTAGCAGCCAAAACTATAGACATATCAGGAGCCTAACTGGGTCAATGAGTGCCAGCGAGGAAATAGAGGGCTCACTTGATGCTCAGATGCTAGGAGGTTACCCTGATTCGGCTTCAGAATATGATGAAGAAGCAGATAATGATTATGAACCAGGAGCTGATACGACTATAGACGAGGATTTCGCTCGAGTAGACACATCAGAGAGTGAGGATGATGACAGCTTCAGCAACATTGACCTGAAGAATATTGAGCCAAGCATTAATGACAAGCTGTTCGAGGACGTCCCCTATCATGATGTTGACCCCTTGTGCCTCGATCGGCTCACTGAAGAAGAAAAAATGCAAATTATGGACGAAGCCAGGAAATTCGGTATGTTGTTCCCTGATGTATAAACTAAGCCTGTTCATGAAACAAATACATTTACATCCCTCGAACACTATGATCCTAACCTAGAGCTATTATTTAAATAATAAAATGCATCCTTTAGGCATCGCGTATATAATCCAGGAGTACATCATGACCGGGGTCCATACAGTGAAGAAGTTACTGCTCATGACCACGCCTGAGGAGGTGAGGGACGTATGGTGCTCATGTACTATCTCTATGCCTTGGTGCTTTTAGTCCATAGAAGTTAAAGTGGTGATTAATATTCTGTATATGATCTTTTTTATTTTTTTTTTATTTTTTTTACACTTAAAGCTCAAGATTTCCGCCAGCCTAACAGAAGCGGATCTTGTGTGCATCTTCTCGCAACGTATGGAAAGGGAGCTTAAGCATCGTCAGAGGCTTCAGCACGTCCATACTCTCGAGCACGTCATAGAACTCTTAAAAAATTCCCAAAAGATTATGATTCTCACAGGTGCTGGCGTCTCAGTGTCCTGTGGCATTCCTGACTTTAGGTCGCCTGATGGTGTATATTCCAGACTTTCAGAATTCGAACTGGATGATCCAACGCAGATGTTTGAGTTTGAGTTCTTTAGTGAGAAGCCTGAAGTCTTTTACTCGTTTGCAAGAGAGATTTTCCCTAGCAATTTTACGCCAAGTTCTTCTCACAATTTTATCAAGTTGCTAGAAGACCAAGGAAGGTTGCTAAGGAATTATACACAAAACATTGATACGTTGGAACAAAAAGCAGGAATTCAAAATGTTTTGCAATGCCATGGTAAGCTTCCTTAGCCTTTTTCAGACACATAAATACAGCTCTATCAATCCAACATGACGCTCATTATTTGTCTCCATTTGTTCAAAAGGCTCATTTGCAACTGCCAGTTGCATTCGATGTAAATTTCAAGTTCCTGGCGATGAAATCAAGGATGCAATCCTGAAACAACAAGTTGCATACTGCAAACACTGCGCAAGCTCAAACTCAAACCATGGATTTAATTCAACGGAAACATCTAGAGAACAAGGCACCGACATCGAGGATTCGAATCGAGATGGCACTGAACCGGCTGTGATGAAGCCTGATATTGTGTTCTTTGGTGAGCGGCTACCATCGGCATTTGACGATTGCTTTGAAAAGGACCGAAATGAAGTTGACTTGCTTATTGTCATTGGAAGTAGTCTTAAGGTTGCACCTGTGAGCGACATCATGCGTAAGAATATGGCCCTTTATCTCTCTCTCGTATCGGCATAACCACTTTGTCTTCATTCTGAACATGTGTCTAAAGCTTCTTTTTATTGACCTTTTAGATCAATTGCCGAAGAATATCCCACAAATCCTGATCAACAGGACCCCAATAACTCATATGGAGTTTGATGTTCAACTTTTGGGCAACTGTGATACAATCGTGGCAGAACTCTGCAGGATGGCTGGATGGGAGCTCCGACATGAAAGGTTACCTGGTGGGACTTCAAATGTACCAAATATGGGTATGAACACCAACGCGGATGGGTCGGGCAGAGGCGGCCGTGCCTATTGGTCGCTTATTGAACCAAACACCTATATCTTTGAAGGCGCCATCTTGGGTGATATTGAGTACGAATCAAGTCAAAGTGGTAGCAAGAAACGTGGATGCTTTGACCATTGTGTTGTAGATGACTATGGTATTAGTAGCGATGAAGATGAGGAAAGTCAGAGAAGAACAAGTTTTTTGCGCGTAGGTCGCTTTAGTTCGCCTGGAGTTATGGACATGGACAGCGATGATGGTAACAGCGACGGTGGCAGCAATGATAGTGGCAGCGACAGCGACAGCGACAGCAATGAAAGTCAGCACACTGTGCGCAGTATATCAATTGTCCCAACTAACTCTGGAACATCTAACTCTGCCATCGACTCTGTAATATGTCCATCCTTGGTAACTCCTTCAGATATGGCGTCAGAGGCTATAGGATCACGATGTAGTGTTCCTGATATCCGTGCAGGGACATCTTCCTCACCATCACTACCGTCATCTCAAGAGGAACCATGTGCTCGCAGACAACCACATGAAGAAAGAGATGATAAGAGCAAGCTGCGCGCCACGTTGGAGGGAAGAACGCCACAAGGGGCTAGTAAAATCGAACTTGAATCAATCGTAGAGTCTGGAGGGACTCGCTCTCCTTCTCATGATTACAATTGCGCCCACGAAATCCGTCAACTAAGTGTAGATTCGGATTTAGTTTTTGATGATTCTTTGAAGGCGACTATTCTGCTACAGCAAGACGGTAATGTTGTATCGCAGGTGATAAATGAACTTCCTGGTCAGTCAAGTCTTATAACTGAGCCTATGGAGGAGAATATTGATCATGGCCACAAATGCTGACACTGAAGGCGATTCGTTTAGACAGCATAGAGACTATTAGATTAATTATTTAGATTTACTATGTATAATGTAATAACTACTGTTCTGAGCATAAAGTTTTCAAGGAATGTTTTGTTCATCATTACAGCGTCAGCGTTAGGTGAAGATTGCTTGTTCCAGTCTTATTGAATTTTAGCATAAATACATTGGTGCAGACACGTTGCCCTGTCTATGGAGATTGAAAGGACGAAGCTTTAAAAGAGAAGAAAAACAACATTAAGATAAATTTAAGCTATTAATCCAAGCAATTATGGAAAAGAGTGCGCGCAGCAGTAAGCGACTCAAGATCGAATGTTTGATTGAAGGTTTCTTTTATGGGGTCGGTCTTGACGCCGATTGACAACATCAGTTTATGGAACACGTGGGCTTTTTTTAAGTGCACGTACGAAGATCGCTGCGAGGATTAGGCCGTACGTGCTAATATGGGGGATGCTTTGCTGGGAAAAGCAATAAGCCTAATAATGGCCTTTCTATACTTTCGACTTGGTCTGTCTTTTCTTTTTTTTTTCTTGTTCTCTGAATATCTCATCTCATCTTTCCCTTTCCTTCCCTTCTCGCCCTCTATTTTTACTTTCATATCTTTCTGCTACTGGCTATTGTAACTTATAGACCGAAACAGAGAAATAGCAGACCTACCCAAGGTAGATATCACCTCACTGCTCCATTCACAATTCTTGTCTCAAATTAGATATCAAGTCGTGTTGGGGACAGGTTTTAAAAAGTGGATAATTCTCATTAACATAATCATGGAGCGAAATGAGATTGGAGGTGTTTTTTTTGTTCCATTTCTTGGGGTCAATACATTATTTGAATGTAAGCGCTTTTTTTTTTTTTTTATTTTTTTTGGGTTGTGGAATATGATAAAATTGGACCAAATGTGCCTGTTTTCTTGTTTCCAAAGTACTTCACAATGATGAGAATGAAAGGAATACTCATGAAGCCAAATTGTCGAAGATGAATGAGGTCGGTCTTGTTTCTTTTCTTTCCGGCTCCACCCGGATAGTTCATAGAGTTTATGACTTGGGTGCCTTTTTTATGATCTCAATCTCGATTGGATAATGGATTTCCCCAAACCCCATGGGGAAATCTTCCGTCCAGAGTTATGGCAAATGAAAATAAAAAAGACATTTGCAAGATAAAACGTCTAGTCAGTCGTTCAGGTCATTAACCTTATATAATTCTTGATCCTTTTTGCATGTTGGCTAAGACAAAAAAGAGTATTAAAACGATCATTCCCATTATATCGCCACCAAGGAATCATTTTTTACACCCAGTATGTCTGCCAAGGCTGTGCGTGAATACGATGGAAAGTTATTGCTAGCACATTGGTTACTCCGTACCCCTATTCCCGCCACCAGTATCTCGGCTACGGGATCCAAATTTATCCAACCTTCGACGCGTTTAGCACACGTTGGTATTGACACTGCTGTCTTGAATACAGACAAAGCTGTCTTTGCACAGCATGTTCGAAATTTACTTGATAACCTTGAGCAGATCCATCCTTGGTTGTTGACCACAAAGCTGGTTGCCAAGCCTGATCAGTTAATTAAACGCCGTGGCAAGAGTGGATTGTTATTATTGAACGCTGACTGGACTCAGGTTAGAGCTTGGGTCACGGAGCACGCTGGCAAAGAGGTCATCGTAAGTTAATTTTCGAATTCAGATGTATCTCATCTGACCGTAGTAAAAGCATGCTTGCATAAACCTGAAGAACAGACCATATAATTTATTATGACAATACACGATATCGTTTTATCTTGCCAGGTTGATAATGTTGCAGGCGTCTTGAAGACGTTCTTGATCGAGCCTTTCATTCCTCACCCCGGTGATACTGAATACTACATCTGTATCAATTCGGACCGCAATGGGGACAACATTCTTTTCACACATGAAGGAGGAATTGAGGTTGGCGATGTCGATGCTAAAGCGTTAAAACTTCAAGTTAAAGTGAACGACACCTTCCCCACCCCAACCACCATTCAATCGTTACTTCTAGTTAATGTCCCAGTACCCAAGCATGATGTCCTTATCGATTTCATTACTCGTCTCTATTCTGTCTATGTCGACCTTCACTTCACCTATCTCGAGATTAATCCATTGGTTGTCCTGGATCCTACCCCTGAGCATCCCGCACAGGTTTACTACTTGGATTTGGCTGCCAAAGTCGATCAGACTGCGGAATTCGAAGCCGGTCCCAAGTGGGCGTTCGCAAGGGCTCCTCAAAACATTGGATTGACCATTGCAGCCAACCAGAGTGTCGATGCTGGCCCACCATTGGATTTTCCCGCACCATTCGGCCGTGAGTTAACTAAGGAAGAGGCTTATGTCCAAGAGTTAGATTCCAAGACGGGCGCATCTCTTAAGCTTACAATCCTGAACAAAGACGGTCGTATCTGGACTATGGTTGCAGGAGGGGGGGCTTCAGTTGTTTATAGGTAATGCCCCATATTTTGTCAATTTATCAATCGCCCGAAGACCATTCATTTCTCCGATGCGCTTGTTTCCAACACACCACGTTGATATGATTAGTTTATTCACTAAGTGTGCTCGTTGCTTTTTTTTCATTTTGGCTAATTCTTGTGTTAGTGATGCTATTGCTGCTTTGGGTCAGGCTAATGAGCTCGCTAACTACGGTGAATATTCAGGAGCCCCTACTGAGACCCAGACGTACGAATATGCCAAAACCATCCTCGATTTAATGACCCGTAACTCTACGCCTCATCCTCTTGGAAAGGTTTTGATCATTGGAGGGGGGATTGCGAACTTCACAAACGTTGCCTCGACTTTCAAAGGTATCGTTCGCGCCTTGACTGAGTTTAAGCAACCTCTTATTGCCCACAAAGTACGCATCTTTGTCCGACGTGGTGGTCCAAACTATCAGGAAGGTCTTCGCTCAATGCGCCAGCTAGGAGAGACCCTTGGAGTTGAGATTCAAGTATTTGGACCCGAGACCCATATCACCGAGATTGTTCCTCTTGCTTTGACCGGAAAGACCTCTGGATTAGATCGAAGTGGAACAAGCACACCTCTCACATCTGGAAACTTGCTTCAGGACCAGCTTTTGGGGAGTAATACACCCTTGAATGCTGATTCTCGCGCTGCCTCGCCACCACCCTTGGAAGACAGAATGACATACTTTCAGGATCAGGGTGCCGAATCAGCAGAAACAAGCCATGACGAGAACACGCCCTTCACTGCTCATACTCGCTCTTTCATCTATGGAATGCAGCCTCGTGCTGTGCAAGGAATGTTGGATTTTGATTTCATCTGCAAGCGTGAGGTTCCCTCGGTTGCCGCTATGGTCTATCCCTTTGGCGGCGCGCATGTCCAGAAATTCTACTGGGGCACAAAAGAAACTCTTTTGCCTGTATTTACGTCCTTAGATGAGGCTGTGATCAAGTTCCCAGAGGTCGACACAGTGGTTAATTTTGCCTCTTGCCGCTCTGTCTACGACTCAACTCGCGAGATCTTCAAGTACTCGAAGCAGATTCGTATCATCTCCATTATTGCTGAAGGGGTTCCAGAACGTCGTGCTCGCCAGATCTTGTGGGAAGCCAAGGAGCGCAATGTTCTTGTGATTGGGCCTGCGACTGTTGGGGGCATTAAGCCTGGATGCTTCAAGATTGGAAATACTGGAGGCATGATGGATAATATTGTCTCATCTAAGCTTTACCGACCTGGTTCCGTTGCCTACGTATCCAAATCTGGGGGCATGTCGAATGAGCTGAACAACATCATATCTCGCACAACAGATGGTGTTTACGAGGGAGTAGCTATCGGTGGAGACCGTTATCCCGGTTCAACATTTATTGACCACTTGCTCCGTTACGAGAAGGATCCAGGATGCAAGATGTTAGTCTTGCTCGGTGAGGTAGGCGGGGTTGAAGAGTACAAGGTTTGCGAGGCAGTTAAGAACGGAATTATTCGCAAACCCGTCATCGCTTGGTGTATTGGTACATGCGCTAAGATGTTTGCTACTGAGGTTCAGTTTGGACACGCCGGTGCCTTGGCTCAGTCAGATTTAGAGACTGCTGACGCTAAGAACCGTGCCCTTCGTGCTGCTGGCGTGATCGTCCCGGAGACATTCGAGAAGTTGCCTTTAATTCTTAGCCAGACCTTCCAGACTTTGGTCAAAAAAGGTGTAATTACTGTCCGCTCTGAACCCGAAACACCAAAGATCCCTATCGACTATTCTTGGGCTCAGGAATTGGGCCTGGTCCGCAAACCTGCTTCGTTCGTTTCCACAATTTGTGATGATCGTGGACAAGAGCTACTGTATGCAGGAATGCGCATCTCTGATGTATTCAAGGATAATATTGGAATCGGGGGTGTCTTATCGCTCTTGTGGTTTAAGCGTCGGCTGCCAGATTATGCTTGCAAGTTTATTGAGATGGTTCTCATGTTGACAGCTGATCATGGACCCGCAGTTTCAGGAGCACACAATACGATTGTTACGGCACGTGCTGGTAAGGATCTTGTGTCATCACTCTGCGCAGGTCTCTTGACTATTGGAGACCGCTTCGGAGGTGCCTTAGATGGAGCTGCTGAGCAATTCTCATCTGCATATGATAAATCTCTGTCGCCTCGCGAATTTGTTAATTCGATGAGGAAGCAGAACAAGTTGATTTTGGGAATTGGTCACAAGATCAAGTCAAGAACCAATCCCGACTTGCGTGTCGAGATCATCAAGAATTACGCTAAGGCTAACTTCCCATCAACTCCTGTGTTGGACTATGCACTTGCAGTTGAGATGATCACAACTTCCAAGAAGGACAACTTGATTTTGAATGTGGATGGGGCGATTGGTGTCTTATTTGTGGACCTGTTGAGGCATTCAGGGGCGTTTACACGTGAGGAAGCAGAGGAGTATATCAAGATTGGTACTCTAAATGGATTGTTTGTATTGGGCCGTTCCATCGGCTTTATTGGACACTTTTTGGATCAGAAGAGGCTAAAACAGGGTTTGTACAGACACCCATGGGATGATATCTCGTATCTCACACCCGGACACGAGCTAGGACGCACGGTTGCTTCTCTCGATTCGATTAACAAGAAGGCTGCTTAAAAAAAAAAAAAAAAAAAAATATGTGTCTTAATTGAATAATTGCAAGCAAAATTAAATATTAATAATAAAATAAATAACGTTCATGGGAGTGTTTGTCAACTTGCAATGCGAAAGGTAATAATGATAATGAAAGGAAAGGCAACTGAAATTACGGCCTGGAGCAATAAAAACATTGCAGATTGTCGACGAGACGAGTACCAATATGGTAATTTGATATCAGCTGGATATTGCTTAGTTTTCGTTCAGAATTTTATCGAGAACATTCAGAGCATGGGACCTGATTCATGGGCAAGCAATATAGGAAGGGCTCTTATCATTATTAACCCAGGAACATTGAGAGTAAGCATTTGTCTTCAGTTGAGAAGTTGATTGGAAATCATTGATGGCTTGTTAAACCAATGAGAGTCGCCTTTCACACATTGCTGAGACGGTTCTAACGATCGAAAAGAAAAAGGAGGTGGGTTATCTTTTTGGCGTAAAACTCCAAGAAAGAAGCATATGATGTTATGCTGCATGGCCTAGAAAGATAATGCCTCTTTTCAAACTTTTGTACTCAGATTCCTTTTCTTCATTCCTCATCATTTTTCATTCATCTAAAACTGCATTTCACATTTCACTACATCAACTTTTATTTCATAAATTGTATTTTAAGTAATTAAAAAGTGCTATCTGCTACGCCTATTCACAGCTTAGTTTCACTTTTTTCCCTCATTCATCTTCCATCTAGTTCTAAAAAAGATCTCATCGCAGTAAACGCTCTTCTTCCACCTTCCGCTACTCGTGCGGATCAAGGCATCAGCAATCTCAGATAGTTTGGAGCATGTCAACCCTTATTTCGATACCCTTTTAAATTAGAGTGAAACATGTTTTGGAAAAAAGAATCAACAGCTGCCAACATCACACCTTTAACAGTGACACTCAATGCATCAGACGAAGGGAACCATCAATACAACCTCTTACAGACTGTTGATCACGATTTCAATGAAAAAACTGCTTCAAGTGGGCGTGCAAGCAAGCTTTCACGACTACAGTCGGCAGAGCAGACTGTTAGACCTGTTGATCCTTGCAGCACTGGTACTTTATATATACACATCACACTGCACAAAATAAACGTGCTGTGCATATACTATTTGATTTGAATACTTGACAATCTCATCAACGTTTTTTAATATAGCTCTTTATTTTGCATCTATAATGGCAGCTCAGAGACGATTTTTTACGTCGGATGGACTTTCAATCGCTCGCACAAGGAATTTGACAATCCTTGGAAAAGCAGAGTAAGTATAACTATCGCTACTGCAATGTATAGTCTGTCCTATGACTGAATTAAAGAAAATAAAAGTTACAAAGCAGATGGTTTTTTGTTTATTTCCATTAGAGGGCCACGCTTTAGACCTTCGTAAGTGTGCATCATGGCATTTTAAACTTTGATTTTCTGCATCAAAGGGTGTAGTTCTTCTTGCTATGCACCCATGAGAGCCCATATTGTTTGGCAAACAAAACTGTGCCTCCATTTTCTGTCCCTGGAAATTAAATATACATATTGGTTTATTTTAGGCCGGCGATGGCGGCACATATCCCAGCGAAGACGTCGGCTTTCAAAGTATGTATTAGTAATGATTTAAAATGAAAAATACTTTGCATTTTTCCATTTCTTCTTAAGGTTAGTTATTCAACTTATTCACAAAAAAAAAAAAATCAATGATGTGCCACCCTGACAATAGCTGCTTGCGAATTTCAGCAAATACAGCGCCGGGCATTATGTTGTTCTATGGAGGGTTAAAGCATTGAGTGACTTTAAAATACCTAATGGACTTCATTTTGTTGTTAATGTATCGTATGAGGCAAGTCAATCAAATATTTTTTTAATGTAATTTGAGGAAAATTAGAGGTCCTATAGAAGAAGTTTTTAATCATGATTTCTTCTGTATGTTTTGGCATTGTGTTTTTAGGCGGAGCCAGATGTTACTGGTACTCTAGATCTTATCATGCCTGCTCATAAACTAAGCATTCTAGGTATTATGTTTATATCTATACTTGTGTACTACCTTTTGTCAAGAATACGGTATTTTTAACGAAAGTGGCTAAAAGTTCAAACACTCAACTGTCTTGTTTCTGTTTCTAATGATAGCTAAGGATACATGGTATGACCTTGTTCTGGAGGAAAAATTGGTGATTCAGCCACATTTGGGATCCGCCCAAGTGCAAGCTGTCCTCTGCAACAATGAGAACGTCGACAGAGAAGAGTTTTCTGGATTCGTAATCGACTGTGTTGAGATCAGGCCAATGGCAATGAAAATAGAGCGACAAGGTAAAAAAAAAAAAAAAAAAAAAAAAAAGAATCGGCATAGCATAATTCACATTACATTATTCATAACCCTTATTCTCTTAACTTTGTTTTTTGCAAAAATAGATGGGGTCTCTAATTTCTATGTCCCAAGAGCAGCGACGCCCAACTTCATTATCGATACGCCACAGCTGCATCTAAAATCTGTTGATTCAACCTGTCCACCAGCGCCAGCTCCTGTCACGAAATTGGCATCGTCCAGGAACAGTCAGTTTCTAGCATCTCTGTCCCTCTCAAAGAACGAAGCTTTTATCACGATTTGGGATATGGGCGTCATCAGGAATCCCTCCAATCCATCCAGAAATATAGGAAAACTATACAAAGCCAGCGCTTCTGCCGTTGTCTATCACCGAGGAGTAGGCGATCTTTCTATTGGACTTTCACTTTCGACCTCAGGAGATCAAGTCGCCATATTTCAGGAGCCTAAAATCGGCGAGTGGGCCGATGGATCAGAAGTGGAGAGGGCAGTGTTCCCGTTCAGACTGTTTAACAACCCGTTGGTCCCTCAACGCTCGGTTATTGTGGATATAAATACACCACCGAATAGAAATATGCCTAAAAATATGAATACTTCGGCCAACAACGACTACGATTGGGGCAATACCTTGGCTTCCACAGATTCATCTTCAGAAAATATGGAGTTGCAAGAAGTGCGGATGGACCTCGAAATCCTTCATACATTCATTGGGTTTGGAGAATTTTTGCCAGAGACAAGGAAGAGCGATTGGGAAAAGAATGATGTCAACAGTGCTCTGCTCTCGAGCGGGGAAGGCGAAGGGACTGAAGACAACAATGAGGATTCAAAGGAATTTGGTGTCAAGAACATTGTGTCTCAACCAAGTACCATGTTTGCGGCTTGTAATGGGCTTTATTTGGACGTTTTTGAGATCTCAGCGGATAAAAAATGGCAACGTCTTCATACAATTACACTTTCAGACCTGCAACCTACACTTTCGAGACGCATCACATGCAAGATGATGATGGAAGTGATCAGTAGCAATACGTTTATGTGGTTAGAGGATGATGGACGCAGCTGCACTATTTGGAATCTGTTAACAGGATCCAATATCACCCATATTTCGAGTATCGAAAACGCCAAGTTTAAAGGACCTACCTTCCGGGGGCACAGCAAGATGGCTATCTCGCCACATGAGTCCATTGTGGCGCTTGCAAGTGTGGATGGTAGCCTGACAACATATTTTGCCAACACAGGAATGGCAATTGACGATCGCAAGTTCCCAGGATATAAAGTTGAACATGTAGGCTTCCATGCCCAGGACGATCAACTATTTGTAATACTTCGCAACAGCGCTACTTCCGAGCTAAGCGCACGGGTCTTGGACACGCTGCAGCTCAAATCCGAGATTATAGTCAATCAAGTCCCGATCCCAACCATTGGTTCAGCAATCCTAGCATTCTTTTATACTAAGGGTTTCTGGAACAGAGGTATTATTTGTGAGACTGATGGGCCTTTGATTAGATGCTATGTCACTTATCAGCCCATGAGTTCAAAAATCATCAAGAGCAACGAATCAGTACTAAAGGCGGAACCAGAAGATGTGGTTTACGAATCATCGCTGCCTGGAGAAGATCATATCCAGTATCGGCTGATGACTGGTATTCACAGAGAACTTTTGCCTGAGGGCGACGGTGTCGCCTATTGGGTTTTGCGCGTCGAGGTCATAGAAGAGAACACATTGCTCAAAACTCAAAAAATTATTTTTTCGTTTGTGCCTGAGCCCTGGATGCGTGTTACGACCACCGAAGTGGTCCACCCTGAAAACCTCCAATCCACGTTTTTTGTGCCATGTGGAACGCGATTTGCAGTAGTGGGTATGCAAACACTTCAGATCTGGAACCTTCCAACGCGCGAGAACAATAAATGTAGCCTGCAATTCATTTGGAGTCAGCCCAGAGATGAAAAGGATCTGGGACCTGGTGGGGTTGCATTTAGATCCACACGTGTCAGAGACTACTATCTCGACACATCCAGCACCAATGTTTATTTGGATACGGAGACGGGAAATACTGTTGCAGAAATCAAGTTGAATGACAAGTTTAGAAAAAAATCTGTCACAATCCCTGGACCAGGTACAATTGGTGCTCGATATGCTATCCTGTTTTGCTTCCGTAGTATTCATTTACTTGCTGCTGCGTATGCGTTCTCATATCAAGAGAGTAAAAAATCGACCCGGGAAACGCCTCAAGTAAGCTTCACGTATGAAGATCATGCAGAAGCCATTGTCCGGTTCACACGAGAGCACATTAATCGTATGATGTCAGTGGGGATTTACTCGCCTAAAAAGCGACCACCATATAACAATAACAACAGCAACGCATCGTCTACTCAGCAACAGAATAATAGCATTCGAAATAACTCAAATCACTCGGACACCCCTGCTCTCCCTCATAACGGCATCCAGTTCGTTGATACCCCTGCTTCTACTACAAAATCGGCTGTATCAGAGCCTGAAGCAATAGCTATGGGCGACAATGTTATCCATACCGGCACTAATGGGCGTGGTAAAGATGATAGTGATAATGATAACAACGATCGACTATATCGACGGAGCAATCCCTTGAACCGCCATCATAACAAGCCTACAAGCAAGCCGTCTGTCTCTGGCAGCTCCAAATTAGACGTTGTGACGGTGCTGACGCTATTGTTGGATCATCCGTACTTGCAGTGCACAAACCATATCTTTGTGGAAGGTTTGTTGAATACAGATAACGGAGATTGGATCCCCCGTGATAACAAGGTACTCAACCCCATTAAGCGAGCGATTGAAGCAAAGAATGGGCCTCTTGTGGAGGCGTTTATTGAATATTGTATCAAAAACGCCAAGAAATATCATCCTGCTTATTTGATGCCTGCTGTCCAATGTCTGAACGAACTCTCGGATCGCTACCCAAAGATCTTGGTTGATATGTTCCGAAAAGCATCTTATGTCCCGGCCCATAATCACAACTATGTCTCCTCGCACGCACTTATTGCGAACCCGCAGTACAAGCAATGGCTGCTTGCCAAACTTAAGTTCTGGAATATGTTTTCGTCTAAAAAATGGGAGAAATCCAACATCATCAATGACTATGAAAGACCTGTCTTCAGCTTACGATCTCAACTACCCTTCCGAGCATCTAGTTTTATGAACATTCTAAATATTGAAACATCAGTTCGGGATGAGCGTGCTAAAAAGTTCCCACCTAAACAAGATGTGGGCGCAGAAGAAAAGAAACAGATGCAATCACCATATTCGCACAAGATTTATGTCGCACCGTTCCCAAAGCTGTCGATGTATGGGCCATACCGACCATGGTTCAGAGATGCGACCGAGTCGGCAAAATCTGCATTTACAGATATTGCAGGACGTGACTTTTTTGATAGTCCTGCCATGGTGGCCACCTTGGATTTTAAATGGTAAAAGAGCGTCAAGAACTATGATGTATATATATATAAAGAAGTTTTAATTCATATATATCTCCATTTTTTTTGTATAGGCACAAGTTCGGGTTTTTTTACTGGTTCCTGAGATTCTTGGTAGTACTTACGTTCTTTATCCTAGTGGTGGTCATCACTGCACAGCAGATTAGGGTCATGTCCATTGACGAACCAGTGCGGTTGACGGCAGAAGATATTGAAATTCGCTATATGAATAGTTGGCGCCCAGTATTTAAAGCCACGATTGTTGTCGGCTGCTTGTTGGCCGGTTATGAGGTTATACAGTTTTTGGACGCTCCCAAGAAGTATTACAAGTAAGGAAATATGAAAAGAGTTCATTTTATTATCATTATTATTATCTAAATAATGTTTACTTATAACATCTATATTCTATCCATAGATCACCGTACAATTACATGGATCTAGCCGCCTATGTAGCCCCAGTCATAGGATGTATATTGTTCTTGAGAGATACCCCTAATGGAAAACCAGACGACGGTGGCCCTGATCAGATCTGGATCATGAGTTTTTCTATCCTTGCGCTCTACATCAACATTGTAAGCAGAAACAGCCATCCTCAAAGGCCCTCCACCAAAGGCAAAAAAAAGTGATTTTTGACTTTTTTTTTTTTTTTTTTTAGCTATTTGAATTGAGAGTTATCAAGCAACTGGGAATTGTCGTCAATATTATCCTCAATATCACTCGAAGAATCATCTGGTTCTTCCTGATTTTTGGTTTATTCTTAGTCAGTTTTACTCACGCATTGTTACATCTGCTCCATACGCGACCCTACAACCCCGAATGTTTGGAGCAAGAATGTGATCATGGTTATCTAGATGGGTTCCCTAAAGATTTTGCTTCCGCACTAGCAACAACTTATTTCTTCTTGGTAAGGATGCTAAAAGCAATTACAGACAAAAAAGATTAGTTGAATAGAAGAATCTGTGAAAGAGTTCAAAGGTCAAAGTGCGTAGCGATGAATTTTTTTTTTTTTTTTTTTTTTTTTTTTTCGGATCGTAGGCGGGCCGATATGATCCTATTGAAACTTCATTCGAAAAAGAAGCAGCGAGCTTCCAAATTATGATGATTATCTTCTTCTTCTTCACGGCCATATTGCTGCTTAATATTCTCATCGGTAAGGTTCAAAAATGATTATCCTCTTTATGGCAAATGACAGCTAACTTTATAGCCTGTGCTCGTTTGATTGACTTTTCAATGTGCTCTCGTTATGTCCCATTATTGTCCGCTTTAAAGCACTCATGAATGATGCGTTCAATGAGAGTAAGAGTGAAGGTCAGCTCGCATGGCTGAAACAATGGTCTGAGGTCATCGCTGGTATGCTATCTTTATTTATTTATTTATTTATTTATTTATTTATTTATTTATTTATTTATTTATTTATTTATTTATTTATTTATTTATTTATTTATTTATTTATTTATTTATTTATTTATTTATTTTTTAAAAAAAAAAAAAAAAAAAAAAAAAAAGATAACAATGTTCTTTAGGCAAACTTTTACTAGAGAGTGATACTGAACCATTTTTATTATTATCTTCTTTGCTCATTTATAGAGGTTGAGGTATATCTTATGACACAAGGCGCGCGACAGAACCGTAACTATTTCCCTGATTATATTTACTATGGTGCAAGCGAACAAGAGGCAGAGTTGTACGAGTCCAAGTTCTGCATCGCCAACAAGTCAAATCTCTCGATAGAAAATCGATTCTTGGTCGAAACAGTTACTTCGGAGCAAAATTCATCTCAGCTGGCACAACGTGCAATACTTAGAGATGTACAAGCCCTAAGTAAAGACCTCGAAAAAGTAAAGCTAATCCAAGAAGGCCTCAATCATGAAATGACCAAATTGACGGAAGTAGTGGCAGTAGTCTTTGCGCAGGCGACAGCAATCGTAGGTGAAGGTTCCAGTGAACCCATGTCACAAGTTTCACCGATTGAGCAAGATCCACCTGCCAGTGGCGCTTCTCCCGTGTCAGGCTCTGATAACAATACACCATTTGCCTCTCCTATTGGAAGTGCTCCTGGGACGCCTAAATCCCCGCTATTCCAAGGTGGAGTCTTGAGACCTTCCCCGGGTGCAGCAGCCGCAGCCCAACGTCGACATAGTAGTATCGGAAGACCGCCAGCAATAGCTGGGTCTATGCGTCGTAAGACTAGCACTCCTGCTCCATATACAGGGTTGCCAATGACTCCACATTGCAACTCGCCTCAAGATTCAATAGATGATGCCATAGTTCCTGGCTCGGTTTCTGAAAAGGGACCATTAGGCGGCAGTGGGGACAGTAGCATTAGTAGGCCCTCTACGACCTATGATTCAGCTGGTCCATCGTCCTCTTCCTCTGTGAGCGCTCCTGTGCCCCCATCTTTACCGGCGGAGCCCTACAAAGCCGGTGATATCGCAGCAGATGAGGGTCAAAGTCGTAAAGACCGACAGTTGTCGCTCAAGCGGCGGCTCCAGCGAAAGCTGGCAGCTGTCCAAACGATGGATGATGCACTCAAGGCTCGGAATCTTCAGCTAGAAGAAAACAATGCTAGCCACCCCATGTATGTTATCCCACAGAGTCGTCACGGCATTGATGCAGATCTGTTGTGCGATTCAGTGGATGAAGTGAGGGAAGCAACAGCAATCGCACCGGTTCATCACAGCAGCACCTTCCATCCTAGTACCTCAGACCACCAGCGACAGCATCAGCGTCAGTATCTGCATCAACATCATCATTCGGGATCACCAGAACACGTCAGGAAGACACAGAGTGAGATTATGACATCATTGAGGCCCCGAGAGTTTGTTCCATTACATCTGCGTTTGCAAGAAAGTCCTCAAGAACATAGTGACTAAAACCCGTAAAAAACTAAAATATTCTGCTAATACAAGAGTAAAATAAATGAGATAACAACAATCCGATTTTAAACTAAACAATTTTGAGGTCCGAGGCTTTTTTAGGTTTAAAAAAAAAAAAAAAAAAAGATTAGCTGCGCCTGTGGAAAAATGAATTGGGCGAGGGCAAGGAGGAAAACAATCAAACATGGAGAACCACATGGACACACGCATTGGATTATCACACAGGGGGCTTTGCAGAACGGAAAAATTAAAAACCATGTACTGGTTTGGATAGATATTTATAATGCACAAGAGTTTGCAATTCTGCTTTTGCCACCATACGATCATACCCCTCATTGTGCCATTGTGCTATCGTGAGGATAAAAAAGACAAGATGGCAACCCGGAGGATGCAAAAGTTGGGCAAAGCGTCTTTGTGTCTTCGTAATCTTATCTCGTGCGCATGAATAAAATAAAAGACAATGTAAAGTACAAACAAGAAATGAAATAAACAAACATGCAGGAAGACGATGCTGAATAAACATCCAACCGACATAGGCAAAAACAGGTATAAAAACAGAGAGCGATGGCTTAATTTTCTTTTCATTTTCACTTTTCCCCTTTGTATGAATGCGCTGCCTTTTTTGACCCTAGTGTACTTGTTCACGCCCCTGTCTGTTCTTTTTCTCTCTTTGTCTGAACTTCATCATCAACCTAGTTGATGATTGCAATTGACATTTGCATTTAATTCATTCATTTTGGCTATTAAATATTATTTTTATTCCGGATTCAGGGACAGATCTTAATTGGTCGGTTTCAAATTCAAAATTCAATCAATAAAAAAAATCATTACTTCAAAGACAAAATAATGTTCTCAAGGAAAGAGACTGCCTCACCATCGGTGCATATCCAGGAGAAGATCTCCTCGAGGGATCGATATGAGACCCTGGAGAATATCGATCCCATTGCAAAGCCATCTCTTGCTTCTATAGAGACTGTGAATCCATGTCAATTCGGTAACGTTTGACAAAATAACCGAGAGTGAAACGATGGCAATTTGCTCCATGCTAGAAGACTTATAACCCATCCATGTTGATTTTTTTTTTCTGTGGCGGTCGTTCAATTGTACATAGTCCAGCGCCGATATTTTGGATCTGACAGCATTGATATTACCAAGCCGCGAACTGCTGTCACTGTTGCCATCACTGGTCAAAAGGCAAAGTAAGAGCCACGTTTACATGAAATATCATCAACATGTTTTATTAAAATTAATATGGAACTCATCATCGATTTACTTAAGCAAAGCCATTCTCTTTTCATCCACACTAATTTCTGTGTTCTTCTGTCTTTTTGTAAACCCGTGAAATCGCAAGCCCCGGTACGGTAGCTCAACTTCCAGCTAGGTCATCGAAATTTGAGGTATAGAAGTGGCGATGCTAAACAAAATTTGTTAACAAACATGTTTATACAAAAATACCAGACCTAACATGGTCATCCCTTACCCTAAAAAAAGCTGTCTGCCGATTTTGGTGCATATAGTGTTGGGCGCTACATTATCCGTTGGCGTGTCAAGGCTCTTGAGGATTATCATATCCTAGATGATCTCCATTTCATTATTGAAGTCAAATACGATGTAAATATTTGCTTGACTCTTTTTAGTAAGATGTACTCTTAAAAAATGTATTTTTAATGTGTGCAATTTTTTTTATGGAGTAGGCTGAGGAAGACGTCAGTGGCACAACAGATGTTCTTATGCCATCAAGGCAACTAGACTTGCTTGCTAGGAACGATAGGCCATGGCATAACCTTGAGTTGGAGGAAAGACTGGTGATTTTACCTCATGTTGGCGCTGCTCATGTCCGACTGGTTCTATGTAGCCGCGAAACAAATCAGCGTGTTGAATACTCTGGACTTGCATTCGAACATGTTGAAATCCGGCCAGAAACGATGGAAGACACCCAACAATGTAAGAGAAAAGACCCCATTTTATTTCGAAAGGATATCAGTTAATATTTCTGCTTTATGCTTTCTTTTTATTTTATTTTATTTTATTTTCTACTAATGCTATGGCAAATACCAATCTCAAAAATATCCAAGCAGTAGACATCCCACAGCTCATCATTAGGCGGTTGGCTACGCCTAGGTTTGTAATTGATTCTTTGGACGCACATCCTCCGATGTCCAATTCAGCAGCCAATTCTTCTCAAGCAGTTATCACGCGATTAGCAGCCTCAAAGGGCGGTTGCTTTCTCGCCACATTAGCTCTTTCTCATAATACTGCCTTCCTCACTGTCTGGGATGTCAATGTTGCGCGGTTTCGTTCTAGCACATTGGCAAAAACCGCTACTATGTCGGAAAATGGCTTCGCTACGGCTGTAATTCAATTAAACGGAATTGGCGATCTCTCTAATCTCTCTATTGGATTAGCCATTTCCAATAACGGCGACCAAATTGCAATTTATCAAGAGCCCAAGATTGGTGAATGGGCTTATGGATCCACAGTGCAGAAGGGTATATTTCCGTTCAAATTGTTCAACAACCCACTAGTACAGCAAGCAGCTTCAGTCACGGTGAATATGGGACAGACAGCTGAAGGCGATGAAGAGAATTTGTATAACAAAGAAATAATTTTGGCTGAGGATGGAACTCCAATTAGTCAACCTTTGAGTTTCAAGAGCATTGATGACCCTAATAGTGCTTCCAGGACCATGTGTCTGGAGGAGGTTGCTGTGGACAGGGGCTACCTGAGTGAATTTATAGGGTATTGCGCCTTCTTGCCTGAAACAAAGCAAGGTGACTGGGAGAGAAACGACTTGAATAGTACATTACTTTCTTATCCAGAAGGAGAATATGGGAGTGGTTGTGAAGAGTGCGATAAAGAAGCGGCTATGCAGCCACCCAGCTCAACGTTCTTGGCGTGCGACGGATTATATATGGATGTCTTTGAGATTACTCCACAGAAGAATTGGAAGCGTATGCACACTATTACACTGACAGACCTTGCGCCGACGCTTTCTAGGCGGATCACCTGTAAGATGATGATGGAGACTGTTACCAGCAACACATTTATGTGGCTTGAAGATGGTGGTGTCAGTTGCTCGATCTGGAACTCAATGACAGGAGCCAATATCTGCTATATCTGCAGTCATGAGAATGCTCGGTTCAAAGGCGACACGTTCCGTGGCCACTGCAAGATGGCTATCTCTCCTCATGAGTCCATTGTGGCGCTAGCAAGCGTTGATGGAAGCCTGACAACCTATTTTGCTACTACAGGAATGACTATCAGTAAACGAACTTTTCAAGGGTACAAAATCGAATACGTTGGATTCCATGCGCAGGATGATCAAGTTATTGTGATTTTGAGGAATAGCATTACTTCGGAGCTGAGCCCTAGAATCCTGGACTCGCTTAATCTTAAATATGAAACATTTACGAACGATATTCCCATCCCTACTATCGGCACCGCCATCCTCGCCTTCTTTAACGCAAAGAAATTTTGGAGGAAGGGGATGGTATGTGAGGCAGATGGAACCAAAATCAACTGCTACGTCGCACATCAACCTTCGAAGCCCAAATTCAATAAGAATGGCAAAAATGTGATTAAGGCAGAACTTGCAGCTATGAACACTACATCGTTTGACAACGTTAACTATCAACTGAAGACTGGATACCATAGAGAGTTTTTGCCTGAAGGTGACGGTGCACAGTATTGGGTTCTCCGTGTTGAGGTTGTCGAAGCGGATACACAGAAGACTGTCTTTTCATTTGTCCCTGAGCCCTGGATGCGAGAATTAACCAAAAAGGTCGTTGATCCGGAGAACTCAATCAAGGCTTATTTCATTGCTGAAGGTACTCGCTTTGCCGTGGTAGGAAAACAGACGCTACAGATCTGGAGTTTACCATTTGGGAAATCAAACTGTAGCCTACAGTTCATTTGGAGCCAGCCTCTAGATGTGGACTCTAATGATTCCACGAATGTCAAAGACTACTATGCGGATATTACAAGTACATCCGTGTATTGGGATAATCAGGAAGGGCAGGACAGCAACTCAGTGGCAGAAATTAAAACAGAAAATTCGAGGAGAAGATTGGTTCCGCTCCCTGGAGCGAATAGCGATGCGCGTCTCGCTATTCTGTACTGCTTCCGAAGCATTCATTTAATCGCCGCTGCCTATGTCCACTCCATCACTCAGGCCGCCAAATTGGAGGTGGACCCACAGCAAGTTAACTTTACCTATAAGGACCATGCAGATGCCCTTATCAAATTCACTCATGAGCACATTAATCGGATGATATCAATTAAGGTATTTTCCGTATCAAGGGGCCAGAACAACAACGTTCCGGATCAGAACAAAGCTGGATATGGTTTTAGTGTGCGCAAGAAGGCGGACCGCAACGCTAATAACCAACCTGAAGTTGTCACGATTCTGACACTACTCATGGACTGCCGCCGATTGCGTCACACAAACCATATCTTTGTAGAGGGGCTATTGGCTACAGATAATGGCGAATGGATCCCCCGAGATAACAAGGCACTCAATCCGATTAAGCGAGCTATCGAAGCAAGGAACGGGCCCTTAGTTGAAGCCTTCATTGAATACTGTATCAAAAGTGCTAAAAAATTCCATCCGGCCTATATGACCCCAGCAGTACAATGCCTCAATGAGCTGTCTGACCGCTACCCTAACCATTTAGCCGATATGTTTCGAAGAGCCTCATATGTCCCTGCGCACAACCACGCCTATGTTGCCACTCATGCGATTGTTGCCAATCGACGGTATGCAGATTGGGTTAATTTTTTTCTCAACTACTACTCATTCAAACTAGTGAGGAAGGTCTGGATTCAGAAATCACACAATATCAACGACTATTCGAAGCCTGTATTCAGTTTGCGGTCACAGCTTCCGTTCCGAGCCATCAACAAGGATGCCTTTATGAGTATCGAAACTAGTATCCTTGATAATCGAATGGACCAGTTCCCAGCCAAACGAGAAGAGATTGATGAGGAACAAAGGCGAGCTCAATCTCCATACTCTCACAAGATCTATGTTTGTCCGTTCCCCAGACTCTCAAGGTACCCTGCCTTCCGAGGATGGGTTGACGATCGATCCATCGCATTCACCTCAGCATTTACGGATATTGCAGGTCAAGAGTTTTTTGACAGTCCTGCCATGGTAGCGACACTTGAGTTTAAATGGTAAGTCTCATCACTAAGTTTTTTTTTTTAAGTCGCCATGTATCTAGATAACACTCATTCTTTTTTTTCTTTTTTTTTTTTGTTTAGGCACAAGTATGCTTTCTTCAATTGGTTTGTGCGCTACCTTATTACGCTTGCGTTCTTTCTCTTTTTTTTGCTTATCACTGGAATGCAAATCAAGACCTCGACTTTGCCTGATAAAGAAAAAGATCCTCCTATTACTGAAGAATGGGTCCTCGCACGATATCTATTGGGCTGGCGCCCGTTCATCAAATTCACCATTTTCGTTGGCCTCCTTTTACTCATCTACGACCTCCAACGACTCATGGTCTCGGCTAGTAAATATATCAGGTAAGGGAAAGCAAATTGCAAGTTATAGGTCCGAGTTAAAAAAATCAGATATGAATAGAAAAGGATGTTCCTTACTAATAATTGTTTTACTTTTTTTTTTTATTTTTTACTCTTGGCAACTGGAATAGGTCCCCATTTAATTTTTGGCATTTGTTTTCACACATTTTCACTATCACAGGATGCTTCTTGTTTCTAAACACTGGGCCAGGTAAAAGAAATGACTCCAGTGAAGATAGTGGCCCAAGCGGAAATAATGAGGAACAAGGCCCTAGCCTAATCTGGGTGATGAGTTTCGCTATCCTGGCTCTTTACATGAACATGGTATGTTTGTCAGCTTGATGCCTAGTCCCATTTGGCTTTTAGTATTTTTAGCATTACTAAACTCTGTATTGGTATTGTTTGCATATTTGCTAGTTATTTGAGCTTCGAGTTATCCGACAACTCGGCATTGTGGTCAATATCATTCTAAACATTACACGTCAGATTCTATGGTTCTTTGTGATATTCGCTATCTTCATCGTGAGTTTTACACATGCGTTGCTTCATCTTCAACATACTCGGAGGTTCCGCAGGGACTGTTATGAAAGTGAAAAGGGTTGTGAGGATCAGGATTACCCAGATGGATATCCTAAAAGATTTCTTACAGCAATGTCCGCAACATACTTCTTTTTGGTAAGCCTTTTTTTTTTTTCCTGCAGCAATTGAAACAGAAGACTTTAAAAAACATCTTTGCTATTATGTTTGTACTCATTATCCTTTTATGAATGTTTTTTTTTTTTTTTTTTTTTTTTTTTTTTTTAGGCTGGACGATACGAGCCTGTGGACAACTCATTTGTAAATGGGCCAGCTAGCTTTCATATTATGATGGTGATCTTTTTCTTCTTCACGACTGTGTTGTTCATGAATATTCTCATTGGTAAGGTCTATTTGATCTTCTCTTTGATTTCCTTACCAAGAAGATTGCAAATGCTTTTGCTTGTTATTCTTAGCTAACACAGGAATCTGCTGTTTTTTAAATATCGTATAGCTTTGATGAATGATGCTTACAACGAGAGCAAGCAAGAAGGTCAATTAGCTTGGCTGAAACAGTTGTCCGAAGTCATTTCTGGTGAGTGTTGTCGATTAACTAATTAAAAAAAAAAAAAAAAAAAAAAAAAAAAAAAGCTCATATTAAACTCTTATTTAAACCTCTTTTCTTTATCACTACATAGATGTGGAGACATGCTATCTATCAGATGTTGCTCGCCAAAATCGCAACTTTTTTCCGGATTATATCTATTACGGCGCAAGCGAGAAAGAAGCTGATCTGTACGAGTCCAAGTACTTTATCGCCAATAAATCTCAGCTGTCAATAGAAAACCGATTCTTGGTCGATACCTATTCTGACAAACAGCTTTTGACTCAACAAGCTGTTCTCAGGGATATGCAAGTGATGAAACAGAACCAAGGATCTGTCAGCCAAGGTGTTACCGAAATGAAAAATGATATCCATGAAGAATTGGCTGAACTCCGAAAGATGATGTCGACCCTTATGGCTGTCCAGATGGGCGGACGTGTCCCAAGTTCAAACGAGCCCCCCTCATTACCTTCACAAAAGCAGCCTACACAACATCAGGAGTCATCCTCTACGCCTAATCCTGCCATCCCTGCCCCTGTCCCTGCCCCTGTCCCTGCCCCTGCACCTATACTTGGACCAAACCCTGCGCCCGCTACAGGGCCTGGGATGCGCTACGATCCTTCATTGGAGCAATCACATTCCTCTGATTCTGCTCCCATCCAACGAGACAACCGTACATTACCTCAAGCACGTGGATCAACTCCCGAAATTACCTCAGGAGAGCCTACAGGCGATCGACCAGAGGGTAGCGGTGGTGTTGATAATGGCGATCAATTACCGGAAGATAAAGCTCTTCGCAATAAGTTAAGCCAGACATTCAAGTCTCAACATCCCAAGGTTGAAAATAACGCGAGCCATCCTGTGTATGTCGAGCCGCTGAAGCGTCACCAACCTGATGATGATGACGATGATGACGATGATGATAACGATGATGATGACGATGACGGATTTGGCATTCAGTCGTTAACTTCTCTGAACCGTCCCGGTTTCCGTGAATAAGCTCAATGCAAGAGCCATTGCATCAATTGCCTCGCTTCATGTGCACCTCTAAACTAGTCTTCTCCCCCTTGTAGTGCTGTAGCGTGGCAAACAGAGAAATATACATGTATTTTTGTTGATTTTTATTCTAACTATTACTGTTATGACACTGAGGGCACAAAAGTGAAAAAAGAAAAAGCTATAAAGTTGATACCACTGAAATTGTTTGATTGTTGTTTTATACAAAAGAAAGAAAAATTGAAACGATGTTACGACCAGCGCTATGTTGCTTTTAATGAAATCCTTATGTAAAAAGATCAGTAGTCCGTGGCTGCCGTGGATGTCCTTCTGCAGCGTTACACAACAATGGGTGTATTGTTTAAACAGAGGCCGAATCATCACCTTCACCATCAAGACCGCTATCATCACTCTTGCTGGCGTTGCTAGGTCCAGCGTGCGACTCAATGTGATTAAAGGATTCATTATTTTCTCTCTCCTGACGAGAGTTCGACAGTGCTGTTGATGAGGTGGGACAGTGGTGGTATAAGACCACTGGTTGGCCTCCTAGGTACAACGCAGGCTCAGATTCGACATCGTAACGGCTGCTCTGAACTACAGCCTGCTGAGTAGATCCATCTAGTAACCTACTATTGTCGTTGCTGCCTCGGCGGGCCACAACGACATTGCAGCCGGCCTCTCCGCCATGGGCAGCCAACCCGGGACTAGCAGTTTTATCTGCTCCGTAAATGTCTTGCTGGCGTTCGTGGAGAGACTGATCATGGTTTTGGCCTATGGTCTTTGAAGCAATTGCCCCAGCCTCAATGTGTCGTGCGGTGGAGGCACTCTGAGCAATATCGGAGATAGTAGACGCCAGAGCCATTGCTCCGTCGCTCCTTTGCTGCTGCTGCTGCTGTTGGCGCTGCTGCACTAGGTACTCCCGCGACTCGAGTGGCGTGGCGTGCGCATTATTTGCAGAAGAGGTAGTGTGGTGTTTAGTCTGGTCAAAACCAGTCCACTCAAGGCTCATATGAGGATCGCCTGAGCCTCTGTTCTTGGTTATGGTAAGTAGTTTCAGGTGCCTAAACCTTGGAAGGTCGAAAGAATCCAGGCCATTATGGTGATGAATCTTGTTATTTTCATCCTCGTCATCTTGCTTATGCTTGGTCGCGGATAGAATATCCATCATGCTTTGATTCTTAAAGAGACGTGCTAGGTCAATAGCGGTCAAACCATTCTTATCCTTGGCGCAAGCGTCAATACCTCTAGAAAGCAGGTCCTTGACAAGCTGCTCGAGGTGCAGTATGACAGCTAAATGTAGCATCGTGTGACCAGTGCTGGTGCAAGTCGATAGCCCATCCGTGTGTCTGCTCATACTTGAATCTGTCAACTTAAGCGACTCTAGGATCATAGTTTCCAAGTTTGTAAACGGCGATCCCTGTGTCGAGTTGAATGATGTGGACGGGAAGGTAGATGAAACGGATGTAGGTAGATCTAGCGATCCATCTAAACTGCTCACGGTACCTAAAATATCACTCCATGCAGCTAGTTCATTGGCACGCTCTCTAACTGTATCAAGAGAGCCTTCCATATGTGCTGCAATGGTCATGACGCGCTGGAGAGCCAGCTTGATAAGTTCCTTCTCGTTGTCGTCGACATAGGTGAATGTTGACTGGGAGAGGAGGCTTGTAGGAGCATCGGAACGCAATGCAAAGACTGGGACAGTTTCAGCTCGCATCCAGGCGGGTGTAAAGCACTCTAACATTTGGCTGTGCTGAGGGATGACCGGTACAAATATCTCGCCAAAGCAAACGTACATCATCTCACCAACTGTAAAATCTGAGCCATGGATAGTCACCAGCGTACCGCCACGAGTAGGACCGCTATTGGGTGTCATATGACTGATAGTGGCAATGGGCTGTTGCTGAACAAGGAGCTGTTGTGGAACATTGGCAACGCACTCGTGAGATTGCTCAGCGAACAAGGGCATCATCGGACCAGATAGAGATAATGAGGTAGCTGGGAAGGATCCATCCGTGTGGTTTATCGAATCATGCAGAATTGGGCTGACTGAGTAGCCGCCTGGAGAACTCATTAACGATGATGACGGTGAAGGTAGCTGGTGATGTTGCTGATGCGGCTGCAGCTGATGTGCTTGGTGAGACTGACCTGCGGGTATATTCTTCGGTGGTCTACCTCTACTCCGTGGTTCTCGTTTCGACTTTTCACTGACGGACTTAATAACACTACGGGCTCGAGCGTATTCCTGCTGCTGCCGGAGCTTCTCAGCCTTCCGTTGCGTCCTGGCAGCAGCAGCAAGTGCACGAGCCGCCATACGATTTTTGTTCTGATGATAGAACATGAGTGGCGTGGTAGCATGGGAAGCAATGGAACTGTCCGACAGAGCTTCAAATCGGACTACAAATCCTTCCTTTTCCTTTTTATGCCCACAATAGCAATTGATTTTAAATTGGATATTGGCCACGCCACTGCGAAAGTTAACCAATGCATCGCCATCTTCAGTACGATATAACTCGGGTAGGATATGCATAATCTACATGTAATAGAAGACAATATTAGTCAGCTATAAAATCACCATAAAAATATGAAAAAAAAAAAAAAAAAAAAAAAAAAAAAACTCTTAGTCAGATAAACTTACACGACATTCGTTCTCTTCGAGCTTGGCAGACATACGACGAGAGCAACGAACACACGCCTCTTCCTCAACCTTCCAGTCGTTCGACGGACACATGACAGCTGCAGAGACACTCAAGATGCGCTTCGAAGCCATATCTTGCGGGTACATGATCTTTTCGGGCAAAGCCAGGAAGAGATTTCTAGGAAGCCGTAAGTAATCGTACTGTCGGACCATGGAACCCTTTTCTTGGTCCACAATGGATATCTCCGCATAGACGATAGTCTCGATGCGAAGTCGCTCGTCGCTTCGGGTAGGTACGTACTCTTGCTGCTCCTTCTTGAAGACATGGGTCTTGACGTTCAAGCGGTATTTTGAGATAGGATCAAACGCTCTTTTTTGCATGTAGTACGGATATGTTAATAAGTGGATCTTAACATTTCATGACTTGAATAAATAAATAAAAAAAAGCGTTGACAAGTATGAGACATGGGACCTTACCTTTCCATTCCAACCTTCAATGTCTCCGAGGCAGAAAACTGTGCATATTTGAGGTGATCCATTTGGGTATCAAATGGTGACTATCCAACGCGATATAAAGAATTCCAAAAAGGGGAATGCATTAAATATTCACGAAAATGCTAGACTACAAAACGGTAAAATATAGGAAAGCGCGGTCCTGTAAATTATGGCGTTATAAATAATAGCAATCTCTGCAAGTTTACCTCGCATTGCTGTGGAGATGATGGATCGGAGGAGCCATTTTGGCCCAAGGCCAAGTGGCGGGGTATAGAAGCGACAGCAGTGTATGGAGGCATGGTTGGTTAGAGGTACAGGTTATTAGAAAGAGGCTTTTATCCTATGAAATCGTGCTGGAAGGAGTGTTCTGCAATGTAAATATGATATGCGTGCGTATGACTTTGGAAGACAGAGAAGTCTATTGTATTCGCTCAAAGTTACATTCGAGAGAGAAGAAAAGTAAAAGAAGAAGAGGTAGAGAATAAAGGGATACAGTAGGATCAGATATGATGGACGCCGATCAACATCAATAGGGCCATTGGACTTTGTCTTCCAAGAGAAAAATCTGCACCATTCACTACGTACAAATGAGCGAGAGAGGACTGTGGGTAAACGTACGTGAATGCAATTTATGAAACAAGAAAAATGATCTGGGGGTCAAGCCAGTCGTTCTTTTTGGTTAGACTTTTTCAAATATAAATGATCTACTTAACAAAATTCTTATAATTGAAAAGGACCATCCAAAAAGAGTGAAGCTAGACCCTCTGACAAAAATAAAATGGCCGTGACACCTGAGACTCTCTGCCCGTCAAAATTCGCACGATGCACACTTCAAATAATGAAAATAATGCGGTAACCACATTTGCTGCGTGAACGCTTTGGACATGATGTGTGCTCATGCCTCTTTCTTTTTTTATAATCCAGCCCTTTACCAATTTCCAAAAGAAGCGATGAAAGGGGGTGGATCTGGGGTTTCTTTCTTCGCACAACTCTAGCTTACTTAATGTTTCGCGCGGAAACACGTCAATAGCGACAAAATGAGAGAAAAAGTTCATCCCATGTTAATGGATTCAGATAGCAAACTCTTTGAATAACCATCCACAGTAAACACCTCGTCCTGAAAATATGACAAGAAACTTTTCGCATCAAAACGTGTGGTAAACAATAGAGCAATAGCGCGAACAATGGTTTATTTTGGACGACCTTATTGGTCTCTTGTAGACTAACTGAATCATGACTCTCTTCTCTTTTCTTCTCTCTGTACACAGTTGTAGATGAACTTCAGATTGTTTTTTTTTTTTTTTTTTAAATAAAAAATGTTAGTCTATTTTAGAGTTACAATGCAAAAATCATCAAATGAATCAAATGAATACAAAAAAAATACCTCGTGGGTCACAGTGTTCAAAGTCTTCAAAGTCTTCAAAAAGCAAATGAATAAAAAAAAAAAAGATCTGAGCGCCCCCCCCTTGACCCTTGATCCGTGATGTTCCCTCTTTTATTTTTGCTAACATGCATGCAATGTTGAACGAAACCAAAATTTTGGTTCATTCATCCCCTTTTGAGACTGAATTGGGAGCGGAGCCTCTTGAAACCAGAAAGAAGGGAAGGAAAAATAAAAAAAGTGTTCACATCTTGCCATGACCAATACCGTTACATGCACTTGACAATTTAAACCAATCCTCTTCTCTTTTCTCTCTCATACTCTCTTGCATGGGCTCAGCACTGAGAGGGAGATGAGTGCATCCAAGCACCTCCCTGGTTGCGATCATCGGGAAGGATTTGCCATTCTCATTAACTCCTAGTTCTACATCACCCAATCTCATGAAGAGGGGATTTATGTATATGTCTCAGAGTGTTTAATGCCTCTACGGATGTGTTTTGAGCATTGGCCAGCAAGCATAAATGAGTGAAAGAAAAGAAAAAAGACTCAATGTAGATGACAAACTCCTGTGGTCAAAATAGACTAGTATAATAGAGCACCATGTACCAAAAGATTAGGTGTTTTTTGAGTTCTAGACATTTTTTTTGTGCCATGCACCTTGCTTGTGTACCCAGTAAAGAAAAGTAAAGTTGCCAAAATAGCGGTATGACCGGTAGACACTTTTTTTTTTTTTTTTTTTTTGCAGATCCTGTTCCGAAAAGTTCGTTGGATGACTATAATGATGCCAAAATCTTTTATAAATCTGTCTGTCTGCCATTTTTCTTACTTGATACTATTTTTCTGGCAGAAGTGTGATCGAGATTTTAAGAAGGAGTGACGAGTAAAAAGATCCAGGAGTGGGCTATTACACTTATTTCCAAATGCACAAATGGACAAATGCACAAATGGACAAATGCACAAATGGACAAATGCACACACATGCAATGCATTTTTGTATCGTCCCCTCACTGCACAACATATTTGTATCGGTCGTCTCTTTTTTTTTTCCTTTTCTCTTTTTATTATCTTTATCTCTTTTGCCCTCTTCATGCTTCTCCTCATCTCTCGGAAAGACTGGGGGATATAAGATAAAAAAAAACGGCACCAGAGCACTCACCCACTGCATTGTTCATCCACTACTCACTTTCTCTTTTAGTTCGTTAATTTTATTCTTTTCTTTCCATCTTTCTGTCCATCCCGTTCTTCTGCTTCGAGTAACGCTGCTTTCCTCGAGCGTAGCGACAGCAGCATCTCAATACAGACAAAGAGCTTAACAATTCATACATTTATAAAGTAGTTATTTAAATGTGAGTTTGAACAAATGTTTTGTTTGTTTGTGTATGTGCGTGCGTGTTTGTCTGGATGCAAAGTGCATGTATGTCAATTCCAACCCAATCAAAGCTAACAGACCTTGCAGAACGTTCACCCTCTTCCCGAAGGCCCTCGCTCTCACATCCATTTGCTCCAGATTGCTCCGTGTCCTCGACTCGTTGCCGATGCAGTCAGCCGACCAGAAAAAGAATCTTAAAGGGCGTGAGCATCATTGCAGCTCCAGTACCACAGCTAAGTCCACGACAAACAGCTCTGTATTGCCAACCAGCTTCCCTCTCCAGAGCCCATCATCATTACCCTCGTCGTCGTCGTTGCCATCACCCTCTACAACAGATGCCGCCTCTCCTACGCCGCCAACATCACCATCACCACAGCTCCCTGTTGAACCAACAGATTATACATTCAAAGCAAGCAGATCAGGCTCCGAGCCCCTAGTCTGCGCTAATTTCGGGTCCATATCCCTGTCTGCCATCGATCCTTATCATCTATTGACCCCTGGCAATAACCACAGCAGCCACAATTTCGAGCCAAAGAGCAGAGACAGCATCATGCTGATGACAATCCAACAGGATCGGACCCAGGAAATTTTGCAACGGCGTCAGGTTCAAGAAAATCAATTGTATCTTCAGACCCCTTTCCTTCACAATCAGTTTCACCCTCAACAACTTCTACAAGTTATGCACCCTTCTTCTCATCTTCAACCTTTCCCACCGCCTCCATTAACACAGCTATCGTCATCACCGTCACTTTCACCATCATCGTTGCCACCACCACTACCTCCGACAACGCTCACTCCTCCTTCCCCCTCCCCTGTTGCTCCTCTATCAGCTCCACACTTGATACAATACGAGCATTCACACTATCATACTCATCCTAACCAGCAACAACCAGCAGCGCTCCAGCGATCGACCAGTGGTATTGAGTCTTATTATCAACAATACCAACATTTATCTCCACAGCAGCAACGAAGCATGCTCCAGCAACGAACACAACAGCTGCCGCTGCAGCAATATCAGAATGGCGGATCTTATCAGAAGCGAGGTCGGTTCTTTTCTTGGTCTGCTTCCACCACACCTATGACACCCCTCTCAGGCAACTTCGGGCCATTGCCTTTGGCAAATATGGAGACGTTCGGAAACGTCCTCTACGTTGATCCGCATCAGTATCAAAATCAGCTGAACCAACATCATCAGCAGCAACAACAGCAACTTGCACACCAAGGTCGTATCCCGAACAAACAGCAGTCATCGCAACAACAATGGGTAACAGGAACGACTCTCCAAAGTCTGACTCCTGATCGCTATTTTGGGAATGACTTTGACTGGATCACTGGCATTAGTGACCTTGGCACCCCATCTGCAAATAAAATGACATCGACACGTGGCCCAGTTGGCTCTGCTGTTGGGCTATCAGAATCTGGAGCTCCAGCGCCAGCATCTGAAAATAATGGCGGCATTAGTGCCAATCCATACAATCCATTTGGTCCCATGGCTTTTACATCTACAGCAAATCCCCGAATCACCCCGCATCCATTTCAGACGATTGCGTGCACTGGCCTAGCAGCATCGCTCGGCTCCGAATCTGCTGACTGCAAGCCAAAGTTTGAAGAGCCAGCTACTGCTAAGCATAACACCAAGCATGCAGCTGATGACATGACCACGGCTGAAAGTTTGAGACCGGCCCAGCGACGACGTCTCGGAAGCTCTCGAGAGCTAAGCATCTCCTCCAAGGCCATGGTGACAGCGTTACCAACAGTAGCAATCAGAACGGCATCACAGGCAACGACTGAGTCCAGTCCACGGTCCACACAGCCTCCGACACCCCTTTCCCCCATAGCCTCCTTCCCTAACAGCCAAGTGCCGCAGCATCCACTCCAAAAGGATGCCAGTGTGAAAAAGGATACATCGACTACTGAGACCATCTCTACCGCATCTAATGCCAGCTCCACTGCCATCCTACCACTAGCAGCGCCTGGGCCTATATTGCTTGGAATGCCATCTTCTACCCATAACTCCAAAGCGTTCTCGACCATGCCACCGCAGGGCCCCAGGACAACTACCAGTAGCCCTGCTTTTGGGAGACACCACCCTGTTACTTCAACTGCTCCATTTCCAGCGATGTCAAAGCCAATCCCACGTGCGCGTCATTCGAGTAATAATAACAGTAGTTATAGTAGCAATAGCAGCCATATAATTTCTTCCTCGCCTATGCAGTCAACACCATATAGAGAGGGATACTGTGCAACATCAGAGGCCGGTGCTATTAACAGCAAAGGTTTACAGGCCACCTCAAAACGATCATCACTCAGCAACAGTACCCAGCCAAGCCCGACTATTGACACTAAGGCCGATCCCATAGCTAGCATGGGAAGCCATTATGCGCCCGTGGTTCCAAATAGCATACCACCACTAAACGATAATGGCGAGGATGAGGGTTCTGAAGGCGAAAGCGTTCGGTCCGCAAAGTGTCCACATTGCGACAAGGAGTTTCAGTCCAAAGGTCTCCTACGTTCTCATATCGTAAGCCATTCGTCAGATAGGCCGTTTGTCTGTTGGGACTGTGCAGACAAGAGTTATAAGAGAAATCATGACCTGCTTAGGCATCGGAGAGAGAAACATAACGTGGATGGAGTCTCCGCTTCTCCACGTGGAAGCGTACGTAATCAAATAGGCGGGACTCGTGATGGAATTATGGAACGCATCAAGCTCCCGCCTACCGTTGCTAGCCAAAGTATCATAACAACCCATCGTGATATTTATCCGAGCCATGAAATGATGTTTTTAGGCAGTGGCAGTGGACTTGCTGATCTTTCAGCATCTTCATCTAGACCAACACTGAGCCCATACAGTGGTATAAATTATAGCCACGACCAGCATATGCTCCCAGTGTATCCTCCACACAGCCGCGGGTCTGTTGAGCTAGGTCAAGGAGTGAACCTTGATCCTCCTTCTTCTTCTTCTTATATACTAAAATGATACAAAGAATGAAAAAAAAATCTTATTAATGAAAGGAGAAAATAAAGGGCAGCTCCCTCTCCATTGCAAATCTCGACACCAAAAAATATGTTTGCTCTGAAAATTTTGACCTCTACTTCTGCTACTCATTACGTTATTATGCAAGTTCTGACGCTATTGATGTGCCCTTTGAGTACGGCACACACACACTATTAAAGGTCATGTCTACAATGTGTATATATTGTGGGTCTTAACTCTTAGCATACTACTTTACTACTTTAAACCTTTTTCTACCACACTCTTTACTTTCACAGACTTTACTTTCACAGACTTTACTTTCACATACCTTTACTTTCACTTTTCATTGAAAAAAAAAAAAAAAAAAAAAAAAAAAAAAGATATATTCCACACGCTCATCTGTCAGACATTCGCCGCCTGCCAAACGCTCTCGCACATCGAGTGTGCAACGAGTCATCAAAGTACGACGACCCCGGCGAGCCGTGGGGTCTGAAGAGAAGTTGCGGGGAGAACGGGCGGAGGAAACTGGAAAGGAGGAGGAGTATAATTGGGCTTATAGCCCTATCAACTCTACCCTGCTTGTATTACTTGGGCAGGAGATGGAAGAAGAGGAAGAGAGGAAAAAGGGGGAAGAAAGGCTTAAAAATGCAATCAAACTTGAATGTAGTGCTTGCTTGACGCAAGTTGCTCTTCTCAGCAAGAGTGTATTTGTCCTATTCCAAGGACAGCCAAGTTCAAGTCCTTGGTCTAACGGCACTTACTCCACCAAGTTTCCCCTCTCATCAACTGAAATTGTGGTTTTGATGCCTGGCGACAGTAATAAGGTTTCCCAGTGAAACATCATAACAGAAAGTAGAGTCGGTGGTTTGAAAGAAATCAGTGAGGCCCATACGGCTTACGACAACCTCCATTATGTCCTCTTGCATTTAGAAGGCGAGGAGGGCTGAATATATAAAAAGTATAAAAAACAGCCTAGGCCAGGTCAAACCTCTATAAGGCTTCATGGTGACAGGGATGATGAAGGTAGCAACGACGGCCAGCAAGCGGCGGATGTGAGTGGGGGCGATGGTCAATCTAGGAAAAGTCAAGAATACGTCAACCTGAGAGCGTTTTACACGTACAGGTTGCAGATTCGTCCTATGAGTTCAACAGACCAGCGATCTTTCATCTGGATGAATACGCGCTTGAATCACCAGTACATTGCCGTCCAATACGGGACCATACAAGCGAAATATTGTCTACAAGGCTTTTTAGACAGGTATCTCTCTTATTCACTGCCGTATCTTTCCGATATCCTCCCTTATTTTTATAATGTATCTTTACTTTGTTGTGTAGTTTTTGAAATGGCAAAAAGCAACAGGGGTCAATAAAAAAGTGATGCAAAGGTACTATTTGTTGTATATTTATGGTAACGCTAAACCAGTCGTTGCATTATGCTTTATTCTGTCTTCGAGGCAAAGTACTAAATTTCTAACGAGGCAAGAGCCGGTCGTGGCGAAACCACGGCCTCTGGCTCGTATATATATAAATTCCATTGCTGTGTCAGTTTTTGGAAACTGTCAAAGTCAACCGCTTCAGCAATGTGCGCGCAGTAGAGAAGAGACAAATACGATAACGCCATACCCGTGCACTGTATACTACATGGGCTACAAAGCAAGATCATTATGGCTAAAGGTATGATGCAGAAACTGTTTGATCAGTAATGTCATTCATGGCTTTATCACCACCGCTTTCCGCTTTAAGTATTGCTTTGCTTGAGCTTGATTGATTATCCACATCTGCAGTGTGTGAAGCGGTGTTGGAAACTCTTTGTAGGCCTCTTTTTCTTCTCCTTTGTCCTTTCTCTCTTTTTCATTCTTTCTTTTTTTTTCCTTGTATTCAGCAACAAACCCACTTACCACCTTCTTCTTCTCTGCTGTTCACTCAATGTCTATGCGCCTGTTCGAGGTATATATGCAACTTCTGTCACAGCAGCCAAAGTTTTAGCAGCCTCTAATCAGACTGTTCCCTCGCCAAAGAGCTTCTAATCTAAAATCAAGTTGTTTAATTGCATACATATTAGTGGCACTGTAAAAGCAAAAGCGAGTAAACCTGGGCTGTCATGCAGGCGAAGTGGAAGCCCTGATGGCTCTCTCGGAACGAAACCTGAAAGGAAGGAAATGGTAAAACAGCAAAAAGTTTAGAAATGAAGAGAAATGATACTAAAGTGATAGCGCAAAAAAGAAAAGGCAAGAAGCTCTAGATACTAGTTTTATTCCTTTGGCTTAAAAAAAAAAAAAAAAAAAAAAAAGGCTGAATCGTCAACTACAACTAGAGGAGGGTTGTAGTTAGGGCTAGCGTGCAGAGGCCCTCTTCTGCTCTCATTGCCATTTGAAAATCACCAGCAGCGACAGGAACAATCGCAGGCCGCCTCAAGCAGGTAACTTCCTTGTTCGAACTAAGAGCTTCCATATTGAATTGTCCAGTATGTCGAGTGGGGCGGTTGAAGGACGAGACTGAATATGGACGTAGGCTCAGCCGTGGGGGCATCGCACACACCACTCCCTTGACGTTATCGGCAACAGGGCGCAAGTACAATCTTTCAAGCTCGGTCTCGATCACAAATACATCTATGACTGTACCAACAGCTACGGCAGCAACAGTATCAACTATGCCCAACATCCCACCGCTCTATAACTTCAGCTCCATCCTGTCTCAATCTGACAGAAGCATCCAATACATCTTTGTCTTATCATGAAACCCAACGGCCAACAACCTTCGCTGGAACGTATGAATGAAGCATGGTAGCCAAAGCAGCCAACGTGCGTTAAATCACCTCATAATTAGAAATAAAACATTTGTGAAGCAGAATAATCAAAAAAAGAAAAAAAAAAGTCACGTGCATCGCACGCTAGCATGCTGGAGAGAGAGGAAAAAAAAAAGAAAAAAAAAAGTGGAGCAAATAAGCAATTGCTGATGGCGAATCTACACAGCTGAGAGAGCCTACATTACTGAAGTATGCTTAAAAAAACGAAATAGAAAGCATGACTGTGGCATTGCAGATCTACGACTGCGACCTAACAATGACCGATTCGTCCCAATAAGCTCTTTCATCTCATACTAGCCTTGAACCATTTTCAGATCAGGAAGAAATAAGCTACCGCAGGATAAAAGAGCCACTATATCGAGAAAGAGAGTCAATAACTCTATAAAACCAGGAAATACAAAGGATATTTTTCCGAAATGGTGGATGAGGAAGAGGAAATCGACATCGACATTGATATTGATGGCGATGACCCAGACGAACAGGTTACAGTCGAGAGAAAGGAGGTAAAAGTAGAGGATGGAAAACAGATATCAAGGGCAATGCCTGTAGGCTCCAAAAATAGCGTTGAAAGTGGCGCTACAGATCTATTACACAATCAGAGTGATGAGGTTTCTCTGGGGCCAAATCCAGCAACTTCAGGCAATAATAATCCAAAGTAAGCGCCCTAACTACTAAAAAGCAACCAACATGGGAGGACATTTAACGATAAAGTATTTGATGGCATTATTAACACGAGTTTCCGATTCGTATTTTCAATAGTCAAGCTTCATTAGTGGATGATTTTCAAATTCCGGATTGGATTACGCAAGATGTAAGCTACTTCTATATCGATCCACGCCTCTCTCAGAGCGTGCCCGTTCAGTCTTTGCTTAACCGGCACGTTTTTTTTCTTCTTTTTTTTTTTTTTTTTTTCTTTTTTTTTTACTGAAAATTTGCATCATTTAAATTATTGACTTTACAGGAACAAACGAGATTTGAAGCAGGGGATATGGACGAAAGATCTCGGGCGATGATTGAGAATATGCTTGCAGAAGAAGCGTTTTACTCCGCCCGTTCTTCCACTTCTACGATCTACAGGCAGGAGCCTTCTGGTGCACGTGGAAACAAATCAATGTCGACAACAACCTCAACGTCAAGGTGGGCTAGTGGGCATAAACCAATGGAGAAACATAAAGGTCATGACTCTAAAAAGCGAAAGACCTCAGACGTTAGATTAGGGCAAACCAAGCGGACAGTTAGTGAAGGTAACTCTTTTTTGCTTTCTACTCCTATTGTGCTTTATAGTGTACGATGTACAACCAGACTTTGTAGCTTATTTTTTAACACCCATTGCAATTTAGATTCTCGATTAAACGCCAAGTTATCATCAGCTGACCTACCATCTCATAACACACGGTGGACAATTGAGGAAGACGAACGTCTACGGGAAGGAATTGTAAGTGAACGAAGGTATTTGTAGAGATTTTATTGATAGCTAATGTGAACCCAGACCCCTAGGCTGTTGCGTTAACCTACATGGGTCTAACCCTTGTTATAGAGGATTTATGGTTATGGAAATTGGAAAGCAATTGCAGCTATTGTCGGTACGAGAAATCCATTACAAGTGAAGAACCATGCACGCCATCTGGCCATGTCAGATAAGGTAATCTATAATACATAAATTGTTTGTTTATTTCTACAAAAGCTCATTCCACGGATCCAACATTTACTGAATCACTACATCTCTATAGATACCCCACGATTTCTCTACAAATACAAGCGATGGCGAAGGCTTGGACAGACGATCTTCAGCTGCCAATTCGGCTGAGGAAGATGTAGGATCAACGCAAACTCGTAAAAGGCAACCAAGAAGTACCCATGTGAAACGTATAGACGCCAGTAGAGCATTGGATATTAATGGATATATGCCTTATGGTGGACGGCGCCGAGCTAGAAGCATCACATCGGAATCTGGAAATGAAGAGTTTACTGGATCAGAATTTGGTGCTACGGTAAGAATGCTGTACGTCCCTTGCTTTATCTGCAATACTGTCTTTGATGTATAACGCCCATCAATTTTATATGCTGGTATTTTAGAGCGGCTATGATACTGACAACGATGAGGATCACTCAGTTTCTAAATCTCCCTCGCTATCAGCACGTGGACGTTCGCGCTCAGCTTCAGCAGGCCTTACAACGCCAAGCCCTGGGCTACGGCCGCTTTATTCGTCTTTACCATTACCCTATGATATATCAACCGACAGGACTGGAAGCTATAGTGTGGGCGAAAACGAGGATATTGACATTGATATTGAGAGCACTGATGAAGACATGTCCTCTCGCTTGGGCCTGACAAGGAAACCCCCAGTGTATGTGCAAAAATCAAAATCTCGCTCAATTTCACCATTTTCCAACTCATCGACTCGTTCGCGGCTCTCCAGTGAATTTGACAGCGATTCTGACCATGATCTACATAATGACGATGGCAATGATACTATCGGGTCAGGGCAGAGCCGAAAGCGATCCTCTGCATCATCCCCTACCCTTTCTGACACATTTGGATCATCAAGTGATCCTTATACTACTCCAAATTTCAATACAAGTACAAGCAGTATCAACAGCACGGGGGCTGTGAGTAGCTCCAAGGCAGCGCTTAAGAACGTTCAAGCTTCACAGCAGCAACAGCAACGTCAGTTGCAACAAAAGCTTGGCGCATTCAGTCATATGTATGTGGATAAAGCGGTGAGCTCTCCAAAAGAAAGGAGGACTGTATCCTTTGGTGCTGTGCATGTCGCAGAGTTGAAGCCAGATCTTAATTCATACGATGAGGATGATATCAACTCTTCGGAGGATGGTGTAGCCGATAATAAGGGCATCGCAAATCTGGATGTTGTCATGACCTCATCGCCACTCACAAGCTATTCATTTCAGAATGGCGACCCATCCAATAGTCTGCAGACTGAGCGACCATCGTCATTCATGGTCGCGACCAGTTCGATATCCAATTTTAATCCTCAGGGCGAGGGTACATCATTTCAGCCACTTTCTCATCAGGCTGCAGATCATGGCAGTAAAAATGATAAAAACGAAGGAGCTCTTAAAAAAAATTATAATCAAGTACTTAGTAGTGCCATCAAACCACCGTCGTCGTCGTCATCTAGTCGTGGAGAGCAATCGAAGTTATCTGTACAACAGCCGCCTTCCAGCTCATCTGGGAATCCAATCGCATCCCACTACGAATCGACTTTGTCCGATACGAATGCTATATCGCCAGCGTTGACCACTATTTCCCGCACTGTGAGGCCTCGTGTACTGGATAAATCTGTTATTACAGAAGAAGAAAAGCTGGTTCACTCTGAGTTTTTTTGTAACAAGGCAAGTAAGACGCCAGAGAGATATCAAAGGATCCGTAATACCATCATTCAGGCATGGGAAAAATCACCATCGACTTATCTTACCAAGACGAGTGTGCGGTCCGGTCTAAAAGATTGCGGAGACGTAAATGCGATTGGTCGCGTCCACTCGTGGTTGGAATTCATTGGAGTGATCAACGTAGGCATGACAGCCTCATCGCCCGGTGCATCATTAGCACGGCCCAGAAATGGTGGAAATAACTCTTCGAAGCGACGAGTACATTCTGAAGAACGGGGCTGGTCATCATCATCCTCTACTACAACACCTCGTCAAGTCCGTCGTGATGTCGGTCCTGGGGTGCATGATCCAAACACTGCATGGCTTACTTCGCCCCAAAGGCGACGGCGGGTACGGAACGAGAAAGGAGAATGGTAAGAATTAGCCCATTGTGATATTTTAAAGGCATGAAGTACCAGGCAACAATCTTGCACATAAAATGCTGGTTTGTTGTTGCTGTTGTTGCTGTTGTTGTTGCTGATGTTGTTGCTGATGTTGTTGCTGATGCTATTATTTATTGGCGCCTCGGCTCTTCGTAGGGTGGATGAAAAAGAATTGGAGGGTCATGTTGTTGAACATAACATAGAAAGCAATAACAGCAGCAAGCAAGGGCGGCCGACTGTTAAACGTAATAGTTCTAGCGATCTTTTCAAGTTGGATGATGCGACATTCTTTGAGCGACATGGGATGACCAAAGAGGAGATGGAGGATGAATTGGAGCAAGAACGTCTTACTGCTCTCAATGCCAAATACTTTGCAACAGAGATGCCAATCAATAGTCGCGTTCCAAAGAACAAAAGAGCTCAGCACTTACTACGTCAGATGGGCGAGTTACAGGGATACAGTGCACATGAAGAATCCCTAGAAGGGTATGATCCGTTTCGACTTGTGCCTTTACGGAAATATAGTGCGCAAAACCCGGCACCCTTTCGAATTAAGGTGTCTTCAGATGCAATGGTATGTCATACCCATATTAAGAATATACATCTGACAATCTTTATAGCCATCAATGGAGTTTTAAATGGTTCGAGTCTCTTATACTTCTTTTATCACATAGCTAATTATGGATTTTCACTCTCATATGACCGAAACTGAGGTGATTGGACTCCTTGGAGGGCTATATGATGAAGACGAAAGGATTTTATTTATCCTTGGCGTTTTTCCGTGCCGTAGTATCAGCACCGGTCTGCAGTGTGAGATGGATCCAGAATCTGATGTTGAGGCACGATATTTTTTCTCATCCAAAGGGTTTGTCGTTGTTGGCTGGTACCACTCGCACCCAACTTTTGAGCCTAATCCGAGCATACGCGATATCGAGAACCAACGCGAGCACCAGACTATGTTCCGCAGGCACGGAACTGGTGTAGAGCCATTTGTTGGTGTGATTATATCTCCATTTGATCCCAGGAATCTGTCCTTCCTATCCAAGTTTCAGTTCTTGACCGTCTCTGAACAGTACGATGATCACCTAAACTGCCGAGTACCGTATGGCTTTGACCGGGAGATCACACGTATGAATGAGCTCTCTGTCGCTGTGTTTCAACAACTCTCCGAGTTGGTACGTTACTATAGGACGTATGAACACCGCGTGGATTTGTCAAAACCTCTTCGCAAAGGTGAGATGGCAACGCGTCTGGATAAACTGCTTCAGTCCCTAAACCATCACATCTTTGTGGACGAAGTTACAGGGCGCGCTTTCCTAAGCAAAGTCAAGGAGCTGGTCGTACGGGGGTTTCATCTTGATATCAACCACGAATCAACTTTGTCGTCTACACGAGCACAATATCTACGATCAACAACCACTCCATCTCTTACACCTTTTGCGACGCCACAGGCGAAATTACACCCACAATTAACTGCACCTGCAATTTGTCAACCGAAAACATCTCGGGCCCTTGCCTCTACAAAGAAGCCAACGAGTGGAACAACAGCAGACGATATGATCAAACGGATACTACTGGATGAGTCCGACACCGAGACGGCAGACAAAAATGGGGAATGAATTCTTAATAAGCACGTGAATTAATAAATCAAAATGGTGGCTTTTGTTTACAAGATAACGCGCTTGCCACCAAACTTGACGCGTTTTTCATTCTCCCACATTGGCCACCAAAAAAAAGTGCATGTAAATAAACTTGTAACATTTTCCCCCCGGAAATTTTGACTCTCTTTCATTAATTATCCTTAAACCATGTCCAGTAAGACTTATTTTCCATGCATTTTTTTTTTTTTTTTTTTTTTTCATTGTCGTAACATGACTTGAGGACTCTTATAATTGATCTGGCCATCGAGTACAGGATTTCATTTCATTTCTGGAAGAGGCAATTTCTGACATTTCTTATACATTTATTCTTTTTTTATTTTTTATTTTTTATTTTATTTTATTCGTAGACTACAGACCATATACCGGTGGCAACCAAGGCCAAGGATTTATTCAAGATAGTTTTAGTAGCGATACTGGAGCAACTAAGGTATATAATATATTACGTATTTAGGCCCTTACCTTGGTCAGGAAGTAAATATGTTGAAATAAGGGTAAAAGAATTAAATGAATACTTTTTTTTTTTTTTTTTTTTTTTTTCCCTTTAGAAAATTACCAACCACACTTTACGTCCAGTGACCATCAAGCAGCTTCTTTCTATACCGCGTACTAACTCTGATGGAGATTACAAGATTGATGGGCATGATCTGGGACAGGTATAAGGATTATTCTTTTTTTTTTTTTTTTTTTTTTTCTATTCCCTCATATTCCTTGACTAAAGAGCATGTTTCTTAAATATTAAAGTTGTTGTTTTTTTTTTTTTTTTTTGTAGATCACTTTAATTGCAGTAGTTAGAGTGTTTGTTCGTCAAGCAACACAGCATATATACCATATTGAAGATGGAACGGGAGAAATTGACGGGAAAAGATTCACTGTAGACGATGAAGACCCTGCAGAATATGACAACATAGTGTACGTTAATGAGCAGATTAAATCAATGTATCGGACTAAACAAAAACAAACTCATACTAAGCTATTTATTTGTTTCTTCATTTTGATAGTGAAGGTACATATGTTCGCATTGTTGGGAACCTCAAGGAATATCAGCAGCGTCTCAGCGTCAACGTTCACTCTATTCGTCCTATTAAGGACAAAAATGAGATTACATATCATCTATTGGAAGTCATATATACTCATGTGAACTTCACAAGGAGCAAGGTACAGTTTTTTTGTCCAAAAGTAGTGAATATTGTTATTATGATTTGGCTTTTTCTTTTTACTTTATGAAACTATATATATAGGATAGTTGCTGACTCTTTTATGTTTATATATCTATATGTTTATATACATTCGTCGACGCATAGATTGGTGGGACGAATATGAACAATATGGGAATGATGATGCCCACTTCGCAGAATAACTTCAATAACCATAGCTCTGCTGGTGTGGATGGATTATCAGTGAAGACTGGAGACCTTCCTCAGAAGATTGCCGAAATGTTTCAGAATCGTCCAAACAAAGATGTCTCAGTACATCGTCGTGATATTATCAGCAAATTTGCACCTGTCGTTGGTAGTGCTGAAGCAGTCAAGTATGTCTTTTTTTTTTTTTTTTTTTTTTTGTTGTTTGTTTGTTTGTTTGTTTGTTTGTTTGTATTAGAAATTAACCTTGCTTTTTATTTATATATTTTAATAGCAATGTCGTCGAGAGTATGATTCAAAATGGATTTGTGTATACTGTTGAAGATGATGACCACCTGCAATTCACATATTAAGCACATGCGCACCAAAGAAGAGAAAGCAGTTTTTCCAGAGTCTGGAAGTAGAGGAAGATGTTGTGTATTGTGTATATGCATGGTGTAGTGATCACCATGTATTATCCAGTCAAACTTGAATATTAAAAATTAAAAAAAATCGAAGCCATCAATCTGGTTGCTTATAAAATATCATTAAACAATATTTGTTTAAATTTTTTTTTTTTTTTTTTACTTTTTGCTTTCCTAAAATGTCTACTTCCGTTTTGCACGCCCCTTCTTTCCTTTACCACGAGGGTTTTCATCTTCTGAGGAGAAGAATGGATCCTGAGCAGCGCTTGTTGTTGAGGTTGATCCTGTGGCAGGTAACGCAGTAGCGGTTGCAGTAGCATGTCCTGTTTGGTTGATGTGCGCGAACAATTGGGTCCTTGACTCGAAATCTTCGGAACAAACACGGCACTTCAAATCCGATCCATTCTATAAACAACAACAATAATAACGACAACAAAAAAAAAAAAAAAAAAAAAAAAAAAATTAATAATGATAAAAGTAATAATATATAATAATAATGATTTGAAACATAAAGTTCCTTTCTAACCTTTTGTGCAGCGCGTTCAGAGCGAGCTTTCTTCTTTTCTTTAGCGCTCAGCTTCTTTGGTTTTCCAACAGGTGATTCTGCTCTTGAGACTGGTGCAGTCGAAACGGAATCCTCATCCCGTTGCTGTTGCACATTGTCATGTTCGTCGTTCTGAGCATCATCAACGTCACTTGGCCAAAGATCCTTCTGTCCTTTAACTTTAGCTTTAGATTTCCCTTTAGCATTGCCCTTCGCCTTGGGTGTAGATGTTCGAGATCGAGACAGAGGGGAGGAAGTCGAAGACATTCGAACGGATCCCAAAAGGTCGACTAGACCATCCTGATCCAACTCATCAATCTCATCTTGATCTATTTCAAGCTCAAGACTGGCAGTCATGACGTTCTTCTTCTTCTTGTTCTTGTTCTTCTTTTTTGAATTGAAAAGACTATCATAGGTCGGTGAGGGTGCCTCAATAGGGCTGTCTTCATCCAAATCACTTGCTGAAAGGATATCCTCAAAATCCTCAGGATTTTTTGCGGTTGATCTGGCTGTCTCTCCCTCTGGCTCGAATTCTTCTTCTTCTTCTTTATCTACTTCTATTTCTTCTTCCTCTCCTAGCTCATCCTCATCCTCTTCAGTATCGACATGCTTGTTGTTGTTGTTGTTGTTGTTGTTGTTGTTGTTGTTACTTTGACGGTCGTTTGGGAGAGTTCCTTGTTGTTCCTTCAGCTGATTTTCTTCATGCAACATTTCAAGTCGAATATCCTCTACAGCCTTCAAATGTCGTTTACTCTGCTCATGGTTTTTCCATTGACGTTCTGATTTGAAGAATTTATCACAGATGATACATTCGTACTCTTGATCGAATTCATCTTCACTATCTGAATCGGATCGTTGGTGTTGTTCATTATCGTCCCCGTCCTCGTCTTCCTCAATACGTTGCCATGCTTGTTCCTGAAATTGTTCTGCTTTTGCTCGGAGGACTTCCTTTTCCTTCTCCAGACGTGCCTTTAAATCTGCTTGGACCTGTTTTTGTTTTTGTCTTTGTTGTTCCTGGTAATTAAGGAAGCGGGGATCACGTTTTCGGACATAGGAAGCCAATTCCTTTTTTTATTTTTTATTTTATTTTAAAAAAAAAATAAAAAATAAAAAAAAAAAGGTTAGTTCATAATGTTTATAAAAAAAAAAAATAAAAAAAAAAAAATTGGAACAGAGATCAAAAACTTCATGCACTTTCTATTTTTTTTTTTTTTTTTTTTTTTTTTCCTTCTCTTTCTTTCTCTTTACCAAGACAGTGTCGTTAAATTCTTTACGAGCTGCATCTCTGAATTTCTTATTCTCTTTTTCCATAGCTCGACGAACTCGACGATCAGGAGCTTCAGAGAGTCGATATTTGTCACACCATGAGAAGCTCTTCTGGGTCGAGAAGGTCAACCAGGCGTTATAGAACTGCTTCACATCCGAATCAGAGTTGTCATCATAGGCCGTGGTCGAAGATCCAAAGGATGGATAGTGAGGAGTCTCTTTTGAATTTGAATTGTTGTTGAGGGCCGCTGCTTCAGCCTCTTCCTCTGCTAGTTTATTAAAGATGTTGCGATAGACTGCGAAGAAGCCCTATTGATAAACATTATATATATATATATGTGTGTGTGTGTGTGTGTGTCAATGTGAGTGAAAGTGAGTAAAGTTTTAAAGTACGAAATGACATCTTTAAAAAAAAAAAAAAAAAAAAAAAAAATAGAAAGAAAGAAAAGAAAAGAAACTTACAGCATTGTTATCTTGGAATCCCTTAAAAGCAGAAGTACTAAAGTATTTCATCAGATCCGCAGCAGTAGTTCCCGCAGCACTTTCAGTCTGATCAGATTTGTCATCTAGAATAAAAAAAAATAAAATAAAATAAAAATAAGCGTTTTGTTCCAGTATGTTTTTTTTTTTTTTTTTTATTTTTTTAAAAAAAAAAAAGAGAGAGAGAGACAAAACAGATCATTTACCTCCACGGAGAATAGCGTCGCGATGAGAGTCATACCATGCACGCTCTTGTGGATCCGATAATACTTCATATGCCTCTGCGATGAAGGCGAATTGCTTTGTTGCTTCTTCCACCCGATGATGGTTTTTATCTGGTGGAGTTAATCAAAACAATAAAAGTAAAAAAAAATGAAAAAATGAAAAATATAAAAAGGTATTAAATGTTAATAAGTAGAATATATACAAAAAAAAAAAAAAAAAAAAAAAAAAACAATGTCAATTGTCCTATCCATAACACCTGTCTTGGCGTATTTCCTCTCTAACCTGGGTGCCATTCAAGTGCTTTGCGACGGTATGCTTTTTTAATGTCAGAGTCCGAGGCATTCCTCTCAATGCCAAGGATAACGTAATGACATGTCCTCATGTTGAAATGGATAATTATACAAGTGTCTTATTCGTTGGTTGTAATGTAGTAATATTATGGATACTAAGGACAGGTATGTGCGAGGATAACAAATGAATGAATGAGTGAATGAATGTGTGGGTGAATGAATGAATGAATGAATGAATGAATGAATGAATGAATGAATGAATGAATGAATGAATGAATGAATGAATGAATGAATGAATGAATGAATGAATGAATGAATGAATGAATGAATGAATGAATGAATGAATGAATGAATGAATGAATGAATGAGGGAGGCGTAAAAATAAGATATAAAGACATGTTTATTTGTATTATATAATAATATTACATTTCCATGCTGCGGTTTAAAGAAAAAAGAAAAAAAGAAGTAAACAAGCAGTCATATTCAGCCACCAAATAGAGTTGTCCGAGAAAAGGGAACGAACAACTTCTCGTTCCTCCTTTCCGCTCCTCCCTCTTCCCCTTCCCCTTCCCCTTCCACCAGTCTCAAGGGAAATGTACTCTGTAATACGGCCAGCTATTCAAACTAGAGGGACATTGAGCCACTCGCTCTCACTTTCACTCTCAAAGCAACCACCGCGTGTCTCCCCTTCGTCTTTTCCTTCAACTCTCCGTTTCTCTTCGATCGCGACTCTGAAAAAGAAGAACTTTGATGCAACTTTAGCTAATAGCGTCAGAAATAGCAGTAACAGTGGCAATAGTAGGGCTATCAGGAATATCAGTACTGGCAATTCAACCGCCACCGCTTCTTCTTCTTCTTCTTCTTCTTCTTCTTCTTCCACACCTACGCTTGCAACAAACCTTCGATCTATCCCTCCTGCATTACCCAATAAAACAATCCGATCTATTTTAGCTACTGCAGTCCCTGACAGTACGGTCAAAGTCCAGGGTTGGGTACGATCAGCTCGTCATCAAAAGAACATCACCTTTGTGGAACTCAATGACGGATCAAGTCTCAAAGGTGTCCAAGCTATCCTCAGCGGAGGGGAAGGCAAAGGGTAAAAAAAAAAAAAAAGAAAAAAGAAAAAAAAAAAAAAAAAAGAGAGAAAAGAAAAATCTATATAGTCAGAAATTAAGGAAATATCAAACATCTCTTCTTCTTTGTGCCTAACAGATTGGTGACAGGAACAAGTTTAGAACTGGAAGGAAAACTTGTCAAGAGTGAAGGAAAGGAGCAAGCATATGATCTACAAGTAACCAGTCTAAAAGTGATTGGAAGTTGTGATGGCGAGGTACCCAATGAGAAAAAAAAAAAAAAAGAGCGGAGCAAATGTTTATATAAATATATATACTATGCAGAAAAAAAAAAGAAAAAAAAAAAAAAAAAAAAAAACTCTTACTGAACATTCCATTGATCGATACTTTCTTTTTCTTTTTTCTTTTGGAGCTTAGACATATCCTCTTCAAAAAAAACGACATTCCTTCGAATTCCTGAGAGAGATTTCGCATCTTCGATCCAGAGCCAAGACTGCCAGTGCCATTCTCCGTCTTCGTAGTGCCTCCGTCTGGGGATTTCAAAAGTTCTTTGAGGTAAATATTGCTTTTTATTATTTTTATTTTTCACACATTTAAAAAAAAAAAAAAAAAAAAAAAAAAAAAAAGAGAAGAACCTTTTGCTAATTTTTTTTTTCTTATAAACAATACATCGCTTTCTCAGTCTCAAGAGTTCACTCAAGTCCATACACCTTTATTGACAACGCATGATTGTGAAGGAGGCGGTGAAGTTTTCAAGATTGCACCTCGGATATCAGCCCGAGCTCAACAGCAATATGAAGAACAACAACAACGACAAAAACAAGGCGCACTTCAAAAGTCTGATGCCAATACTGATACCCAACTCAATCCTTCTACAATGACTACATCTGTATCTGCACCTGCACCCTCCGAATTCTTTGGCTCTCCCGTGTACCTAACAGTGTCTGGACAACTTCATCTTGAGATCATTGCCAGCGCCCTCTCACGGGTCTTCACAATGGGTCCAGTCTTCCGGGCAGAGCCCTCGATGACCCCTCGTCATCTCTCCGAGTTTTGGATGCTGGAGGCCGAGATCGCGTTCTTGAACAAACTGGACCATCTCTTGGATTTCTCCGAGGCCTGTCTGAAGGAAACGACCCGGTTCCTCTTGGAGAGTTGTGCAGAGGACATTGAGTTTTTAAACACCTGGGTGGACAAGTCGTTGAAGGGTCGTCTTCATCATCTGGTCAATGAGCCCTTCAAGCGAATGACCTATACAGAGGCCATCAGGATCTTGCAGGAAGCAGTGATAGCTGGTGATGTCAAATTTGAGTTTGAGCCCAAATGGGGACAGGGGTTACAGAGTGAACATGAGAAATGGTTAGCGGGTACATATTGTCAAGGACCTGTCTTTGTGACGGACTATCCTGCAGGACTGAAACCCTTCTATATGAGGAAGAACGATCCCCCTTTGTCTTATTTGTCATCACCGAGTAGCAGCAGTAGCAGTAGCAGTAGCAGTAGCAGTAGCAGTAGCAGTAGCAGTAGCAGTAGCAGTAGCATTAGCAGCAGTAATAGTAGTAGTAGTAGTAGTAGTAGTAGTAGTAGTAGTAGTAGTAGTACTAACAGTAACAGTAACAATGGCAGTAGCAGTGGCGGCAGTACAAAAGTAGGAAAACAGGAGGAAGAGGATCGTACGACGGTAGGATGTGTTGATTTGCTTGTACCTGGGATTGGAGAGTTAATGGGAGGATCCCTTAGGGAGGAACGACATGAGGTGTTGAAGAAGCAACTTTGGGAATTTGGGTTGGATCAAGAAGAGTACCAGTGGTATTTGGATTTACGAAAGTATGGTACGACCCCACATGGTGGATGGGGCATTGGGTTTGAACGGTACATGTTGATGGTCACAGGCATGGACAATGTCCGAGACATCATCCCCTTCCCTCGATACAACCACTATTGTAAATTTTAGGATAAAAAAATAAAAATAAAAAAAAAACCCCCCAGCATTAGAACTAGAATAAATCAAAAATAAGAATAAAGAATAGGCTATTTCCATGCATAGATGAAGACGAGACAAGGCGAGGCATGAAATGATACGTTACAATTAAAAAAAAAAAAGAAAAAGAAAGAGTGAGTGAGTGATCAATAAAGCAATAATGTTTATGAGGAAGAAGGATGTTCCAGAATAGAGATATGGATGGATGAGGGGGATCATCCTTGATCTATTGTCAATCCCTCCATCTTTTTACTTTTCTTCTTCTTTGGTTGATATAATAAATATATATGTATGTATATATATATATCATTTTGATATTTTTTTATGAATCGATGCGTCTAATTGACTAAACATGTAATTGACAGTTAATAATTGATAATTCATATTTCATAACTGATAATTGATATTTCATAATTGATAATTGGCAAATTAAAATCTTGGTCAATTGGCTGAATTGGTTTGAATGACTTCGATTGGCTTTTAATTGGTTGACTTTTGGATTTAGTGGGTTCAACCTTTTATGAAAATTTTAAATTGCTTCAGTTCCCCCCCCCCCCCACCCTGCCTCCCCACCTCTCTTTTTTTTTTACTTTCTCCTCTCCTCCTGACTACGAATTTACTTTTTTAGATCCTAGAAACAATTACATGATGCTTAATGACAGTGTTTAGGAAAGGAGGGTTGGAGTGGATCGTCCTATAGGAAGGAGAAAAAAAAAAAAAAGTGGCGAGAATCAAAAAAAAAAAAAAAAAAAAAAAAAAAGTTCAAACCTTCAATTAAAACACAAACAAAAACAAAAAACAATAACCATAACCATAACAATAACAATTACAATAGCAATAACAATAGCAATAACAATAACAAAGCAAAACAACTGTGTTGCTGTAGTGTAACCCAACCCAAACACCTCTTTTCTTCCATTGTCTCTCAATCATTATTAAATCTTTCAGATGGAGGGAGGAGTTTTAGTTCTATAAACTATGAAAGAAGGTTTATTATTATTATTATTATTATTATTATTATTTTTGAACCATTTTCTATAAAGATCCTCAGGAGTTCAAAGAATAACTGAAAAGAACTTTTTATTATTCAAATTTTTTTATTTTTTTTATATTGATTGATTGATTGATTAATTGATTGATTTACTTTTTTTTTTTATTTTTTTTTTTTTAACTGATATCAATAAAAGCGCAGCCTAATGATATATATAAAAAGTATGCAGCATAAGAAGGATTGCAATCGTTGCAACCAAAACCTTTTTTTTTTTTTTTTTTTTTTGTTTCGTAAAAAGGAGTGAAAGAAAAAAAGGGGAGGGGGGGCATGGATGGAAAAATGTACAATTTTTTTTTTTTTGAAAGAGAAGGAAAGGAAAGGAAAAAAAAAAAAAAAAAAAAAAAAAAAAATATAAACATGATAATACTACAAAAGGCAAAGAAGCGATGAACGAAAAGAAAAAGAAGAGTAAAATCAACTACAAAGAGAGAACGACCCAGCCAGTCCATCCATGTGTTCCAAGTGCATAAAAACAATGATGAAGGAAAAAAAGGGAAAAAAAGGAGAAAAGGAAAAAAAAAAAAAAAAAAAAAAAAAAAGATAATAAAGTTACGCAATGATGCTTGATGATTCAATCACACTTTGCTGCTGCGGAGTCATTGGCAACGTTGAACCATGAGGGAAATTGGCGTTATGGAAAGCATCCGTCTGGATACTGGCGGTTGAACTATACGATGCCGTGTACTTGCTGATGATCTTCTTGAGCGCATAGGGCAAAACCTTCCACGGGAACACCTTGACGTCCTTCTCAATGTTCCTAGGCTTCGGGTTTGGGAAAGACATGATGAGCTTGAAGAACTCGGCACTCTCGGGTTTGCATTTGGAAACTGTGATGGGTCGGAAGCCCTCGAGATTACGACGGATCCGGTTCTTTTCCTCGACCGTGAAGCGGACCGCAATCAGAGACTCGAGCAAGTAGATACAATCGACCGAAGTCAAGAAGCAATCGTTCTTCTCTGCCCAGTAAATGCAAGAGATCACAATGCTGTTGGGCTGACGGTCAGCAGGGGCCACGGGTGCGAATGTGCAATGGATGTCATTGCCATCCTGTCGTCTCCAGAATTGGACCAGGCGGCGATGTGATTCCCACTCTTCTGCAGACCAGTTGATGGCCATGTCGTCCATGTTCCCAGTGAACTTGAGGTTGGCCTTGTTGAGTAGACTGGCATAGGGATTATAGCTGCTGAGGGGAAGGCCAGCACTCAGGCTTGTGCTCGGGTGAGGCTGTGGCATATAGGATGAGGGCGCAACGGCCTGTGGATGATTGGGGATGTAGTTGGTATTGTGATTAGTTGCTGTTGTTGTTGTTGTTGTTGCTGTCGTCAGAGCATAGGCAGATGGTGCTCCAAGATCTGGCTGTGAGTATGTGGGCACGTGAGGAGCGATCATTTGGTCTATTATGGAAATGAAAAGGAGGGAGAAAAAAAAAAAAAAAAAAAAAAGTATGATTTATCAGTCAAGATGATTTTTTGAGACAGAATCAATATTATTTATATTCTTTAAAATATTCTAACGGGTCAAAATAAGCCGTTGAGCGTGGGCGTTAACATGCATCAGCATGGAAATTGTTTGCAAAACGCATAAATCATTAATGCAAACAAAAATAGCCCAACAGTGGGAAAGAATAAGCATGGCAAATTAATAAAAAAAAAACACATACTCGAGTTGTAATATCCTGAGCGTGCGTACGAAGAGGCGCTCACGGGCGATCGTGAACTGTATGGGCTGGTGGATTGCAAATTCTGGGAATAGAGCCCAGCATCATACCCGTTGGCGGAGGGGAGTCCAGAGTAATCATCGTCTATGAATAGGGGGTTTATCAAAAGAGTCGATGGAAAGAAGGCATTAATAAAAAAGTCTCCCACGACAACAAAACGTAAAAAGTAAAAGTAAGAAAGTAAAGTAAAGCAAAGCAAAGCAAAGTAAAAAAGAAAAGTAAAAAGAAACGTAAAAAGTAAAGTAAAGTAAAGTAAAGTAAAGTAAAGTGAAAGAATAACAAAAAGTCAGGTGTTTGTTTATGTCCCGTGTTCTTTTAATCTGCCGCCCAACTGGAAATTATATTTTCCTTTTGAGCGACTGAATAGCGAACAATATTTTTGAACATCCGGGACTATTAACGTAACGTACTAGAGCAACAAAGCAATTAAGCGATAAAGCAATAAAGCAATAAAGCAATAAAGCAATTAAGCAATAAAGTGATAATAATAACAAAGATTATAACAACAACAGCAATAGCAATTAACAATAATAAAAGTAACAATAGCAACAGCAACAGCAATAGTAGTAATAATAAGAATAACAATAATGTAATATAAAGTAATACAATATAATACAATGTAATACAATGCAATACAATGTAATACAATGTAATATAACGCAGTCAATTCAAAAAAGGAAAAGAAAAAGAAAAAGTGGCTGAATACAAAAGCAAAGCAAAGCAAAAAAAAACTTACGACGTGGAACAAGACCTGCACTGTTGTCTGCAAGTGATGTGGGGGTGGTCGGTGGCAGGGATGACAGCTGTTGGTTGGCCTGAGCAGAGGGCAACTGTGTGCGGGAGAGATCAAGGTCAGCAAGGAGATGTGGCTTCTTACTAGTGACGCTCGATGTGTCTTGATCATAACTGTTGCGCTTGCTATTACTCTGGCCATGATCTGTATAATGTATTAAAAAAATAAAAAATAAATAAAAAAAATAAAAAATAAAAAAATAAGAGATAAAAAAAAAAAAAAAAAAAAAAAGTTGTTAATTATGAATTGAGAAACAATGTTGGTTCAGTTCAGTTGTATGGCAAGGTGAAACATTCTCGATCCAGGGCATAACATTAAAAACTTTTTTTTTTTTTTTTTTTTTTTTTTGCTGTGCTGTTACTTGTATGTGATGTATTCTATACTAAATGCAAAGGTTGTTAATGTGGTTGTGGATACGAATGCTTACCATCGTAATAGCAATAGTCACCAAAGGGCCAGCTCTCCATCACCATGTCATTCTCCATTTGCAACACATACAGAGGTACTCTGTTGACGAACCATTTAGTGATGGCGAAATTGGGAACGGTGCAGCTCAGGGTGACATAGCCATTGGCGGAGTACTGCTTTGTGTCGACAACGAGGGTGCCAAAGCCAATACGGAGGGTCTTGTCGGTGTTCGATTGCAGTGTCACTGTGAAGGTCTGGCCCTCGGGACCGAAATGAGGGCTGTATTCGAAAATCCTCGGAGGAGCTGAATCGGTCGAGTCATCTTTGAAGATTTGCTGTGAGAATGCGTCGGTTGTTTGTGGTTGGGATTGTGATTGTTGTGATGGTTGAGCCTGAGAAGCTTGGACTTGTGGTGAATCAGGCATGGTAACAAACTTTCGTGGTTCAAAATCTGTAGGGAAGGATGGAGCAAAAAGTAGGTAGGAGGATGTAGACGAACCAGACAAGAAGGAGGATAAAATTAAGAAGAATTAATAATAATAATAATAATAATAATAAGAATAAGAATAAGAATAATAATAAAATGTAATAGAAAGAAAGAATGAAGTTGAGCGCACAATCAAATGTCAAATGGCGGGAAATGAAGTTGAGCAATGAGAAAGATATCAGAAAGACAAAAGAGAGAAAGAGAGGAAAAGAGGAAAAGAGAAGAAGAAGAAAAGAGTGAAAAGAGTGAAAAGTGTGAAAAGTGAAAAGTGAAAAGTGAGAGTATTGATAAAATGATGATGAAAAAAAAAAAAAAAAAAAAAAAAAAAAAGCAATTAAATTGGAAAGAATAGATAGAGTACTTATATGGATGGCTTATTTGGAGTGATGGAGGGATACTCAGAAGTTTAAAACATAATATGAATGCGTTTATATATTTTTGCCGAACAGCTTGGTCAACAAACACAAAAGAGAAGGCTGTTCTGTTTCCCTTGTTTGTCCTTACTATTGTGCCACCCTCTTTTCTTTTCTTTTTTCTTTTCTTTCTTTCTTTCTTTCCTCACGCTCAATTAATCAGACAGAGCAGAGAGTGGAATGGATGAATGTCGATCTGAAGGAAAGAAAGAAAGAAGCAAGCAGAAGAATGATGGATTGGGAGTAGTGACACAGAGATAATGGGTCTGCAAAAAGCTTTTTGTAAGACACCCGAATGAATATCAGTCAGGGCGCAAATTCCCAAGGTGCATGAGTTGTATGTGTGTAAGGTGCATGAGTTGTATGTGTGTGTAAATGTGTATAGGGTGTGTGGTGTTTGATTGTTTACATTGTTTGGTTGTTTGGATGAAAAAAGAGGGTGGAGAGCGTAAAGAAGGTTGAACGTTGGGAGATTGCATTGTCTCATTTTAAAGATTGATGAGACATGAGACAAACA